CCTTAAATGAAAGGGGTTGGGCAGGTGTATACAGAAGGCAATGCTTCTCCAGGTCCTAAATACATCATAATTATACGCCTTATATGTCATCATTAGCACTTTAAATTGGGCCCAGACTTCAGTTGGCAACCAGTGCAGATGGTACAGGACCAGTGTTATGTGATCACATCTACTAGTCCCCATCAAAAGCCTGGATGCTCTGTTCTGGACCAAGTGAAGTATCCAGTGAAGACCATTTGCAAGGGCAGTCCCACATAGAGTGCATTACAATAGTCCAATTGGAAGGTTACCAGAGCATGGGTTGCTGTTGCTAGACTCTAAGTGCACTGGTTAAGCATGTTGCACTGGGACTTGGGAGACCTAGCCTCTGGTCCCTGTTTGGCCATAAAGCTTATTAGGTGACTTTGAGCCAGTGGCTGACTCTCAACCTAACCTACCTCACAGGGTAGTTATAAGAATAAAATGAAGAGGAGGAGAACCTTGTAAACCACAGTGAGTTCCTTACAAGAAAAAGGAAAGTGGGATAGAAGTATAATATAGTAGTAATACAATAATATAGTTAACTAATATTAATATAAGGTTGCTGTGTATGAAATCTTCCCTCAGTCTCTGCCCTTACCTCCCATTGAACTCACAGGCATCTATGCAGTTCTCTCCCCAGCCCCATTTTAGCCTCCGAACAACCCTGTGAGTTGGGCCTGCTGAGAGACAGTGACTGGCCCAAGGGTGCCTAGGAAGCTTCATACCCAGGCAGGGATTTGAACTCGGGTCTCTCTGCTGGTAATCTGAGTCTAGCATGACACCACACTGACTGGCTTGCTTTCACAGCTGGCGTTTGCTTTAAGCAAATAAGCCTGGCCTAGGCACAGGCACTTGCTAGTGAGAGTATTCTCATGCAGTACGCCATGACCACTCATGTAAAGCAGTGGCAGTAGAATTCCTGCCAAGGTCATTGTGGTAGAAGAGGATTCCCATCCCTCCACAACAATCACTGAACGTTGTGGTATCCTTAGAACCCATCCTGGTACTATGAAGTGGTGTTCAAGGTCATCTCCCTAAGCCATATGATGGGAGGAGAATGTCAAAAGCTTTTTACGGCTGTGATGAGTTTTCCCCAAGTTGGTGCCTGTCTTGGGCTGTAGTTCCCATTATCCCCAGCTAGCCCCCAAGCATGTTCACTACTTGTAGTCCAGTATATTTGCAGGGTGCAGGGCTGGGGAGGGCTGTTAATGAGCAGTCCCATGAAAACCACGTGCCCTCATGAGGGTCTAACCCTTTCTTTGTTGACCTTGTTTGCACCTGCCTAGGTTGGAATGAACGACCTCACACTGGTTAACCTTCACTTGGCTCCTTTGCCTACAGTGGGAGAAAACACTGTGAAGAACCATAATAGCCACAAGTTAGCATCTTTTGCACAGACACTGCAGGAAACACTGAAAGGTAAGGCCACAGATTAGTGTGTCAACCAGCTCAGTCAACAAAAGATCTATAGAATGGGGCTCCCAGTCTATTTCTGTTTTAAAACCTACATCAGTGCTTAGCATTTGCCTGGTTCACACAATCGCCACAGTCCAAGCCAGTCCATGCCAGTGGCCAGTGTGAATATTCAGGTCTCAGTGAGCACTGCCCTGCCTTATCACACTGTGCAAATTCAGGAGGAGGGAAGGTTACTGCCTTGGTGAGCAAATCTCATGCAATTCAGAACAGCTTGCCTTGTGGCTTGCATATTCAGGAGGGCTGCTAGAGCTTGCTGCAGCACAGTAGTCTGTGAATGGAGCCATTGAAGGCTCTGGGCTGGGCTCACACTGGGCACATTTCCCTACAGGGAATTCATATAATGACATTTTAGCATCATTGGCAGACACGTATCAAATATTATGGCTGCCTGCCCAATTAAAATATCATAATGAATTGCATGCATTTTATTCTAAGCAGTTAGTTGATTAAAAGTGCGATTAGTTGATAAAAGAATCTTTCTTTTCAAATGGTGGGGAAACCAAGGGACAGACTCCATTTAGGAGAAGCTCTCAAGGGTTGCATTTGAGTGGTGAGCAGGGCCAAAATTCAAAACCAGCCCACATATTTTAGCATAAAGTCCTTACTTTGAGAAATGGACAGAGTGCCCTGAGACCGTATCTAGAATTCTTATGATTCCCAGATCCAAAGCCAGAAAGCAATTCCCAGGGCTGGAGGCGAATGCTGGCAGTTGTAAGACTTTTTCTGTCTGAACACATACAGGGTTGTGTCCCAGAAGTGGTTCTCCATCCATGGCCTCTGGAGGAGGGGCTGAGTAGGTTTGTACCTAGCAGTGTCTACAGATACAGTCTGTGGATGAAGTCTGGACATGGCTATAGTGTGAGGGTGTTGAATCTCTTTCAGCCTGAGGACCAAATTTAATTTCAGGGGCCTCATTTTGGTGGTGATGGGCCAAAGGCAAAAGGCAAAAGGCAGACATACTTAGCATAAATACGTAGCAGCAGATTTTAGCTTGGAATGGAAAGCTGGGAAACTACCAAACGATCAGCTATCAGGAGAGGGGTGACGAGGCTACTGGAAGGGGATATAGGTATTTGGGGAGTCCTAGAGAGTCAAATTGGATCCCGGGACAGGATGGGTTTGGTCTGCAGGCCTGAGGTTCAGTATCCCTGATTAGGGATATATGCATTTTTTTCAGATGATTCCACCAGTGTTTCATTGGTTATTAGGCATCTTTCTTTCCATTGTACACTTGTCTGTTGGATTCCTTTTAGGGATGCATAAGATTGCATTCCACTCGTGCAAATTTCCATTGGTGCAAATGTGCATTAGCACATGTGCCTATTGGCAAAAATCCCCTGACCCAATTTTAAAAATGCACAGGTGTGCACGATTCAGAAAACACCAATTCTCTGCAGAATCTGCAGGTTAGAGTCATAGAAATTTGAACCTATTTGAATCCATTGCAGATTTTTTCAACATTCATATCCCTGAAATATTGAGTGGTCAAGTGTTTGGGAGACTTTAGGCTGTGAGATACAGGCTAGGCTAGATCTAGGAATCTTGGGACAACAGGGAGGCTTTCAGTATCTGGTTTCTAGAATGAAGAGAAGAATTCAGACAGTCCATGTTTGTGTGCATGAGGGAGGGAGGGAGGGAGGGAGGGAGGGAGGGAGGGAGAGAGAGAGAGAGAGAGAGAGAGAGAGAGAGAGAGAGAGAGAGAGACTATAAGTATCTATGTGTCCATGAAGTCAATGCACTTGCATGATTGTGGCATTTGTATACCACTGAAAGCTATTTTTTGTTGTGCATAATTTGCAAAGCTTCCCTCTTAAGGATGCAGTGGGACATGGCACTGGTCATCATTTTGCATATGCTGAATAGACCCTTTGTAGGGCATAATCCATTACTGTCAATGTATGAAATATGCATTATTCTAAATTAGTTTAAAGACCATTTTGGGATGTTAGAGGCTGCTTCCATTATGCTTGCAAAGACCAGCTGCTGCTGTGTATTTCAGATAGCATGCCATGGGGCTGGTTTTTAGTGGCACACTCTCTAGACGGGCTACTAGAAATGCTGGTCGGAATGCAAGAGGCAGGGGCAATTCCACTGTCTGGTGTGCATCCCTGGCCCCCTAAACACCATTCAGTAGTATCAGATTGGGCTGTAGGGATCCCACTGTGATCAATAACTGTTGTGGAGGGGTGGAGAGGAAGAAATAAGCAGGAACACTAAGCATACCACCCAGGAAAAGGGAGCCAGATAGAATGAGTGGAATTACCAACTCATCTCGTATATGTGTTTAAAACAATCTTTTGTGCAGCACGGTCAATTTTCTTAGGAAAAGGCCATTGGGCAGCCTTCCCCACGTTGGTGCCCTTCAAGCCCCTCGGATATTCTGTGCTTCAGCTCTCAAACACTGGGACTTGCAGTCTAACATAGTGGAAAGCACTAGGTTTTGGAAAGCTATGATAGTCTATAGGAATTAATCTGCTGTCGGATGAGATGTCATGTCCAGAACTGTGAGCCTACACATGTTGCATGTTATCAGCTAGATCCTTGAGTCTGTTTCCTCCATTTCTAATCTTAGCCCTTCTTGCCCGCCCCTTAGGGGTTAGATTCAGCTGGATTCCTGTAAAGCCATTGTGATTTCTTTGTAGTTAATACAGTTATGGGGCCTCTAGTGGGAAGAGCTAGCCTTTTGTTTACTGTTTAACACAGGCTAAAAATGTTGGATGACTTACCTCAGTTTTTCAAGGTCAGCAGTTTATAACATTCTGAATCTACCCCCATCTCCAGTTTCAGAAGAGGTACATGAAGAGTCCATTGAATGAACATGCAGCAACCTCTCTTGAGTTTGTTTGTTTGTTTCAGCCACAAGGCATCAGTTAGGATTACCTTAATTTTTGTGTTAAAAAAGGAGCGGGGAGTATCAGGAGCTGTACAGATCTGATTTGAAAGGCTACCTCATGAGACTGCAGCTACTGAAGTTAAACCCAAGCAAGCTGTACAAATGTTTAATTAACACTTCCCCCACTGCCTTTTCATGTGTATTTTAAGGTTAGAAAGCAGCTTACAGAATGATCCTTCTCTCCTCCCATTAGGCAAGTATTGATTTCCTTCTAGTTTAAATGGAGTTGAAAATAGTATTGCCTTTTTATTTAAATGGAAGCCATTCTCAGCAATGGCGTGGGCAGTGTGAATCTAAGTAACCTTCCTGAGAAAGGTCTTGCTCACGTCAGTGAAATGTACAGGGGCGTCCCAAGGACAGCATTTTCTGCAGCTTCCCAGCAGTGCCAGCAAACATGCTTGGAAGTCCCTTCCAACTCTCTTATCTGTAATCTCAGGTTCTCACACCTGCTTCCGTATTGCCAGGACAGTGTAGTTGCTGCCACCTTCATGGGACTTATGCAGCATCCTGGCTAATGCCTGCTGCAGGGATGTTGAATATCAGCCCAAGGGCTGAATTTCATTCTGGAGAAGCTTCTGGGGACACATTTCAGTGTTGGGCACAGCCGAAGACAAAAGAGGTGGAGTCAAAAGGAGCAGGGCCAATATAACAATACTACCCATGTATTTTAGCTTCAAATTCTGCCTGCTAGTAACTAACCCTTAGGAGAGACATTTTAACCTTTTAGAATGTGAGGGTGGGGGACTGTACATAAGCTGGGAAACCATCGAAGAGTCAGTGGTCTGGGAAAAGGGGATGGGACTAAGGAAAAGGCATAGGCTACTGGGAAGCCCAGAGAGCCAAGTTTGGCCTCTGAGCCTGAGGTTACATATGCCTGGTCTATGTCTTCCATCTATGGCTAACAACCCTCCCCTGCATCAGTTAGGTATGCTGAGAGAAGGGGCCACATTGACCCCTACCAAGTGCCATGCCAGCTCCAACAAGGACCAACCAAATACCAAGCAGGGTCCTGGACACAACAACTGGAAGTCGGATGAGCTCTAGCTCCTACTAGCCTGGTGCAATGTATTCACTCTGTAACTGAACTCCAAACCTAGTAAATCAAAACTCTAAACTGGACTGTAATCGCTTATGGCAGGCAACTGCCGAGAGCTCCAGAGGTCCGTCCCTACAAGGGCGCAACAGTGGATGTACCCATTTGGGTGTGCTGCAAAGTAGTACTGTTCTCCTTACTAGCGTGCTGCCAAAAATCCAAACCAAACCCAGATGCTTTGTATGGCTCAGTTGCTTCCACGCGTACTGTGTGCATCCCCTGTGCTGGTCATACGGTTGCCGTGGCAGTGGTGTGAATGACGGGCTAGGGGGCCTACGCAAAGGCAAAAGAATATGGATTTTGGGGGCTGGATGTGCCCTGGATGTGCACTCACCCCATTCCAAACCCACTCAGTGGCTCCACTGTGCATCATCTGTGACGTTCAGAAGGCTATAAATTGTTTTGGTTTTCTGACCAATGCCCCTATTGACCACAAGCCGAATATCAGTTTCTCCTTATCTCCCACTGCCAGTCTTCTGTCATTTACAGTTAGATAGTTTGGGACTTTTGAATCGGTTAAAAGAAGAGATTTGGAGCTGCTTCAAACGGCATGGGATCCTTTGCTCCTTTGAAAGCGTGCATGCTTCTGCCTAGGAAAACCACACATGGCAATCACATGCATATTTGTTTCACAATGTGTATCTCATCTACAGAGATATTGTTACATATTAATAAGATTTGCATGGTTCCCCTCCCCGCTACAGAAGTGCTACCAATCAGTGTGGGATATTTGTAATCTTAAAGCAACTCAAGCAGTTTATTGGTTTACTCTCTTTAGTTTTAGTAGTTTATGCTCTCCAAGGCCTCCTTAATACCATATTAGATAAATGTGAGGGAGGATTTGTTACTGAATGTGCTCGCCCTCTTCTGGCTAACTGCCTGCATAGCAACAAAACCTTGTAGTACCCAGCAGCTCAGGCTGCTATACTAGCTGTGACTTTGTCTGCACAGAGAGCGCAGTGCCTTCAGTGATCCATCCTCTGCTAACCTCTTGTATGGAGCATTGCAGTACATTATATATGGAGCTGCCTTTGGCAGTGGCCCAGAAACATCAGTTGTAAGATTGTTAACAGAAACTGGTTGTTAGTGGCATAACTACTCCAGTTTTGTGATCTGCACTGGCTTCTCATCTGTTTCTGGGCTCATTCAAAGGCCTAAGTGGCTTGAGGCCACATTACCTTCCCTATATTCCTACCTGGACATTGAGATCACCCTTAGATACACTTCTCTTGGGTGCCCTGGCTGGCTTGAGAGCCACTAAAGAGAAGGCCTTTTTGGAGGCGGTACCCTGGTTGTGGAATGCTGTCCTCAGAGAGGCCCACAGGGCCCTGCATTGTGGTCTTCTTCAAACTAAGTGAAGAACTTTTAATTTTCGGAGGCTTTTAGTTCTTCAGTTCTAAAAATGGTGTTAATGTGTTTTTAGATCTTTGCTGGTTTTTTCCTTTGTTTTTACTCTGTTTTAACCATGGGGTTTTTAAGCTGAGTTTTACAATATGGTTGTATTTTATGTTTTTAAGCTTTGTTTTGTGAACTGCCTGAAAAGCTTTGGCGAAAGGGCAGAATAAAAAATGAGAATAAACACGATGCAAGGAAACTTATAGAAAGCCATGTGTACCAGCCTTCCCCACGCTGGTGCCCTCCAGAAGTTTTGGACTTCCCATAATCATTAGTCAGAATAGCTAAAAGGCAAGAATGCTGCAAATTGTAATCCAAAACATCTGGAAAGTAGCTTCTTAGTGCTTTCCTATCTCTGTTGCCATTGTCAGGCAGGCCCTTTCCTTCCAGTAGTGTCCTTCTAGCCCTGGGGAGCCCTCCCAACTTCTTGAATTTCCTTCCTAGAAGCAAAGTAGAAAAGAAACACAAATCACGCATTAAATAACATAGAGAAAAACAAACTGATTCATCGTAGCTATTGTAGTGGCTTAATGCCAGTTGTATTATGCAAGGGACCAGTGTGATGCACTGTCAGAAGCACTGTTCACTTGGTTCTATTTATTCAGCACCCACAGCATGCTCCATGCTTCATAGAGCTCTATAAGCAAATAAGTTGCTGCTGACCTTCCCCCCTAATGCCACAAAAGCTTACTTTGGCAAGACAGTAGAACAGCCTTCTCCAACCTGGTACTCCAGATGTATTGGTCCACAAGTTGTGCATCCCCCAGCCACATTTAGAGGATGTCAGGTTGGACAAGATTGTGGTAGAAGATGTGGAGAGTATAAGGAGGATGAACATGAGCAAACATATTGAATGAGCTTGAAGGCCAAAGGTCTTGTGGGAAAACAGGGATTTGATGGATGATGTGGTAGCATCACACACATATTCACAGTTATTTCATAGTTATTACATATTTCGTGTTGAAGGGGCAGCAAAAGAGAATGGGCAGAGTTGTTTTTGTAGAGAACAAAATACTGTTTTTAGAGAACTAGATACCAAACCAAACTAGATTTTGGTTAGTGAAGCTAGAGGAGTCGGGGTCATGGAATGAGGACATTGCCTTATTTATGTTAGATTACGCAATCCATTACTTAACTGTAAACATTTTTCACTGTTCCCAACTATAGGTGAAAAAGATGTGATCATTCTAGGAGACTTTGGTCAGCCTCCAGACAGCAGCGACCACGACCTGCTGAGGAAGGAAAAGTTCCATCATCTGGTCCCTGCCAGCACATTTACAAACATCAGCACAAAGAACCCGCAAGGCTCCAAGTCTCTGGATAACATCTGGATCAGCCGTAGCTTGAAAAAAGTTTTCACTGGTAAGGTTTCATTGCTGGAGGGTGGTGAAAATTCACAGTATCATGAGTCAATCACTGTGTAGTAGTTCAGGCAGTGTCAATTACTGTGTCGGTATTCGGGCAGTGAACAGATTTGCAAACAACAATGAAATTTCTCCTGCAATGTTATCTGCTGGTTATTAAGTGGCATTACAGCACCTTTGCAAATATCAGGCCAAATTCACCTGGTCCGGTTAGATGCTTTTACATAGTAGTCATGTTGTCTGTTCCTATTAAACTTACCAGAGCTTGACCTCTATTTACCACAATAAACTCCACGGCCGACTGTGTTGCCTTTAAGCATACTGTGGACGAGTAACGTGGACATTACTGTATCTCTGCCACAATCCCCAAGTGCTTTGAGATGCATACCCACCTCCCACTTTGCATGTTTACTTTCACTTCCCTGAGAACTAGCAATTTAGTTTTTAGGTGAGCCTAAAAATGTAATTGCACAGGAAGTTTCAGTTACCCAGGCAATGGCCAAGCATGATACAGTCACTTTTATTTATTCATTATTTATTTATTAAAACATTTTTATGCCGCCCCATTCGCCGAAGCCTCAGGGCGGCTCACATCATTAATTTTGTTTGTTTTTTTAATTTATATTCTTCCCTCAAATGCCTCAATAGTTTTTCATGGGTGGGATCCAGGATCTGTTTAAAATTGTTCTTACATGTATATGAGTTTTATAATGCATTTTTAAGATGTTGATCTTAACTGCCTAGAGGCCTTTAGCCACTGAATGGGTAAAATTGATGAACCTGCCTTCCATGAAATGAAAACCTCTGCTTACAGATGGTCCCTCTGTTCAGTTTTGGGGGCTCCCCCACCTCCTATGTCCCAGAGCTCATCCCATTCAGCATTATCTCCTGGCTCAATGTGGTAGCATTTTCAGGGGACTGGAGGGGCAGGGAAGTCCACTTCTGCCAGTGCAGTTGACCTGCGTAAATCTGGATCCAGCCCTGTGGCTTCCCCAGTGGTGCTCCCAGACGCCAAGTAGGTCCACACTCTCTTCACTTTCAAGGCACTTCAGCATCAGATGTAGCTAGATGGGCTTCTCATTTTTGTTTCACTGGTAGCTTTTTCTGTTTTCTTCTCTCTGTAGGTCATTGGGCAGTTGTGAGGGAAGGCCTTACGAATCCCTGGATCCCTGACAACTGGTCATGGGGTGGGGTGGCATCAAGCCACTGCCCTGTGTTAGTGGAATTTTACACAGAGAGGGACTGGAACCGAAAGGACCTGATGCGAAATGGAAATGGAGTGATGGTGGAATGCAGTGACTCGAACACTAAACATGAGCGATGATGCACAACCATGCTGACTTCCCTTCCCTTTCCTGGAGTGAAGGTCTGAAGCTCCCTTTGCTCAAGGCCTGATGGTGAACCAGAACTGCCTTTTTCTCCTCATTTAAAGAGAATCAGCTTCTGCTTTTAACATCTCCCTTTCCCATTCCTGCCTTTGTGCCCCTTTATGGATGTTTTAGGGTATCCTGTTGCTGTCGAATGATTTGTGACTTTATGGAGACGTGGTGGACACTTCTGTGCTTGGATACCTGGATAACTGCAAATAAAACGCACTTTTTAATACTGTATGTCAGTGATCTCCCTCTTTTTGATCTCTAATAAAATGCTACAGTAGCAAATAAGAGAAGGCCACCAGTGCGCAGATTTGCACAATCAATTGTTAATGTATGGATCAGTGCAGGATATTTCAGGGGAAAAAAAGAGCCTGATGAATGCTGTGACACATGGCAAGGACTTTTCATCTTATCACCTCTCGTAGAATCTTAAATGGGGGCATATAACCTGAATATCTGTCAGTGCACTAAAAATAAAAAAGCAAGTTGGTTGCTCTGCAACTTGGCTTAAATGTGTGCTGGAATCTGAGTTAAGCATTTTAAAGTGCAAATTCCTTCAAAGTGGACTTGTAAGAATAAGCACCAGTGACTCAGAGGGCAGCCCGCAAAAGTAATCCTACTTAGGGCACATGCATTGCAATCAATGGGAATCGTGGCAAAGCTTATTTCATTGATTTCAATAGGCTTATTTGAAGCATGGTTTCATCTGATGCCAGCACAGGAGGTTTGGCTTTCACATGAGGGCTGCCTCATATAGTTTAATGCTAAAATTATAACACTGCAAGATTTGTTTAAAAAATTCATATGCACCTCCATAATCACACCAGTGAGAAAGGCAGTAGCTTTTTTTTTCAGGAGTGTTGCAAGAGTCAGAATAGCCTAAATGGACTGGGCTCAACTTACTATCCTTCACTCCTTTGAATTCCATGATTTCCCAAAATTTGCATTGTGAACACTGGGGCTTTGCTCATTCTACAAAATGTTCTACTGATGGACATGAAGTCCAGTACCTTCTCTGTCATGATCCCAAGCTCCCAAAGTTCCTTCTCAAATAACATTCACCTGGTCCTTCTTGATCTGTTTGTAGAAAGCTGATGAAACCCTTTCTTTGTAAGTCAGTAGCTGGGATATGACTTTTTTGAATTAAATATGTTTTTATTGTTTATCACTTTGAGCAAGTTTTTCTGAAAACACAGCTATTATATATTTAAAAAAAATCTGATATAAAAGCTTTAGATAGTATATCCTGGCATTCTCCACGCTGGTACTGTCCAGATGTTTTGGACTTCAACACCCATCAGTCCCAGTCCAATCCTAACAACTGGAGCAAATTGTAAATGATATCTTGCTATTTGTCATGTTTGTTTTTCCCTTGTTGGGAAGCATATTATCAGGACAAGAGAACCACTGGCTCAGAAGCACAGCATTAAAATATATAAGAACTGGTTTAAAAACATAGATTTTTGCCTTAATCACCTAGGAGTCATGGGCTTCGCTCATTTCTATAAGAGACCAAGTTGAACAAATCTTTTGTTATTAAAACTGCTTCAACAGATTCATAAATATTATCGAGCTCACCACTGTAGTTCTTCAGATAAATCAGTGAAGAGGTCCCATCACTATTTCATTGCTCTTAAGCACCTAGGCTTGAATGGAGCCACAAGCACTAAGTGGATTAACTACAAAGCACTGACTGTTATTGCTTGCTTTGGCCATCATGATCTCTTTAATGACTAACCATGTGTCTATCCAATAAAAGGATTAGCTGACATGGATTCAGTTGGGATTTCCCAACTGAGAAAGGCAGAGGCATATTACATCAGGACGATTATGTCCATTAATTATATTCCTATATTTTCTTAACTATATTTCAAATACATTGCAAAGTGATTGACAGAAACAAGTCCTCATACAGAGAATATGATTAAGATTGCCCAATGCAAAGCATATGTTATCAGTAGTCACAGAGGAATTTGCACCTGCTTGATTCTTACAAGGGAATTTCAGAGCATGGGTACTATGATACCAAAGGCCCTATTCCAAGCCATGATGGACCAGATGCCTGAAATCTTTGGTACTGCCCAGAGCCCCTGATGAGGGCAGCAATGAGCAAGCCAGTAGGCGATTAGTTCTCTTAATGTCTCAGCCCTCGTGGTTTTGGGCTTTGTAAACAAGAACTAAAACCCTAAAGCTGTTCTAGCAGCGTATAGGCCGAAAATTCAGTTCCTGAAGCAGGGGAATACACTGGTGATTCACCCTCTTATTACCAATCTGGCTGCACCTAGTGCAGTTTCCAACCAAACCTTAACATAGACTAGTATTATTACATTATGATTATGTGCTCTCTCTCTCTCACTCTCTGTACATGCATGCGTGAGTGTGCATGCACCCCACCCAAATCAGTATATGCAGTATAGTTGTATCAGTGTCTGATTTACAGAATAGAAGTTGGTTCAAAGGCCTGTAAGATAGGCCTTTTAAAAACTTACTTTGGTCAGCAGCATGGCTTGGCCTATAACCATTTCAGATGACTCATCAAGTTTCTCTTATTTTATTTGTATTCAAATTTGTTTCTAGTCAATCCTGTTTTGCATTTTTGAGATGCTGTAATAGTTTGTTCAGGTTGGAACATGGACAGATAACTATCACGAACTTCCTGAACCATGAAAAGGATCAGGTTGTTTCTGATTCAGATGCCGTTATCAATTTCAAAACATATGCAGTCTATGGAAATACTAGTAGGAATGAAAGAATGCGAGACAAGCAGCACAAAAATGGGTGGAGGTAGCCAGCAATTTCAGATTTTAATACTAGATAGCAGGGCAAAACTCAAGGCAAAATTGTAACAAAGCTGAGTATTTAGGATATTTCATTGTGATTTTTTTTCTGTGCTTTTCTTGAATGCTTGATTATGTTTAGCAAGGTCAGATAGGCCTACTTTTATGAATAAAGGGATCTGTGCTTTTGCGATACATGATTTAACCTCAGGGCCTTTTGTCAGAGCCTTTCCCAGCCTGGTGCCTACCAATTATTTGGAGTTCAGTTCCCATCAGCTGCCAACCAGGATAGTTAATCCTCAGGAATGCTGAAAGTTGTTGTCTGGGGGACACCAAATTAAAGGCCATGTTAGAGATTCCTCAGACTCAAGCCTGTACTATCTGCTGAAAAAGTTCACTGCTCATAAGGATGGATTTCCTAGTTTCTGACCCAAAGAGGCAAATGAATGATCACAGTGCACAATGGGAGTGAAAGCTCAGCCCTTTTGGAATGGGAACTGGGCTGCTGCCACACCCGGAGCAGTTTTATCTCAACAACTCCTTGGTGGCAGAGACAAAAGGCACAATTTAAGGCTGATCAGTGGTGTTACCATCAAATTCCCTACAACTCCACTTGGCAGCCGTGAGAGCTGGGGTGGGATATAAGGGGACTGGGCCCTGTCGGATGAATTTCTGTCTTGGATTCATAGTCTTCAGGGAATGGAAATCTCCTTCCATTCAGGAAAGGCTTCCAATGCAATGGAATACTGATCTCATCTTTCTCTGCAGGCACCAGGCACTCTGAAAATCCGGATAGTTCTCTCTGGAACAGCAATGGCTATAGCATGAGAGGCTGCAAAGCAAGGTGGGAATTAGCAAAGGTAGTTTCTCCATCTGTTCTCCACTGAAGAGACCATGGTAAGCAAAATTCAATTAGAGCTGTTTACACAGGTGGAAAACAACCTCAACCCAAGCTAGTGACCTTCCTGGGAAAGCCCTCTGGTTCTGCAGATCCAATATATGAACATGTTCCTTTTAGTTGGAACACATGCTATTTCCTAATACCAAATTATATCTGCAAAAGGTCTGGCTTACATGCTGTGAGTTTGGGGCCCATCTGGAACAAGGATGTATAGTTAGCAGTTAACACCAATAGCATTTATACATCAGTAGACTTCAGTAAATAGAAGTGGGGAGCATGCCAAAGGTAAACTCTCTCCTGACAGATATTTTCATGTCTGAAATGCCAGGGCAAGTGGATGACGTCTCGGAAAAGATCCTGGCTGGGTGCTCAAGGTTACTCCTTAAATACAAATATAATTACTATCTTTATTTCAAGGAACTACAATAGAAAAATGTCTTATCAGTGCTACATAAACACCATGAGGCTTTTTGGCAAGACCATATGCATGCAGTACCAACCTTCTCCTTTATTTCACAACTTAGTCACTGTAACTACAACTTAAGAACATGTTTGTCACAATTTTTAAAAAAAGTTGAAAAGATTTACAAAACCACCATTTACAAATCTAAAATATTTTCTATATAAAGAGAGGTGGTGCTGAAAAATTACCTGATGCACTTCTCTTGTTGGTGGACATATATTATGTTGACTACCAGAATATTAAGTTACACTGAGCTATACTTATGTGCTAGAACAGCTTTCTCCAATGTGATGCCCTGCAGATGTTTTGAACTTCAGTTCCCATCTGCTTCAGCCAGCAGGGCCAATCATCAGGAAGTCTGGAAATTGTAAACCAAAATCTTTCTTTTGTAACACATTCTGGTTAACAGTGTTCTAGAATTAATACCTCCACTGCAGGTATTGTGCTTAGTGGCTCATTAATTTTTTTTGAACCTTGCCGAATTGAATTTTCATTGCAAGCTGTCCCATTCTGAGCTGTGTAATTTTCAAACTGGAATGATTTTCAGTATGCTTGGATTGACTGTGGCGGGTACAAGATGCCCTTAGACCAGCAAAAATAGAGGAAAGATACGGGGATTCCATCCTAAAACCTTTATGGGGTTCGGCACAGTTATTTTTTTTAAACAGCCCTCTGTATGACAGTGCTATCTAAGTGAATGAAACACGTGGAATGGTGCTCAGCTTTTAGGGGTATGAATCCAGCTGTAGTCATACCATACTTACAGCAGACCCATCAAAATCAATGGGAAGTAGGCTATAACTAAACTAAGCACCATTTATTTCAAGGGGTCTACTCCAAGTATTCTAAATTTGGATTCAACCTGTAGTGTTCTTAAAGCACCAACATCCTAACAGGGAGTTTAAAAAATGCTTCTGATGAAACCCAAACACTTTAGTTGCTGTAGACCTCAATCCAGTTGTAGTTCTATATAAGCCACTGTTGGCCCTGCATAGAATGGCACATTCCAATTTGCAACAGAAGAACCATCCTCCAATAGAGTTCTAATGTGCATCCCCATGTAGAGGTGATGTGTATGCACCTCAGCAACATGTGCCAAAAGCTGCACACACGAATGAATCTCTCTACTACAAGAGTGACCTGGAAAGAGTGCGTTTATGATTTTTCCTAGTGCTGTTTGTCCTGCAATGATGCATTTCATACACGAAGGGCTTTTTACATGGATACCTCACAGCCATACAGGAAAGGGAGCCGTTTCAGAGCATGCAGTGAACGGGTGATGCACAGAATGCTAAGTAAGCAAAGTCAGAGCATGCAACTGGGAGGTGTACATTGTGTGGGCTAGGTACAGCGACGGAGAAGGTGAGGTGTGAAGCTTACCTCCGCTTGGGTAAGGAGCATCCATCACGGGTGAATCCACGGTCAACAGACTTGCAGGTGGAAAACAAGCAATGAAGGAAGCTTGTGCCACCACATTTGTATCCGGAGAGGCAGCTTTGCATTCACACCACAGCTAGTGCATGTATTATTCTACGCCTGCACATCCGTATGGATTACTGGCTGATGAAGAGTTTACACAGCAGTCCTGGAATCTGCTTGTTCAACATCAAGCCAAGAGAATCCAGTGCTGAGCTATATCTATCCCTATTTTCTCTGCCAATCCTGTTACGCATGCTCAAAAACACAGAGAGGAGAATGGGAAGAAAATGCCCTTTTCCAAAATTACATTTCCTGAAATAAGCATGGAGACAATGAAATGCTATTACAGAATAATCTTGTCGATTATAAAGGAGAAACGCATCATTCAGTGACTACCATTTCACATAACTTCCCCTATTAGTGAAATACTGAAGAGATCAATTATCATATTGGCATCCATTGGACAATGCCTGCATAAAGTTCTCTCAAGGCTGCAGTCTCAAGGGACAATTCAATGTGACCTCTCCAGGGTGTGTGTTTTGAAGATTATGGTCTCTGGCCATGATTGTCTCACTTGTAACCAGGCTTCCGTGTGCTTCCTAGTACTCAGTAGTAGCCCTGTAATTCCCACAGTGAAAAAATACATATTTCTTTTCATCAGAGATCTGTGAGCTTTGTGACACTGAGGTCTGCAGCATACCAGCTCTGACATCCAAGCCGTCTCACCAACATATACATAACATACAAACAAGGCCTAACCGTGTAATATGGTCCACATTTTAGACTAGGACTAAAAAATGCACACTTGCGTATATATTCTTCCAAAAAGCAAACAGGACACACACTGCACTAATTTAAAGGAATATACAAAACAGCAACATGTTCAGAAGTTCTTCAACTCTTTCAAAAACTTCTTAAGGAAATTATCCAAAGTAATCAAATACAACCAACAAGCTAACAGGTTGAACAAAATAAGAAGAGCTAAGCTCTAAAAACATTACCCATTAGGTTGTAGGTAACACTGTGCCATCAAGAAAGGAAAGGAAAGGAAAGGGAAGGGGAAGGGGAAGGGGAAGGGGAAGGGGAAGGGGAAGGGGAAGGGGAAGAAGCTTCAAAAGCCTGTAATACGGATTAATAGCATGGGCAAATCTACACAAAAGCTTTCTTAAAGAACATGTCTGTTTTCCAGTTATAATTTAATCTTGAAAATTTACAAAATCTTTCATATACCTTAATATAGGGGTGGGAAATAGCTTTTTTTAATTGAAAGTAAATGACTTCTGGATTTGTAGCTGTGGTTTAACTTCCATTAAAAACAAAATGAAGAATATATAGATGTCTGCCAGGCATCCAAAAAGGGGGGCGGGGGTTAGCTTATCCACTTCTGTGAGATGGGGCTTTCCTGTGGTCCAGTCTGATGGAAAAGAAGCAGACAAGTGTCGCTGGCCTAGGGTACAAGAGCCTGGAGCTCAGTGTCAGACAGCTCATTGACTTCCATGATCTTCTCCAGGTGTTCAATGTACCGGGTGTAGTCTTGCAAAAAGTGTGGCACTCTCATGTTCTCTGTCATCCCCAAATCTTTCAGGCGATCCACATCCTCATAGGAGACCTGCATGTAAGAAAGAGAGGGCAAACTTATTTCACAAGATCTCATTTTCCAAATATGGTCCCACCACCATATCAGCTTTGGAGTCCAGACAATTTCTTTTCACAAGTGGTGCTGAGCACTTGCACAGTGGAATTTTAGTGCACACAGGGGAAGCCCAGACTGAATGGAAATCCTTGCAACTGGAAAAGTTCACATAAGGTTGCGCTGCAGACCTGACTCAACCCAGAAATTAACATTTCTGCTCATTTTGGGGCAGGCAGTATGTCTCATGTGCACAATGGAATCAGCAGGGTCCACCGCCTGCACAACAGAATTGGCAGGGGCATGCACTCCCCACTGGATATTGCCCTCTGTACTAAATCAGAAGCATGGAAGAGATCTCCTTGAGGCCTGAACCAAGGCAGATACAAGGCAATATAGGAGGGCTTCATCTGAACAGAGCTGCACACTTGGCTACACTTGCCATCCCAGGGGATCAGCATGCAGTGCTTGAAATGGAGTGTGATGCCATGCTGGGATCTTGCCAGAGTAACAGTACCAAAGAACTCAAAAGCCTGCACAGTATTTTGGTCTAATGAAGGAGTTGCGTTAATATGGATTTTAGTATTTTACTTAGGCGTAAGCTAGGGAGACACTTCTAAAAGCATAAATAAACTACAATGAAATTCCTGTGGAATCCCCACTGAAAAGACTGGCACCTGCATAAGAGGAGGAAAGTAGAATTCTGAATACTGTCCCCGAGCGATTGAAGGCCTGGTTCACCATGTACAAGTGGGCATGGCGATCAGGCATGTCGGCTGATTCTGCTTTTAATCAATAAATTACTATCATGAGTTAAGTATAATGTTGAAACTGGAACAGTGGGTTGTTTAGGAGCAGTTAACCCATAGTTTGCCATTAAATTAAACACTGGGTTGTTTGTTCCCTAAAACCCCCCAATGCTCAACAACATAGGACCTGGCTGATTATAAGTTGCTGATTAAAAGCGAAAGTGAGGGATGTGGGAGGGAGTACACTGCTCCACTTGCAATACCTTCACATCCTTACTTGCACATGTTTAACAGAAAAGGGTTCCATATTATATTGTCTATTTGTTCACTCAGTCAATAATTTCACCTACCTTTCCTAGAGCTGTCAGTAAATAGAAGTCAATGGAATGTCGGTATCTCAGAATCCGGAGGATGCCATCCAGGTAGACCTGATCTTTACTGAAACAGCCTAAAAGAATTAGTTTTATGCAGGTGACTTCCAGTTTTGGAAGAAAGCAAAACCTTCATCAAGCAAGTCTGCACAAGCAAGAAAAGAAGAACAATCCTTGTATACCTAGCATGATTATTACAAAAGATTTTACACTAATGCTGCAATCCTATGCATGCATACAGGGGAATAAGTCCCTCTGAACTCAGTGTGATTTACTTTCAAATTATCATGTACAAAGATTGTTCTCTAAGGCTGCAATCCTAAACATTTACTAAAAACTAAGTGTCATTGAACTCACTGGGACTTACTCCTGAGTAAATTCAACTTGGGATCAGGTTGCAGATTATTTAGTTTGACCCAATCCCTAACTAAGTGAAGTATTTTAATATATCCCAACTTAATCCTACTGAAAAAGACGACTAAAATTCCTTTCATAAAACATGTTGCTCTAAGTTATGAGCACTTAAGATGGAGTGATTCAGTAACAGTGGCAATGAAACAAAATGTGTATCATTCTATCTTTATGATGTTGCAACTTTATGTGCTGCAAATATTCTCCTCTGTAGACCTGTACAACTACGAGTCTAATCTTCTTAAATCCTTGCCCTTCATCATAATTAGACAGCAGTTCAAGGAGTGGGAAATCCTCTTGAACAATATCTGAGACAACAGTCTGGATATCTGGGTTGGATCCTGACTTATGCTGGGTATGGCAAAAGTGTTACTGAAAGTGGGCTTCCCATAGTAGCCCCTCCAGTGCCCTGAAAGTCAGAAGATCCTTGCTGATTAGGGACAAGCAATGGGGTGTGTGTGGGCGGGGGTGGGGGGGCAGTCAGTCAGGATTCCCCTGAATTATCAGACCTTTCATCTTGCAGAAAGTCCCTTCCACTAACGAAAGACAGATCCCAGATTCATACCCAGGACTTGTTGAACAAGGTCAAACTGTGATCTTGGAGACCAACCATCTCCACAATCGGAATCCTCTTCCTCTTGTAATGGCAACATTTTATTTTGAAAATTCTGTATTAATTTAACTGTACCTCTTTCCCGGCAAAGCTCTTTTGAACATTTCACTTTCAGGCTTCTTTGCTAACAATATCCTGTGTCTTTTGAGCTTTACTGGGACCCTCAATTTAACTTACAGCTTCAAAGGACAGAAAACATTTGAGATAAAGAACAAAAACCCCTTACCTGGTTGGGAAGTATCCGTCCAGCCCCTCTTGGCTCGAACACAATAATCCCATCTAGTATTGGGGTCTGTGACAAATCTCCCAATGTCCTGAAAGAGCTGAGTGAAGGACAGTTGACTGGCTTGGTAGACAGTGTAATACAACAGGGCAGCCCTCCACAGGAAGGGATCCTTTCGGAACAGAACACTGTGAATACTTGCCAGGCCTTCCTCAGTAGGGTTAATGGGTTTTAAACCATGCTTTCTGCGCCCACTCCAGCTGCTCCAAAGTTGGCTGTTGTTGTTAATGCCTCTAAGATAATGAGTCCCTGTAAAACAGGAAAAATAAATAAATCATACAGGCAGTGTCAGAATATTAACTGTAAGTACACAAATGACTACCAGGGTGGAAACAGCAAAACCAAATTTGAGAGTTCCCAAGAAAACAAGAGACTCCACAAGCAAACTATGTTGAACCAAACATCCTACTTCTGAAATTCCTTTTTATTTCAACAAGATTTGTACTTGGCAGGCTATAGACCCTAGCTGGGTTCACACACTATTTCTGTGGCACATGGATTTTTGCCTGAACTTACTGGTGAAATGTGGAAACCAATCCTACCATGCAGGAACTCCAGAACTGGGTCTGGAAGACACAACAGCCCCACAACTGAAAGAGTTCACCATGACTTCTTGTGTTGTATGATCCTTCCCTCTGTTTAAGGAGTGGGTACACAACAAGTGGCCACATATGACCACCCAAAGCCTTAGGGTCAGCCCCTAATCAGTACCTCAACCCACAACCACAGTCTTCCCTGCCAATTCCCCAATTGCAAGCAGTCTACCCTCTTTCCCAGCAGCCCTGATACAGATCGCCCTTTCCTCATCACCCCAAGCAGTGAGGAACAAACACTCTGTATCAGGTTCAGTGGGATATATGCATGTGTGCATGCACATGGTGTGTGTGTGCATGCAAGTGCACATATGTTCATGGCCCCCAATCCCTGACCCAACATCACATTTGGCCTTCAGGGCCAAAAAACTGTGCACTCAACTTAAAGGAAGAACTATGTTGCCTTGGCAAGAGCAGTTTCCCAGCCAAATACAGGAGCAGGAGTTCAGTGTGCCTGCTGGTTCCCCTGCCCTGAAAATCCCCCCTGCCCCATCTTTCCACCACTTGGGTTTATTTTTGGTTTTGGGTCTCAGCTGGAAAGTGGGGCTGAGGGATTAAGGATGGCTGGAAAGGTGGGAAAAATATCAAACTCCCTCTTCTTATCACCCATTTTCCCAGCAACCAGCTTTACAAAATGCTGCAGAAAAATCTATATATTACTGCAGTGTTCTGGAAGCCACTCTTTGTCCCTTACCACTTTGAAACAATAAGACCAAAAATCTTAAGCATCTCCCTTAAGATTCATTCCCATGCCAAATTTACCCAGCCTCTTAAGAAAGTTTGCTCCACTGATCCTAAGATTCTCCAGACCACGATGGCTTCTTAGCCTGGTCTTGCAGTGACCTTAATATCCATGTCCAGCAAGCTGCCATTCTACTGCTATCTCACTGACAGAAAGTTCCTGACTCCCTTCATCCTTTGCCTGCTCTTCAACCTGCTGAACTGCCTCCTTAGCTTCTCAAGCTAAACTCAGTCTGCCCCAGTCTTGGGTCAGTGGACTCAGATCCATACCATCTTTATGGTGGACACTCTACATGTAAGCACAATATTCAACAGCACCCTTGTTAGAAAGGCACCTGATAATTGTGGATACATCTTTATATGGAATAAAGTCACCCCATTACTTATTTGGGTACCTATTTCATGCCGCAGCATCCCTTCCAGCCAGTGTTCACGGGCAGTGGAAATATTGATAGTAAGAGTTGGACGGCCGTTCACTATTGTCATTGAGGCTCGAGAAAGCAAATCTTCAGAGAGATGAACTACAATCTGAAAGAAAACAAATGCTAAGGTTACTAAAGTCATTTTGGTCATAGATGTAGCTAGATGTCCATTTTTGTAACTATCTATAACAGCATGCACGAAGTGTCAAGACAAATGTGAAAAGAAATCTTACTAGAAGAATGTGAATTCTCCCCACCTCCTTCTGTAATGCTGCCAGTGACAGCACAATTTTGACTACCTAGATTGCTGTATAGTATGTAGCTATGTTACTACTATGGATACCCATTGAATAGTGCTTATGTTTTGGTAAGCAATCAAACTCCTATTTGCCATTTGTTGTTTCACTTTTTTTTTCCAATTTATCATAGCTCCCTGCTCTCCACTTTCTATCCTGCTCCAGTGGGAAAGAGTTCAGATAGTCATCAGTGATGGGGTGGTAAGTTTTGACATTCATCATGACAGTCACCACAAATGTCTCCCTATGTTGAATCTGAAAGCAGCCTGCTATGAAGACAATAGGATCAGCTGACATTCATGGAATAATCAATGGACAAGGACAATTTAGTTAGCATTTTGGACCTTAGCTGAAAACATCTGAGATTCCATGAGAATGCAGTAGAGAGACCTACACGTGTACCCCGAACAGAAAAAGATGAGCAGTTTCTTTTGTCAGCACCAGGAACACTTAGCTGCTGTGATAGTTGAAGCTATGCTCAGAGATAACATGCAAGCCATGAAGGGGCTTGCAGATAATAACATCATCCCTGCTTATCAAAACATCCCAGCACTTCGACCACACAAGGCTTGGCACCACTGGCAGTAGTGATGGTTTGCACAATCAAACTGTCCACAGGGTTTTACTTAAATCATGGGTAGCTGCAGTGCATGTTGGCTGCCAGTTTGAATACACAAGCTGCAAACAGCAACTGACATGGCTTGTTACATCAGGCAAACCCAGGTGCTGGAATATGCAAGGCCCGCACACTGGAAATGGCAGCTGGCATTCCCCTGGTGCCCCACAGCTTAATTACCCCAGGGTGGCTTTCAGTGACGTGTAAACCAGCCCTAGTATGCCTTTCGCTTAAAGGTCCTAGAAATCTCACTCCACAATGTGGCTTCCTCCCTCTTCAGGACCAGCTGGGCAGCTGCTGCAGAAGCCTTTCCCTGTTAGCAACCAGTACTGAGCAGTGGTAAGACTATGAGTCAGACACATATGGGCAAGTCCTTCTCAATCGTTCAAAATGATGCTTCTGTAAGTGATCCAACCTCGCCTAAGCAGCCTTCTTTCGTCATGTATTTCCTGACATGATTCCAGATGCGACTTCTAGGCAGCAGGCTTCCTCCAGTGGCCTGCTCAAAATTTTCATAGCTTCCATATTTTTGCAAGGTCAGTTCCATAATTTTGATGGCCTGTACAAGAGACAAAAGCAGAACACACACAAATGCTAAATCGGCTGAAGCTTCTAATGTGATGTCATAGTGACTGGGTTTCCTCTGGCAATAGGTCTTTGGATTATACTAGTTTTGTTGCAGCAGTGGCCACCAAGTTGAATAATCAAGCATGGCAATAGATTTCATGCTGTTACATGCAAACCTGACAAGCCACCCAGAACTCATGGGTGATTGTAAGGTTCTAAGCAACTTATCAACCCTCACATGTCACAATAAGCTACTCTGTATCCCTGCCAAGGCTTGAATATTCAGAGTGGTGGTTACTACAATGGGAAGCTGCATAGGGAAATTTCCCTACAATGGCTTCCTTTTATGTGTGAGCCAGGCCAAAGAGGGGGGGCATCTTCTATTGTTCTAGAAAGTGGACCCATCTCTGCACTGCAATGTGCAGATTGTTCTATTCGTTTCAGAGAGGAGGTAGCATGTTGAGATGATTGAGGCTGCTCTGGCCAGGAGGGGAGCTCCAGTCATTCCTCAGAACCTCCTTTCCCCACCAATGAAATTCCAGGGCTGGAATGGGAATTCCAGACTGTGACAGGAATGCTGGTGATATGTTAGATCAGCTCTCCCTGGCCTAATGTCCTCCAGATGGGTTGGACTTTATCATACCACAGCCAGCAAGTTTATGGGAATTGCAGTTCTACATATCTGAAGGGCATCAGGCTGAGGAAGGCTATATTAGGCACTTATAAGAAAATGTGCTTTCCACTGCCAAAGAAAGAGAATAAGGCACTTTGCAATGGGCCATTTAAATAATTCAGAGTGATCGGTCTCCAGTTTCCTTAACAGAAGTCCCAGAATGCTAACAGGTACCTGTCAGGCATTATGGATCTGGTTTCTATTGAACAAACAATGGTTTCATTTCAACAGGCTGTTCCCTTTAATATTTTATCTTCTGGCAAAATCCTTTTCTTCATTGGATTTCCTTTATTTTCAAAAGCCATAAAGGAGAAGAGAACAGCATGAAAGAAAGTGAGAGAAAAACAGCAGCAGCTGCAGGGAAGGCTTCCAAGTCATCGATACCAGACACCTGATTTCCATTGACTTCCAATGAAACGGAAATGCTGACCTCACAGAAGCAAATGCATTTTTCAGGGTTTTTATGTATAAAGGGTAGGGAAATCTGATTTAAACAACAGAACAGTAGTTCATGGGTAGGAGAAAAGCACTAGGCAGGTTATCTAATCCCTACCACTGCTAACCTGCCTAGTGTTTTTCTCCTTTCATAACCATAGTGTTGGGGGGGAGGGGGGCTTGAAGGCCATCTAGCTTGCCTCCCACTCAGTGCAGGAAATCCAGAGGTAGAGTATCTCAGTGGATGACTGCCCAGCCTCTGCTTGATGACCTCTAGTGGGAGAGAGTCCATTTCTACTCTAGGTCATTGGTCCCATTGTTTCCCCTAACATCCATCTGAAATCTTTGTGCAAAGTAGCTTCACTATCATGCCCTTCTTCTCAGCATTATGAAATTAATGTTGCAGCTTTCATGCTGAATTCCTAATGATGCCTTTTTAAAGAAATCCATGTATCAGTACTTAGGAAGAGGCAAAATGACACATTTTTAAAATAATTTTGAATGCTGTTGAAACAGATGGAAGTGAGATGAGTTATCAACTTAACCATGTTCATAAACACTGAGATCCTGCAATATCTCTTTGGGGTATGAGAGTCCACCTGAGAGGTTTCCTACATTAACAAGGACTTCTCCATCCTTTAGGGTGGAGAAAGCAGCTCTGTGCATGTCTCTTTTGCACAGGTGGAGCCATCCCCTCCACTGAAGTGCATTATGAAGCTTGCTCATTCAGGAACAAGCCTAAGCTTTTAACTAAGCTGGGGTGGGGAAACTTTGGTTCTCCAGATGTTTTGGACTGTAACTCCCATCAGCACTAGCCAACACAGCCAAAGGTGAGGGATCACAGGAGCTGTGACCCTCCAGATGTTTTGTCCTATATATTGCCCGCCACTGAACTTAGTGAATTTATATCACAGAAAAACTGAGCTTGTACTATGAAATAGGTAACTGAACAATTACCCATCTAAACTGAACCAAATGTGCTTTTCTATCCATCCTGGCTGCAGACTTTTATGCACAATCAAGGGCACAGAAAGACAGTTCACTGCCCCAAGCAAACAGAATGCATTATGTGAAAGTCTTCAACATTCATTAAATGAAAAGAAAGTCAATACATGTTAATGCACTAACTGTGCCTGCAGGGTATGAAAAAATATACACATGGTTTCCCTCCCTATTTCTTTGCATTAATACTATTTTTCAAATAATTATTCTGCAATCAATTTGTACTGTATAGCAAAATGTCAGTTTTCTATCTTTAAATAAATCAAACTCTGATATGAAAATTGTCCAATTAGTTTATCTTTTTGTGTAGATTCTCCCAATCCCATTTTGCCCAGTAAATTATGATCAAATTAAGATGATAACCCAAGATTTTAAAATGCATTTGGATGCCAAACCATCATAGCATGAGTGCCCATGAAAAGGCTGTTTTGCTGTTGGATTTGCACCTGGAGTTCACTATGCTGGGCTGCTTGCTCCTACATGAACCCAACTGGCTCTGAAGGTCTTTTTCCAGTGCCTCCTGCTTCTAAGGAAAGGTGGAAAGCAATGAGGACACAAGGTCTTTTCAGACATGGCACCTTTCCTTTGGAATGTCTTCCCCTAGGTCAGTCTCTCCTTTTGCTAACTTTTAGAAAGAATCTGAAGATAAAGTATAAGTTAAGCATAAAGTTAAAGTATATGCTGCCGAGAAACTCATTATTATTATAGCATTTACATTTGCATTTTTCTGGCATCATTCCGGTGTAGGTGTGGGCAAATTGTGACCTTCAAATGTTTTGGCCTACACCTTCAATCAGACCTAGTCAGCACAGGCAAAATTGTGAAGGATCTTGGAAATTGTGGGCCAGAACGTCTGGAGGGGCACAAGTTACCCATCATGTTGGATAAAGTACCCGTTTTGTTTCAGAAAGTTGTATAAGCCAGAAATTTGAAGGTAGCCAGGAACAGAAACTTTCGGATGGCACTGAACCACTGTCCTTTGACTTCCAGCAGCAAGCTGCTGGGGGGGGGGGGGGCGTTTGCTGCTCCTGCCCCCCATGAGATTTGGCATTCCAGAATTGGCAGGATTGTGGCCTATGGGGGTTCCAGGTGGGGAGCAAAAATATCCCATGCTATCCGAAATGTTGCTGACTCTTGAATGGATGGGTGGTGTTAATCTGAGGGGCTTTGGAGGGAGATAAAGTTTAAAAGAATTAAAAAATTCAATCATCAGAGACAATAGACCTAAATCAGAGGGGAGAGAGATGCAGAGGCACAGCATCAGCAAGCATGAAGAAAGAAACAAGAAGTCAAAATTATCTTTACCTGCTTAAGAAAGGTGTTGGACGCATGGCTGTGCTTTGCTAACACACTGGACAGTGCTGAACTTGCATATTCAAACTGTGGATTGTAGGTAAATTCAGACTTGAAGAATTTCATCTTCTCCCTCTCCACATTGGAAGGTTTGATAGCGGTGAGGATGCAGAGCTTTTTCCCAGTGGCTTCCCCTTCTTTCAAGCAGCTTTTGGACATTGGCAGCTGTTTGGGCTTGGTCAGGCTGGAGAAGGAGTGCCTTTTGGCCTTGGCCCTGGCTTGAGCCGGCAATCCTATGCTGCTCCCTGCCACGGAAATACTGTGTGCCAACCTGACCCTGCTGGGCATGGAGCTGGTGATAAAGAGAGATGGCTGCCTACTGAGGCAGCACCACCCATTTCTAAGCAAAGGTAGTGGGGCCTTCATCTTATGGCGGTCATTGCTTCGCAAAGCATTGGCAGGTTTTGTGGACTTCCTGTGCCTTTTGTGGTAGGCTGATGAGGTTTTTTGGAAAAGGTGCTTTCTCTCCTCTTTGCTCTGCAGGAGGACATTGTAGCTGCTAGTGCCTGTGGTAAATGTGTCCTTAAGGATTCCTGACCTGGATAGGTGCTGAACACTGCTGCTTTCATTCTTAAGAATGGATTTGTGTTCTTCCGGACTCAAGACAGTCTTTTTGGAGAACTCTCGCTCCGGCCAGTGAAGTTTTTCTGCATGAAATTAAAAGTAAATCACTAGGCAAAAAACAAACTCAACCCAGAAAGAGGCTTTAAGGTTTTAACAGAGTTGTATGTAACAAGGAAGAAGTAATTTGTATTCAGACATGAAAAAAGACAAAGCAGACATCACTAACCTGGTACCCTCCAAATGTTTGGGCTACAAATCCCAGGATTTCTGACCATTGGCCATGCTGGCTGAAGCATAAAGGAGCTGAAGTCCAAAATATTTCGAAGGCACTAGATTGGGGAAGTCTGCACAAGCCTACATTTAATTAAATAGTAAGTACTTGGAGTGTGACATTTTAGATTGTGCAAAAAAACCCAAACCAGAATGGATTCACCTTTTGTAAAACATGCAGCTTTTGAGTCAGGAAAGTGCCCCTTAATAATACAAGACTGAAGAGGAAGAGGAAAAACAAGAAAGGCCTTGATATTTAAAAGCTAGGAAACATGTTCCCCTTTCTGTGGAGTGCATTGAACTTGTCAAAAGCATACCAGTTTGAGCATGTGGGAAATATAAAAGCCAACACGCGCTGCTCACTGATTGAAAGAGTCATAAACCTGTCATTTGCTTGGCAGATTTCATCCTGAAGGACAGCTTTCTTGAACATGGTGCAATCCAGATGTGTTAGACTGCAGTATGGTAGTTTTGATTTAAATCGAATCAATTTAAATCACTAGTCAGTAAGACTAGATTTAAATAATGGTTTTGCACGCATGCATAGAGAAGCTTCATTAAAATATTCCCAAACTGGGTTTCTTTTATGGCTTGCTGCTATTATAGGTTCTTCCCTCCTGGGAAAGAATAATGTAATAAACCTCAGGCTATACACAAAAAGATCCAAAGACTTTTGGAATATTCTCAAAAGCTTTTATTTTCATTTTCACTGCTTGCCCCTCCCTCCTCATACTTAATTTCTTGTGCAGATCTGTTCTGCTCCCAATAATCTTCTATTCATTGAAATTTTGAAAACTTGGTACTTCAGAGGTACATAGATTTGCAAAGGAACAATGGGATTAAGGCCTTTTTTTCAACTCTGCATTTTATAACATTTTTGCAGTGAAGAAGAGGCGTGTGATCTCCGCAGACACAAATTCAGTGTTTTGAGAATGGTAAAACCAAGCATCTGTGGTAATATCTTCTAGATAGAAAAACTGCCCAATAAGCTGACAGAAACCTCTGGGAGTGCATGACATTGTGAATGGATTAATGGAATTCATTTACCTAAAAATTATTGCATGAATGTACTGTCTCATGCTATATCATTAAAAATGAATCCTTATTTCATGATGAATAACATTAGGAGTATAATATATTTTAAATAGAAAACTATAGATAGAATTTTCCTCAAAAAGCATTTTATTTTAACAAATCTGATTTAAATTTTAAAAATCTGGGTTTCATTTAAAATTTTTAAATTAAATTATTTTTATCCACCATGGATTGCAGCTTTTATAATTCCTTGTCATCATATCAACTGTGAGCAGCACTGAATATTTCTTCAGAGCACAGATAACGGGGATGAGGAAAGACCTTCCTATCTCATCCATTCTCGCACTAGAGTGGCTTTGGAACTGAGTCAGCAGCTTCCTCAGTTTCTTGCACACTAGAAATATATAAGCAGTTTTCCTTCTTGTATTAGCTTCATGTAAACTCCAAACAAGCTGCCCAACAAATGATTATTATTCTTGAAAGCAACTGTGGTCCTGTGCCTGATGAACCGCTACTCATCTCCAGGCTGGAGGGGGCCATGGTGGAGTTTTGTTGGAAGTTCCTTTGCCCTGCTTTAAAGTTAAACAAAAATTAGTATGCATTCCAACCCCCCTCCCTTCAATCCAGAAGATATTATGGTTGTATATGAGCACATTACTCCCACACTGGGTTCAGGTTATATATTTCAAGACACCAGTACTTTAAAGGGTCCCACCTGACTTCAAGATTCAATACAAATCTATATTGGATTCTTCATTTGCCTGATGTAGAGTAGTCCTGCAAAACACAAACCTTGTGCCTTCCTAGGCTATCAACCGTTGTTCCAACAAAACACTATCATCTTACCTGTTCCATATCACATGACTTGCGACAACATAGTAACTGCCTAGAACCAGATATGAAGACTGAAGAAAAGTGTGTCATGCCAAAGCTCTGAATGCTTAGCACTGCTCCCATTTAGGGTAAAACCAAATTCAATTATAGATCAAAAAGAGCTCACAGTGTCTCCCTTAGCCACAGAGGAAAACCCAGTTTTGCAGTACTATTACATGTATGCATGCCAGTGTCCAATACCAGCCCAGCACTGCCTGTCTCTCCATCTCTCTCATATCTTGGGGGACACTCTGACTTTCAGGCAAGGCCATCCAAGATATTTTTACTATTATCATTTTTCAGTGATTGTATGCTTTTACTGTATATTACGCTGTGGCTTTATTATTGTTTTAAGCCATTTCTATTATTTCTGTAAGCTGCCTTGAGTGCCATTTTGGGATTTAAAGGCAGGGTATGCCTAAAATCAATCAACCAATGCTGCAGCCTGAGAAAGACAAGATGGTGTTCCTGTGTCATTCTCTGTATAGAAGCCAACTGGCCTGACAAGTGAATATTAACACATTAGCAACAGCCTCTCCCAACTCATGTAATTACTGCACTTCAGGCAGTAGATAAGCTTAGTGGGCTCAGGGCAGGCCATGTGATAAACTGAGCTCTATCCTCCAACATCGCACTGTTTTTCTATGTCCCCCAGTATCTGCCACCTCACTCTGCCTAATGATAGGGTTAGACCTGCTCAAAAATAAAAATCTCACACTCATTTTTTTAAGCACTGCAGGAATGTTCATGCATTTATTCATTCATTTGTTTTGCATTATTATTGTTTTTAAAAGAAAACTACTCTTGGGATTGGCAGGAGTGTTTCTTAGTGTTAGTAACCTCATTGCTAACCTTAGTGTTACTCACTCTAGACCAACCTTTCTCAAGGTGGTGGTGTCCACCTGATAGTTTGGACTACAATTTCCAAGAGTCCCAGTAATCATGACCAATGGTCAGGAATGTTGAGAGTTGCAGAGTGCACCATGTTGGGGAAGGTAACCTTAAACTAGGCCTATATTTTACCCATAGAGAAATATCAGTTGCATTACCTTTTCAGTTCTTACAGAATCCAATGACATGATACATAAACCGAAAACAAGCATTTATGGAACAGGACAATGACATTTTTGATATTAAAAATAGATCCCATCTTGCCAATAAATGAGGAACATTCTGAAAGATTTCATTCCTGTGACCTTGTTATAATTACTTTAGACTGACAAAATTCTTGCCCTAAAGTGGTGAAAAATGAGGTGCCATGCATAAGGGTTGGCATATAAATAAATAAATGCACCAATACAAAGATTCTGTCATAAGGTTATGCTATGGCATGCAGCACGTCCTATAAAATGTGTCAACAGAGTGAGGTGGGAAGGGGAAAAAGAAGCCAGTATTTTGCATTCAGTTTGCCTGCAAACATGGAATCAGAAATACCAGCCCTTGTCCTTCTGCTTACAGAAACAAAATGCACAAATTTAGTTTGGCTTTCTGGTGTTTTTATGGCTGGCAAAACACCAACCAGCACAGAACAGTGCTGGCCTGATCTGATCATCTTAATCAGAGCCAGCCTAAAGGTGCTTATCTCTGTGTTTTGTTTTGGCATGTACCAGAGGACTCACAAACTGCTATTCCGGCAAACATCAGATAAAGCTTCCTGGGGGCAAATGTGGTCATAGTATCCTTTGATGAACAAACTTCACATTCCTGTGCCCACCTACTTGAGAGTAAGTTCAGCGAACTTCAGTGGACTTAATTCTAAGCAAGCATACAGAGGATTGTCAGATCTCAACTTGCAACAGAAAGTATTGAACTGTCTTACTATTCAAGGCTTATAGTAACACACATGTTCAAAAAAAAGTAGAAAGATGCTACCCAAATGAACATTTGGGCTTTTCCCATCTCTCTTTCCTGGTGAAATAATAATGCCTTGGATCTATTTTAGTGAGGCTTCCATTGGCTTTCTTCACAATCCTACAACTAACTGGGCTCAACCCTACTCAACTTGAAAAACCATCCTCCTAATGGCCATGTAGTGGAAACTGTGGTTAAAGAAGTGTACTTTGCACATACTCTGAGGCCCCCTAACTTCTAACTCCTCCCCTTTGTCATTCTTGCTTCCCTCTCTATTGAAATTCAGAGTACATCATGGCCATGGCATAAGGATCTATGCTGCTTAGGGACATGCATTGATGGCTTATAAACACCTTCTTTCACATATATCTTTCTGCCCTTTGATAGCCGACAGTGTTTGATAAATGCTTGGAAGAGAAGTGAAGAGAGGAAAAGTCATAAGATCCAGCAGCCCCACAGCAACTGCAGTTCTGATTTAGATGTAGGAACAAAGAACCAGTGCAAGCCACTGAGGATAGCAGTGAGACAGGTGGGCCCAATGGGTTTGTCACAGCATAAAGTAGCTTCCTATGGCTGTAATAATTACAAATTCACCACCACCACTCTCCATTAAGGTTATTCCAGTGATTCCTCTTACACACATTTATCCATGGGCTTTGATGCTCTGTGCCAAAATCCAGAATTCTCAACCAAGCAAACTTAATCTTAATTCTCTAAGTCAGTAATATGTATGTTGAGTTGCATACACTTGTTCTGTTTGAAAGAAGTATCGGTATTAGATTTCTGATAGCTCTACTACTTTTTTACAAAGGGAGTTGTTATGAGGTTTAGTCAGGTTCCATATATAGAAACAAAGGATGGGTAGACATGAGGTAGAAACATACCGCCACCCCCACCCCAAAAAAAGACCTGAATATTGACTCTTTCAGCAAAACCTGTCTCAATATATCAAAGCTATGATGACTAGAAGCATGAATTTTTAAAAGTTTGTATTTAAGGAATCCACAAGCTGTGGCAGATTAGATTTAAATGAATATTTGTAATACGGGCAATATTAGTTTCAAACCAAGTGTTGCTTGATGTATAGTTATTACTTGTCCCTTTGAACCTTTAATGTTTATCAGCCCCTTTTAGATCCCATTATAGTTCTACTAATCAAAGGCCATACACTATCTGCAGTCATTTCAGCAAAAAATGACAGCCTGTCAGAATGTGTTAACTCGTTTTATCTGCACATAGTTGATTGAGCTTTTCCAGTAGCAGAATAGCGTTGGGAAAAGATATTTTCAAAGTAACGTGGACTTCTTCATGCCTTAAAAACATCACAAATTAACATGCATCCCCACACATATATTAATTTATTATTATTATGGTATTAGTTCATGGTCTCTTTGCTGCTGCAGTTAAAGAGCTGCAATATTATTTATTATCTGTATCTCAAAAAAGAATTATAGCTTACACTTTTTAATTAATGAATAGTCAGCCACACTGTGGGTTGTTCAGTGAATTGTGGCTTATTCACAGAGCATGGTATGTGAACCCGTGCATTGTCCAGAACTTCTGCACTGCCAAATAGGGCAATTATGTCAATGGTCTATTGCAACTCGCCCTTACATAGTGCAGCAAGGGACTTGATGTAAATGCTGGATTTGGATACCGAAAAGTCCTCTGGCATTTTCAGCAGTCCCTTGAATTCTATATGTTTTCAAGTTCACACTGTCGGAATTGGTCCCCCACTTCTGCAGGGAGGGACTGGCACCGTAAGACCAAACTTCAGCAGTACGTAGCCTGACTATGACAATGGGTTGATCCCACGCTACCCTGAATATACAAACTCTGTTTGGCTAAGATGCAGATACCTTGGCAGAACCAAGCTAGAAAATGAGACATGGCTATACAAAAGTATTTACTGTGGAGAGCGGGGAATGAAATCCATGTTGTAGTCTTGATTTTTTTTTTTTTTGTTTCACAAATATACCAATGGGGCAATTTTTGCAAAGGATACCCTAACTACTTATCCCATGCCTAGGTATTTATGCCCACAAAAAGTTAACCCATTCTGTTTAATCCAAACCTCTACTAAATGTACTTGCTATGTTTTCACATAAGTTTATTTATTTATTTATTAAAAAAATTCTATTCTGATTACATGGAACATTTCTAAGTTCCATGTAATCAGGATGTCAATGGGGAATTGTAGGCATGAATTAATTACTCTTGAGTGTAATGTTTTCTTTGATGAATTGTGGGTAGGGGTTTGCTGGCAAACATAGGTATTAATTGCAATCAACTTCAGTCCCATTGTTTTCAGTGGGCCTACCATAAACATGACAACAGATGCTTTGGGGGCAGAGAGGGGAGGCTCCTAGCACAAACAATAAAAGGCATTATGCAGCTTTTTCTTGATTTTTTTATTTTTTTGTAGACACCCCCCCCCCCCCCACCCCCACCGTAAACAGTGGGATACCATCCTGTAAATTCTGGTAAATTCTATGGATGAGGAAGGGAAATTACATAATAAAAGCTTCACCTGGAAGCACCTTAAAGGCCAAAGAAGCCACGAGTACAAGATGGAATAGCTGTGCAATACCTTTTTATTGGCAGTGCCAGGGTCTCTCTGTATGGAAATATCTGCTGTCAAGTGTGTTTGGCAGCTAAGTCATTTTTACACTAGACTAGTGCAAGCCCTCTCATCCGGAATTTGAAACCCAACCTGGCTTTTCTCGATGCTGTAAGTACTCTACAGGAAATTTTGGGGAGCGGATGGAAGTGCTGCTAGGCACTCATTTAAAGCCGTGTCTGTTTGGACAGGCCGTCTGGCTTCAACTCGGACGATTTTGCGTTGCTAACAGCAGCGAGACAACGATGGAGCAAAAGCAAGGGAAGAAATTCGCGATACTCACCAGTGACACGGATGGATTCGAGCATCATTCATGTGTGGGTGTGGGTGTGCTTGGAGGATTCAAGTCCAGCATGGACAGCTGGGCAGACACAACCGAGAAAAAGCGGGAATGGGATTCTTTTGTTTATATACGCAGGCGGCTGAGCCAAGTGCTGAAGCCGAGGAACAAAAAGCTGCAGCAAATCGAAAAGGACGCCTGGCTTTGTCCAGGGAGCCGCTCTGCCTTTTTTAGCATCTCCCGGCAGCGCCAGCCACCTTCCTCTCCTTCCCCTGCTGCTCCTTCTAAAGGGGCTTTGGAGGAGACAGCAGCCCGAGAGCACCTCTGTCCGTTGCTAGGACACCTCCGTTTCCTCGCAGATGCCACAGAGCAAGGAAACACAACAGGAGTTTGCAGATGCGCAATGGGCACTTCTGCACGGGATTCTCTTCAGAGACCACATTTCCCAAAATACAATGCGCCGAGGCGCGCGCGTACGGTACGCTGGGACTTGTAGTCTCGGGAGATAAATCGGCTGGGACTCCGAAAAAGGAGGACACGCAAAAGAGCAACAAGGTTGCAAAAGAAGGACACGCAGAGCCACTCAACTGTTGTGTGAACGAACAACTTTTGTGTGGACGTCTAAGAAAGCTGCAGCCGAGATAATGGCTTTTCCGCTTCCTTCCGTTATGTTTTACAAGCTAGCCTATCAATTTAATAGCTATTGTTTTCATGTGGAACATCACAGTTGGAGAAAGTGTCATATTTACGAATGCTTTACGTAGAGCATCCAAACACTTGATCTGTAGATCAAGGCTTGAAAACCCATAGTAAAGTCCCCTCCTCTGTTTTTTAAAGAGCAAGTCCATAGTGGATGCCAAGCTAAGACTCTGAAATGGGTGGTCGGTGCCTATAGAATTGTTTTGCTGTCAGAAGGAATTACTAGAATTGACTAGAACAGAACTTCCGTGCCCTTTCTTGCTTCTCCCAATCACAGTCAGCCACAAAATAAATGATGCACCCTGAAGAATATACTGATTTTAAAAATTTTCACCATTTGCACAGGCAGTGGAGTCCTGTTTTTTGTCTTGGCACCAAGTTTAGGCTATTGTGACACAGAATTTTAACCAATTAATTAATGTGCAGGGCAGACACAGTCATGCCACATATAGTGCAGGTATTGGACTACAGCTCTTGTCATCTTTGAAGCAATGCCCATGCCTGCTGGGGGTGCAAGGAGCTGCAGTCTGCTCCCAACACAGAATCCTTGCCCAAGGTTGGAGATATAATTGACGCATGGCATCCTTTTTGCTCTAAATGCTGTATCTGTATACCTGAACCAACTTCACTGAGTTCCATGAATCCTCTTAGCTAATTTCTTTAAGCAGACACAGGTAGGCTTGTTCCACATACTGATGGTCTTGCATACATTGTTTACTTTTACAGTCCTAGTCCTGGATGAATTGAGAGTGCTGTGTCATCATCTGTCTCTCTTAGACACTCTTTTTCCTTTCCAGAAGCAGCTTAATACTTTGAAAGCCTTCAAGGCATGGATAAAACACCTGACAGGAAAGAAAGGATGATATATTATTGCATTTCATTTTGAAACTTGTTTATTGCGATACAAAGATTCAGAGATGTTTGATTTGATTAGTTAGCACTTTCCTTATTTAGCATCTCCGGACTTCAAACAAACAGCATTGCTTTGATCAAAAGAACAAAAAAGAAACAGCAGAACCCACAACATTGTTCTGCTGCTGAGATGTGATTCAAAATGAATGTAATAATGGAGTGAGAAAGGAACAATTCCCTTAAATTTTAGAAGTGGAAGAAATCTCTCTCTGTTTTCATTGTCATCATCTTTTAACAGCTGAAAATTTGCCAAACCTGTTTCCAAGCTGCTGATTATATAGCCATCTTTTAAGCAAAATATTTAGGGACTGCAAAACCCAGCAGTTTACTGATGATTTGTTTGTGGGCTGACCACTGTGTTCTTTAATCCCTAAACCTCCCAGTGGTCCAGACTGGAATTTCAAGCTCAACAGCCTATGAAGAAACCATTTGTGGGGTGCTGAGTAAAGGTGGAAGAGGTAGACACACTGCAGACAGCACTCCCACTATCTCCCACCATCCCCAACAACCTGTGGGTTGTTCAGCCTGTGGGAACAGCTATAGTAACTTAGCGGATGCAGAATAGGCTAGCATGGTGCATCAGGGAAAATGGTAGAAAATGGTCTGCTAGCAAAACTCTACTGACTATTGTGAATACCTCCCTTTGCCTAACAGTAGGGCTGGCCAGCCTTGATGGCACATTTTGTTTAACATTGTGTACATTCACTCTTTTCATTTAGTGTGGACAAAAGAAAGCAGGTCAATATGGCATCTGACCTGGCTCTGCCCCAATCAATTATAAAGTGTGTGTGGGATGGGGTCCAATTTTTAGTGCACAAGGTGTGTGTAAGAGCAGAGTCCAGTCTTTGCTGTGCATGCCCCTTCCTGATCTTTCTCTCTATTAGTACTTTTCTCTCAGTTGAGGTCTCTTCAAATGGGCCATTTTAATGGGGTTTAAGTTTAAGGAGGCCTTAGATAAAGTGCTGTCTGATCCCTTTCTCCTGGCACTGTACTGGTGGGTCCTTAACAAAACGTTTAGTTTGGTTACGGTAGCTCTGGTCAGAGCCTGGTAGTAGGTCCACAAGCCAGCTGCCATTTTAAATTCCCACAGTGCCCTAGAGCAGGAGTGGCCAGACTTGCTGAACAGAAGAGCCACATAAAGTAAAGGGCAGGTGTTTGCGAGCCACAAGTGGGTGCCTGCAGGCACTCTGCTCCCACATGCAGCTCCCAAGCCTTGGTTTGGACACCCCTATCCTAGAGAAACACTCTGTTGGGAGCATTATAGGGGATTAAAATGGCAACTGCTGTAGCTGGACAGTTTGTAAAAGGAGCCACCCGTGTTGGTAGGCTTTGATGGGGCAACTGCCTGAGGATATAGTGTGAGGCCAGGCTTTGAGTTCAGCTGAGAAGAAAAACACCAAAGGCAAGGATGCGCAATGTTCAGGGGTCAGGGAGTAATGCAGCCCGCCCCCTCATCCTCTGGGGGCCATATATATGCACCACACCATAAGCATGAATCCCAAATTTGCTCCTGCTGCCGTAAACTGGGTAGCGGCAGCAGTGTGCATGTGTGTTCAGTGGAAAGTCACGCAAAAGGCCAGGGGACTTTGCAGCCCACTAACTGCCTACCCCACTTTAGCCTAATAGGGTTGAGTCACTATCTTGCCTTTTTAAGTTTTTATGAATAAACTTTGCAGCCATTTCTGTCTTCACAATTATTTCATTTACCTTTCTTTTGCTATGCAAATAATGATTACCTTACCTTAACAGTTACCTTAAAGGGATTTGTACAGAAGCCATGATGCTATTTTATAATGCATACTCTTCCTTTTATCTTTTACATTTCATATATTTTGGTGTCTTGCCTCTAGAATGGTGTTTAAATGTGTTGTGATGGCCAAAAGCTAGCAAAAGTTAAAACTGAATATATAACTCCATTAAAAGATTACTTTCATTATGTTTAAAACAGTTCAGTCATATTTTGACAAATGCTAATTCAAATAAATAAAACACACATTTATCAAGAAACCTTCTTCCAGCATTTTTTGCAGTTTTTACTGTTGTTGGTCTCATATAGGTTTCTGGTCTCTGTCTGGATTTGAACACTGCAGTTTAAAAATTCATCACTTCTACTCAGCAGTTACAGCCTGTGCTGTGAACCTTATAAGGAAATGTTATTTTATGTTTTGCCAGTCGTGAGTAACATAAGGCAACTGTTATTCTTTCTCCACTCTACTGTATCTTTTTAATTCACTATAACAACAGGCATTACATTTTTCATTTAAACACCTAAGGGCACAATCTTATGCACATTAAAATAGCAAAGAGGCGTACAACTTGTAAGACTGTTTTCTGTCTAAACATGCATAGGATTGCACCCTAAAAATTAGGATTCCAAACTAAAGACTATAAACATTATGAAAACTTTGTTCCTGCTTTTTCCTTTTTTCTTTTTCTTCCTCCACCATTTTGCTTGGTTTTATTGTGTTGTAAGCCGCCCTGAGGCTTCGGCAAGGGGCGGCATAGAAATGTTATAATAATGATGATGATGATAATAATAATAATAATAATACTAATAATGGCATAGGGCAGGGGAATTGCACTCTCCATGCCAATTGAGCCAAAATGAGGGGCCAGATATTTGTCCTATTTGAAATTATCCCTCACCATTTTGAAGATATGGGTGAAGGATGCTTGCCTTTTTAAGAGGACAGTTGCAGCCACCTGCACAGTGCAATTTTTCCCCACCCCAGCACACCTCACAGCAGTGTGAGAATCATTGGCTCTTTTAGGTTGCATCCTACTAAGAGTTTCTCAGCAATAAAATCCATTGAACTCATTAGGACTTATAGGACTGCACTAGGGCGCCATTTCAATCATTCAATTCATGTATTTATTATATTCATGTATTTATATTTTAATGCATGCTCTGGAACAGAGACCTAGTGGGGTCAGTCTTTGGCAGCAAAGGCTCCCTAATGTCTTACAAAGGCTTTTTTTTATTCTTCAACTGAATTAAACCTATAAAGCCTTCTGTTTTCAGACTTAAAATCTCACTACTACCTTAGAGCAGGGAGCTTTGTTTTCCCAAAGTAAGTCATCTGTGAGTATCTAAAAGTAAACTGAACTTACCTGAGCTCAATAAAATTATTTCATCCAATTAAAAGACAGTATTAACGCAGCAGCGTTATGTGGAAAATGCAAAATGCAGGACTGCAGAGATACATTCTATTCCTCCCTGCTCATTTATGTATTCAAAACAAATTATCAAGTATGCTTTTAAAACTTCTGCTTTGAATATGTGAGCTGCTTTGCTGGTTTTGAGTTCCCTCTTCCTCTTAGTACTTTATTTACTGAAAGATTACACCAGAACTAGGAGAGCCATTGTTTGGCTGAAATTCCTCATCTAGCCGTTTTTTTCTTCCCAGTTCACTTGAAGGTCCTCCTAGGCTGGTCCCAGTTGGATAGTTTCTGACCATATAGCTTAACTGACACTCTAAACCTGCTTTTCTAGAACAATGTGTTGTAGCTTCTATGATGTCATATTATGACTTCATCCTGCCAGATTCAAATCTTCATTTGAGACACATCCATTGTACTATGCTTTTAGAAGGGCTGGCTAAATCCATGCTACTTAAGAACACTGATTTGAGTTTAGCAAACTGATTTTATCTCAAGCAAAACAAGGAAACCTAAATTAATTAGTATGCTAATAGTGAGCATTTGATTTTTTTTTTTTTTTTTTTGCCTCCTCTGGAATTCTAAAATGGACCAGTGAAAACTCAGACAAGACTTAACATGGGATAATTTATTTAAAGAGGCATTTGGAGATAACAAACCAGTTATGGTGTTAGTCTGGAGAGTATAAGGATTCCTAGCACCAGTATAAGAAATTAAGGATTTCAGATATTAGAAAACAGAATGATATACCTTCACTGTCAAACTCAAGGGCATGAAATGGCTATCCAAAACTAAACTTCAATTTAAGGAAGAACAATATTTGTTTTTTTAATATGAAGTAGGACCAATGTGTAGCCTTTACCTGAGATGATGATGGATACAATGATGCTGCAGGGTAGATTCCAAGGTATTCCAATGAAAGAGACTATGTAACCATGGCTATCCTGTAATAGAAGATTTGGCACATTACTGGTATTTTAAAATACATTGTCAGTCCCTTGAAGGTTCTATTCTCTTTATCTCATACATGACATCTAGTAGTTCTTTAACAAGGACTCACTTGTTAAATCCACCAAAATCAGTGGGGCTTGTTCTTGAATAAGCACAGAAAAAAACATGTACCATAAGTCCCAACTGTAGGCATCAGGCAACTATAAAGCAACATAGTTGGCATAACAGTAATGCAATGATGTTTGGACAGGCACAGGGCTCTGGGCTACATCACTGACATTTGTCAAAATGTCAGTTTTGTGCACTTCTTTCTGAAACATTAGTCAAACTGCTATTTTTTTTTTCTGACAAGGCTCCTGAGCCTTTAGCAGCTCCAGGGCAGACAAGGAATACAGACCAGGATCTTCATCAATAGTTATTATACTTTTAAATATGAAAACACATCACACCGGTCCTATATAAGCCACACTGGCTATCAATTGAAGTCCAGACCTGATTTAAGGTGTTGTGTTTGTTGATGTTAGTCACAAAGTCGTGTCTGACCCATCGTGACCCCATGGATAACATTCCTCCAAGCCTTCCGGTCCTCCACCATCCCCCGGAGTCCACTTAAGCTCACGCCGACTGCTTCAGTGACTCCATCTTGCCACCTCATCCTCTGCCATCCCCTTCTTCTTTTGCCATCTATTGTTCCCAGCATTACGCTCTTCTCCAGGGAGTCCTTCCTTCCCATTAGGTGGCCAAAGTATTTGAGTTTCAACTTCAGGATCTCGCCTTCTAAAGAACAGTCAGGGTTGATCTCCTCTAGGACTGACCAGTTTGATCTCCTTGCGGTCCAAGGGACTCGCAGGAGTCTCCTCCAGCCCCACAATTCAAAGGCCTCAATTCTTTGGCGCTCAGCCTTCCTTATAGTCCAACTTTGACAGTCATACATTGGGAAAACCATAGCCTTGACTATACGCACTTTTGTTGGCAGGTTGGTAGGGTTGTCTCTGCTTTTTAGTATGCTGTCTAGATTTGCCATAGCTTTCCTCCCCAGAAGCAAGCCTCTTTTAATTTCTTGGCTGCAGCCCCGTCTGCAGTGATCTTGGAGCCCAGGAAAATAGAATCTGGCACTACCTCCATTTCTTCCCCATCTATTTGCCAGGAAGTGAGAGGACCGGATGCCATGATCTTAGTTTGCTTAATGTTGAGCTTCAAGCCAACTTTTGCACACTCCTCCTTCACCCACATCAAGAGGCTCTTTAGTTCCTCTTCACTTTCTGCCGTTAGAGTGATATCATCTGCATATCTGAGGTTGTTGATATTTCTCCCAGCAATCTTAATTCCAACTGGTGATTCATCTAGCCCCGCCTTTCTCATGACGTGCTCTGCATATAATTAAATAGGCAGGGCAACTGTATACAGCCTTGCCAAACTCCTTTCTCAGTTTTGAACCAATCAGTGGTTCCATGTCCAGTTCTCACTGTTGCTTCTTGACCCGCATATAGGTTTCTCAAGAGACAAATAAGATGGTCTAATACACCTGTCTCTTTAAGAACTGGCCACAATTTGTTGTGATCCACACAATCAAAGGCTTTAGCATAGTCAATGAAGCAGAAATAGATGTTTTTCTGGAACTCCCTAGCTTTCTCCGTGATCCAGCTTATGTTGAAAATTTGATCTCTAGTTTCTCTCCCTCTTCGAAATCCTGCCTGTACTTCTGGTCATTCTCAGTTCACATACTGCTGGAACCTAGCTTGTAGGATTTTGAGCATCACTTTGCTAGCGTGAAATGAGTGCAATGGTGTGGTAGTTTGACCATTCTTTGGCATTGCCCTTCTTTGGGATAGGAATGTAAACTGACCTTTTCCAATCCTGTGGCCACTGTTGAGTTTTCCAAATTTGCTGGTATATTGAGTGTAGCACTTTTACTGCATCGTCTTTTAAGATTTTGAATAGCTCAGCTGGAATACTGTCGTCTCCACTAGCTTTGTTGTTGTTCAGACTTCCTAAGGCCCATTTAACTTCACTTTCCAGGATGTCTGGCTCGAGGTCAGTGACCACCCCATTGTGCTTATCAAGGATGTTAAGCTCTTTCTTGTATAGTTCTTCTGTATAATCATGCCACCTCTTCTTAATCTCTTCTGCCTGTTAGGTCCCTGCCATTTTGGTCCTTCATCATGCCCATCTTTGCATGAAATGTTCCCTTCATATCTCCAATTTTCTTGAAGAGAGGAATGGGTCCTCCCCATTCTATTGTTTTCTTCTATTTCTTTGCACTGGTCATATAAGAAGGCATTCTTATCTCTTCTAGCTATTCTCTGGGATTCTGCATTTAGTTGGGTGTATCTTTCTCCTTCTCCCTTTCCTTTCACTTCCCTTCTTTCCTCAGCTATTTGTAAAACTTCCTCAGACAGCCATTTTGCTTTCTTGCATTTCTTTTTCTTTGGGATGGCTTTAGTTGCTACCTCTTGTACAATGTTGCGAACCTCGTCCATAGTTCTTCAGACATTCTGTCTATCAGATCTAATTCCTTAAATCTATTTGTCACCTCTACTGTATATTCATCAGGGATATGATTTAGGTCATACCTGAGTGGTGTAGTGTTTTTCCCTACTTTCTTCAATTTAAGCTAAGGTATTAACAGTAACATATAAAGACCTAAATGGTTTAGGGCCTGGTTATCTAACAGAAGGGATACAGGTGGCACAGTGGTTTAACTGCTGTGCTGCTGGGCTGGTTGATCGAAAGGTCGCCGGTTCGAATCTTCACAACGGGGTGAGTTCCCATTGCTCCATCCCAGTTCCTGCCAACCTTGCAGTTCGAAAGCATGCAAATGCAAGTAGATAAAAAGGTACCACTTTGGTGGGAAGGTAATAGCGTTCCATGCACTTTGGTGTTTAGTCATGCCGGCCACATGACCACGGAGACTGTCTAGACAAATGCTGGCTCCCTTGGCTAGGAAACGGAGATGAGCACCGCCCCCTAGAGTCAGGCATGACTGGACTTCATGTCAAGGGGAAACCTTTACCTTTACCTTTATCTAACAGAACATCTCCTTCCATATGAGCCTGCCTGGACCCTAATATCTGTTGCAGAGGTCCTCCTCCAAGAACCCTCCTTGAGAGAGGTGAGGAGGATGGTTATGGAAAGGAAGGCATTCTCTGTAAGAGCACCCCAGTTATGAAACTCACTCCCCAGAGTGGTGTGCCTGGCACCAACACTTTATTCATTTCTGTGCCAGGCCAAAACCCTTTTATTCTCAGTTTTTAAATTAATAATGTATTTTAATTAGTTGTAGCACATGTGGGCACTGAGGAGTTGTAAGCATAAAAACTTAGTTTCTACTAGATGATTTTTTCCCCTAAGTGTACAAAATGTGTGCGGCTGCAGAATACACCCAGAATAAGCTTGGAACCAGTCCTGGAATTTTCCTCCGAAGAACATGGCAGCAGCTCAATACACAAAACACCCAACAAATTTTCTTTCTTTTCTTTTGCCTGGCAAAAGATTTGCGCAAAAAAGATTTGCGACCTGGCACAGGAGACCTTACAAAACAGCATAGCAACACCACAAGTTGATCTTAAAAAGCGCGCTTGGTCCAAGACGGACAGGATACGTTCGTCTAAATGGCGAGTGTTCATGTCAGTCATACTCTTTATCCTCCCACTTCCTATAACTGGGTTCGTATGAGCACGGTACGGTAGTGCGAGACTCCCAAAGCGTCCTGTTCGGTTGAGCTTACATTTGGAATGGGGAAGCAGGAGGCGATGATGACGCTCCCTCGGTTAAGTACGACTCCCTGATGCAATTGGACAGGGCGGGGCGTCATGGGCACGTTGGGTGTGGCGCATGCGCGGTGCCTGTCCTGCGGAGGCAGGCGCTGAAATTCAAACCTGAAGGGCGGTTAACGTTGCAGAGGCTCGGGCAGCGAGACCGCTTGGCGACCGACGCGGTGAAGGGGGCGCGTGTGGACGTTCTCCGTCGGCGACACCTGCAAGTATGGACCCCTTCACTGAGGTGAGTGGTTTCATGCGCACAGCTTTTCCCGCTGAGGGGGTTATGAAGTCTGTCAGAATGCGCGGGAGCCACGCGAGTGCACAGGGTCAAAAGTAGTGCCTCTGTTAGCGGTGTGCGGGGAGACACTTCGGATATAGTGTGTGGGGGGTAACTAGAGGGCACGTCATGTGAAAACGGGCGATGTTCTTCATGGCAAGCCTTCCTTTGGAGTAATACTCTCAGGGAGACTTGCTTCTGGGTAAAAATGCCCAGGAGTAGCGTGTAAGGCAGCCCTCCTTTGCACGCTTACTTGGAAGTAAGGCGTACTTGGGAATAGATATGCACAGAGTTGTGCTTGAAGCCCTTTGGCAGCACTCTAACGTCAGTCCTTATGGTGCACGTCTACTTGGAAGTAAGTCCCACTAATTCAGTGGACATTACTCCCAAGTATATCGGATTACAGCCTCGGGAAAATGCACGCGAAGGATATCTGGTTTCTGGAGCTTTATTTGCTCTAGGATTAAACCTTATGCAATTTCTTTTTTGCTTTCCGGCTTGATAATATGATGCATGCAGCTCTCGGTAACAACAATAATAAATCCGTGGTGTGGATTTACCTACCTTTGTCACGTTTTGAAGAATACTCAAAAAAGTGTTCTTGATGAACTGCAACTTTCTCCTACGATTCTCTTTCCAGGATCTGGGCACAAAACCTAGTAAAATTAAAAGTGACACTGTGAGAATCTGTTTTCCTTTTATGCTACAAATAGTTCCTAATATGTTCTCTGCAGGTTTCTACAGCATTTTATGTGCTACTTGTGAACTCTTAGCGATACCCACGAAATGCCTCCTTTGCTTGACTCACGGGAAAAAAATGAGACTAATGGGTGTGGCACTTTGAAATAAGTATCTCTTTTGTGGGTGGCGAAATGAACGCTGAACTTACTCGTTTACTGCCTGCTCTTATGGAGCTCTTCTAAATGAAATAAACTTCACTATATGTATAAACTAAGGTTGTAGAACCTGAAATTAAACAGTATAATCAAACACAACTTGGTTTTCTTTTTAAATACGTGCTTGTTTATAGCTCGAAAGCAATGCAACACATGGGAGTGTGTGTGTGTGTGTGTTTCTTTGTGGCATTTTAACACTTTCATAAAGTACCTACTTTTTTGAAATGAGTAAAAGAAAAGTCAGCCTCTGCTAGCAGACTCATGTAATCTAATAGCCAGGATCCAAAAGAAAGGAGGGAAGAGTAAAACAAACATTGGAGTGGTTGTTCCTTCAGTGATGGATGAACTGGGCCAGACTGGTTTAGTCCTTGCTGTGATGCTTTTTCTGGGGAGACCGGAATGCAGCTTCCTGGAGACACTTGGTGTTCTGTCTATCAAGTTCTTGAGTAAATATCTCTTTAAAGCCTTGTTCGCAAAATAATCGAGAAATTGTTGTATCGTTGCATATTTTTAATATGGTGAAGATCAGTGCAATGCAATGCTATGTATACTTATGCTGGATGCTATGAGGTTCAGAAATGCAGTTGTCTTATTGCAGACGTAGTTTTAAAATTTAGAAAAGTCTTTTGTTGTAAATTAATCTGTTAAATGGGGCGATCCAATTCATGTCTACATAGAAGTCCATTGAATTCAGTGGCTTTACTCTCAGGTATTGCAGGTTCAGAAATATAAATAGGTGCAACTACATTGTGGTTAATTTTTTAGTGGATGCAGTATCATACAGATTTGCCAGGAATAAGCCTCTTTGAATGAAACAGAACTCAGAAGTAACATCCAAGAGTGTGGTCCAAGTGCAATCATTTGCTTAAAGTTATGCTATTTAAAAGGCCTAAGCAACTCAAAATTGACAATTATAGAGTAGTCCCTTAATTCACATAATACACATTGTACTGAATTGAGCTATCTTCTTGCTTGTGACACTGTTTTCAAACAGTCAGTTTTTTCTTCTTAATCGATAGGATAATTTGACAAGACTAGTGTAGAAGAGATTCCATTGTTCAAGTTCTGTTTATTAAACTGAGCTTCAGTATGTAGATATGTTCTGGAAATGTTCCAGAAGATTTACACCCTTACAGATACAACTGAACATTGAGTGTGATTAAGCCTGTTTTAATTGTATTGTTGCTTAAAATATTTAACAATGTTCATGGGTGTGCTGGTCTTTAAATTTCCCTCTTGAAGGGAAATTTCACTAGTTTCATCATAAAATGAAAAGCATTCTTTTTCTGTGAACTACATTTAAATTGTGCTGGTCTTTTGAGCAAACGCCCACTTTCCAGTATGATGGAAAAGGACAATTCTTTTTGGAAAGCTTTTATTAAAAACTTCTCACACAAACAAATGCTGTTTTTAACTTTTGATCTGAGGGAGCAGAATTCTGAACGCATGGCGAAACTGCTTTGATTCTGTATACAGAATCAAGTGCCTAATCAGTGCATTGCTACTTTAGCATCTTCAAGAGATCTTAAGGGACATCTAATTCAGACACAGCAACATCTTTTAATAAGGGATTGTCCACTTCACCCTTGAAATCATACACAATGATTTCCTTCCAGTGACAAATGTTATGTGAATCCAAATGCATTAGAATTATCTTGTGTGATTCTATAAATCCAAGGTTAATATTCTATTAACAAAACAACTACTGGCGGTGCTTTTAATTATTGGATAATGGGTTCTCAGATGTTGTTAACAAAAATACTAGCGCAAACTAATACACAGGCGCCTGTGTTCTTTATGATCAGTCATCCAAGGACACATTTTAAAATGCCCAAACAGGATGTAATAGATATTTTCAATGGCTGCTTTTAGTTTAGGATTGCCTTTGCAGGTATTCCAAGTCCGAATCTGAGCATTTTCCAGAAACAATATTCTGCTGCTTTCATTTAAGTGGGGTTTAAGTGTGGAGCTTAATATAGGCATAATTTGTATATTGTTTTGACAACTACCCTGATGCATAGGGTAGGTGGAGATCTAACAATTAAGAGTTTTACAATGGTGCACATTCCTGATAAATGACATCCTAATAACTGATATACTGGGATAGTGGAGCAAATGGAATGTACCTGGCACATTTCCCAGCTTCACAGTGCTATTCAGCTGTTGCACTGTAGCATATTTACAGTTTAATCTCCACATCTGGATTGTCTTTTGGACATATGACCAGAGTTAAACTGTTAAAGCTGTTGGTCTTAACTGATGACTTTGGCCATCTGAATGCTTGTTTAAAACAAGTTTTGAAAGACTGAGCTAGGAAGGAGTCATAAGTTGGTGGTATAGCAATTGCTTTGCATGAATAAGTTTCCAGGAATCCTTGGTCTCCAGCTAAAAGAACAGTGGGTAGCATGACTGAGAAATACTTCTGCTGTCTCAAATCTTGGAGAGCTGCTCTCAGTAAGAGCACTCAGTACTGAGCATAGTGTCATCCAGGTGTTCCTAATGTAAAAACAAACACTTTGCTTGTAATACAATATATCCCACAGTCCAAAAATTATGTCTATGCTCTGATAAGAGCCGCATGATTTGCTGTTCCTGCTTCAGTAGCTTCCACTGCTGAACCCTTTGAACTCCAGTGTCTTTCTTGATGATGGTAGGAGTTACTGATGAACTTGTGATTTAGCACAATTCTCCCTACATAATATATCTTTTACTTAGTTTCAGCCTTGATATTTTCAAAATAAAGAAATATTTATTTTAATGACTTGATGATTAGGCCATCATTTTTGGACATATTTTGTAGTACGTTATGTATTGGTCTGGTTTATCTGCTTATATTCTAGTGCTGAAAACACTCATTTCTGATTCACATTTGTGAATGAGGATGAGAAATGTGTTTTGTAATATAGGAGAGGTGGCATTTATTCTCTTCTTTGTGGGATGCAGAAGGAACATGTAAATGAAAGTAGAAGTTACCTTCCATGTGCATATATTGGAGGGAATCACCCATGTGATAGCTCTTACTAAATCATATATTGGGGTGAGCCTCTGTATAAATTGCAACTTAATTGTAACTTAAATTGTAATTTAGTTGAATTTGCAAGTAATAACATCCCTTAAGGGATGCTATAGGTGAATGCCTAACTAAAATATAGCTATATTAAGTAGCTATATCCATCTTTTCATATTCTGAGAAGAATAATTTGGAGTGGAGAGGCAACCATGGCTGCCTCTGGACAAATTATCCAGCCTCTTGAGAAATGTTTTGTGAAAAGCAACTGCTTGAAATGTTGTCACATCTAATGGTGTTTATTACTTCTGAGATATTGTGTTTTTAACAGCTAGAGCAAAATTACCCTTGTTATAAGATTGTTTGGCTTTCCTGGACATCTCCTTTAGCAAAAGGAAATGCTTCCCTCTGGTGGTTGTACATGTTCTGTTTTTAAATCTCTCTCAGCCACTTATTTTGGATTATATAACATACACAGTAGCATATAAGATAAGTGTAACTACATCCCACATTATTATAAATTGTGCTATCTCCTCTTTGAACAGAAAATCTTAGTTTGTATTTTGAAAAATTGTCAGTAGGTTAGTATACTATTTTCTGGCATAACATAAAGCTGAAACCAACTGTATGAATTATCAGAAAGTCGCTGAAGTTTTTAGTAAAAACTTGTCAATTTTTTTTGTATGAAATATTTAGAAACTTCTAGAGCGAACCCGTGCTAGAAGAGAGAATTTACAGAAGAAGATGGCTGGGCGTCCCGTAGCAACAATGCGGACAACAACACAAACAAAAAGGAGCAGAGAACCTTTGTCAGAAGCTGGTAATCAGCCACTTCCACCTAGCGAAGAAGGTATTTTTCACAAACATGAGGCTGTGTCATTATTATGATGTTTGAAAATTTTGGTGTGTCACTTCTTACATCTGTTTGTGCAATTGTGTAGCTTCTCTCTGTTCAACAAATTCATGTTAAAAATAGTAAAAACAGAAAATTAGGGAGTGATAGTAATAGTTTGCTTATTAAAAAATTAAGTGCTATTCTGGACCGGAAGAGTAGCAAATCCCTTGTGGATTAATGATTCATTATTCTAGACTTTTTGCACTTAAAACTCCTGCCATATGATGGAATAGTTTGAGCCCTTAAAACTACAGTCCTTCCAGTTACTTGAAGGTAAATCCAGTTGAACTCCTTTGCACTTACTTCTGAGAGGACGTTCATAGGATTGTCACCTAAGACCTTTTACAAACAATGCAACATGGTGGAAACAAATTCCAATAGCTAGAATCAGAGGAGAATTAAAGGAGAAGGAGCTTGTATATGTGTATTTTTAATAGAGTACTTCACTTTTTTAAAATTTGTACAGCAAAACCAAGCACTAAGCCATCACCATCCAAAAGACGTTGCTCAGACAACGTGGACGTTCCAGTTACCAATATGGAGAATTCATACCCAGTTAATTTATCTTCTATGCACCATGAAATGACTCCTACCTCTGAACCTGTTCCTCTGTCCACCAAGGTAGAAGAGCAGACCTCTAAATCTGAACCAGCTTCTATTTCAGTTAAAACACGTATGCAAAAGCTGGCTGAACAGCGTCGCTGCTGGGATAATGGTATGTGTTTCACTCATAAAAGATGCAATTGAAAAATCTGAAATTATATAAGAAAGCAAAAAAGGAAAATTTGGTGTTTCTTCATGTCATTGGGATGTTGAAAGATATTTAATTTCAGGTCATATATCTGAATTATCTACCTGCTAAGTCTTTTCATATACTGGGGAGCAGAAGCTGTTGTATGACTCAGTCTGTTAGAGAAGCTTACAAAGGTATAGCTCACCTGCCCGTAAATAGCTATGGCAGTAATATGTTGCTGCCATCAACAGTATAACTCTTTCCTCACTTATAAAAATGCTGCTGCTTGGTTGCCTAGGTGTGGTTCTTACTTAACACAAGCAACCAGGAAAGTTTGTTCTATGCAGTTGTTACTGGATCATGTAATAGCTAAGGAACAATCTATGCTATAGGCTTATTTCTGTTATTCAGTCTAAATTATCTCCTCTGGTACAAATATTTAGTATCAGAAGGGTGAATGAGTTCTCACATGGCTCCAACTTTTTTGTTTCATTTGTGCAGAGGACAAGGAGAATAAAGTAGCCTTGCTTCCATTTTGGGTCTTGTATTATTCCATTTATGATGACAGGGTTAAGGGGAGGAGGGAATCACATAGCTCAGTTCTATACTGAGAACATTTGTTATCTCATTGGTATTTATAGTAAAGTGTCACACAGCTTTTATAGTATTGTTGTTCTGTATTGTCTCAATTTTCAGATTGGTCTGAAAATTCTTGCACATCTCCCATCCAATCAAGTGAGCATGTTATTTCTCCACCCAAACAACAAACCCTTGCAGCTGATACTCCAATAGGACGAAGAGGCCGTCTAGCTGACCTTGCTGCTACAATTGGTTCGTGGGAAAATGACCTAAGTCATCCATCTGCAAAACAAAACAATACACAAGAACAGCCTGGTACTGCTTGTTTATCCAAATTGTCCACTACAAGTGGAGCATCTGCTAGAATCAATAGTGGCAGTGTGAAGCAGGATGCTACATCCTGTTCGCAAAGAGCTGTTGAGTCATGTGTGAATAAGTCAGCAATCTCTAAGATATCGGTAAGTGATCATAATTAATCTGATCTATATTGCCTATCTAGGCCTTTAGAGTCCACCAATATTTGGCGGCAATCCTAACTAAATTTAGGATTGAATGCATACTTACAATGGAATTGAGGATTGTGCTGTAGGAGTTGGTAGCTGTAGGAAAAGAAATAGCACTTTGTACCATGTGATTCCTTTTTACAGAGCAGTGATGTTGTGTCATAAAGTATGTATAAATTTCAGAATTCAGGTCAATATTGGGAGGATTTCTGTGCAATTGTAATTTGTTTAAAAGGTAATGTAGAACTGAGTAGGCCCTTAGTTAATGAGGACGTTTTGTAAGTGGCAAGTAATGCCTAATATATTGGTGCTCAAAACATTGTGGGAAGTGGTGATTTCTGTTAAATTCCTATTTAATCTGGGGTAGTAAAAATGGCAGTGTGAAGAAAAAGAGTTGGAAGTCAGCTGGCATTGCATCTGGGAAACATTACAAAATATTCTTTGCCATCATTTTGAGCTTAATGAAACTATTTTCTCTTTCATCTCAGGGAGCTAATAGTTCCATAAAAACCTCAGGAGTAACTAGCAATCATTTGAAAGAAACTGAGGTTCGAGAACTACTGCCGCAAGAAAAGGCCAGTCTTAAACCACTATTGAAGCCTTCATTATCCCAACAACTTCCTACCAAAGAGGAGCAAAACAAAGGAACACATGTACAAATTGATTGCAAGGATAAGCCAACCACACCAGGTGAAGATTAGTTCTTTATTTAAAACAATGCTTATTGAAAATTTTTCATGTAGAATGGATTATTGCATAGATTTTAGCTTCCTAAATAGTACCCTGCATGGTAGTACAATTTGACAGGTGTATCTCAGTAAGTTATAACTTAATTTAAATGTTCCTGGGGTATACTGAGTATGCAACCATATATTACTGATTTTTCAGGGAATTGCTTAGCATTCATGAAGATTTCAGTAGATTGTACTAAAGAGTTTTAAAATAACTGAGCTTTAAACAAACACATTCTGGTAGCGAACAGGTGTTAGGTGGTGGGCAAATTCTTTGGATGAAATGAATGGAAACTTAAGGAGATAACTGCTTGGAATACACTCTAATGCCTAAAATGCAGTCAACTCAAAACCGCTTAGTTTACCTACCTATCTCTGCCTAACACTTGGTGCTGAAGTTATATATGTTAGTTTACAAGTAAGTCCTATTACGCTAATTGGGATTTAATCCCAGGAAAAAGGCTTATTTAAAAAAAACAACATTCCTTGGGTTTTGCTTATTCCATATTTCTGAAAAGAAGTGCCAGTATGGCATAGTGGTTAGAATATTGGACTGAGACTCAGGTGACCAGGGGTGTAGTCCCCACAAGTTTACTGGGTGACTTGTTCAGTCACTGATACCTCACAGAGTTGTTAGAGGGACAAATTTGGGGTTGTTTTGAGGATTATGTAAGCCACCCTGGGATTCTTGAAAGAGAAAAAGTGAGATATTAATATAACAATAAATATGTTCCATAGAGAAAATGGTAGAGTTCCTTGGACACTTAATCTGTTTAATGCTTCAATTCATTATTAATGATGGGATGCTTTTTAATGCTATTTTTGCTTTGCTTTGCTTTTTGTTTTGTTTTTTGGAACAGTCTAGTAATGTTTGGGTGCTTATTTGCAAGGCTGCCGTACTGTATATTAATTCCAATAAACTTTAACCACTAAACAGTCAATGAGAGCAGCTCCATATAAGTTCTAGAAAAAATAATTAGATATTATTTTTTCTAGCTTGTTTGTCTGCATTTTCCTTATGGGTGTCCTATTTGGATCTGGGCAAAATCATTATGTGGAAGGCCTCCATCTCATGAGAACTAAACACGTCTTTAAAGTCATATAAATGGGAATAATTTAAACAGCATTCCCTAAATAATATATGCTATTAAAAAAAGAAAAAAGCAGACCTTTTATTGTTTGGAATTGCAGCATGGTAGTATTGGTATCCTAGAATGCAAAATATCACTTCCAATCCAGACTTTAGTAGCTGGCATACAAATCGTAAATTCCCAAGTATGAAGGAAACATTGACGTGCATGTTATTAAACTCTTCTGCTTGCTTTGTTTATTCATTCCAAGTTTAGGTTTTATATTTGGTAAATAGCCAAGAGCATTTGTATAATGGGCTGAAAGCTTTTAAGAAAATACTAAACATTCTGAAACTAAACATCTGAAAGCTCAGCTCAAAATGTGTTGAGCAGTTTACTAGTTGCTGCATCTTGGTGAATGGTAACTTTTGATCTGTGTTGAATGAAACTGACTCATTGAACTACATGAGTTTGAAAACATTCTGTTCAAGATGTGGAACAGCTTCATGCTGCACTTCAACATTGTTTCTAGATCATGAAGAACCTAAATTGTTCATGAAGCAAATCTCATTGTTCTTATAGGAGGATCAGGCATCAAGTCCTTTCTGGAGCGTTTTGCAGAACGTTGCCAAGAGCATACTTCGCAAAGCCCTGTTACTGCTGGAGGACATAGAACTCCCATTATCACTCCTAATACAAAGATAATTCAAGAAAGACTATTTAGGCAGAATGAAACATCTTCAACTGCCAGCCTAGCACAGCAGCTCAAACAGGTATGATTTACTAATTACTTCAGATCATGTGGAATTATCTGACTAAAATTCTGGACATTGATCTGATAGAGAAAAAGCGTGCATATTCAGACTTTCTTTCTTAATGTATTCAGGAACGTGAAAGAGAACTTGCATCCATTAGAGGTCGCTTTGACAAGGGCAACTTTTGGAGTGCTGAAAGAGCAGAGAACTCAAAGAACAAACATCCAGAAAAAAAATCGGTAACACACTGGAATTTGATTTGAGGGAATCTGTAACATACATGCAGCAGCTGCCTTCTTATAATTTGCCCCATGTACTTTGTGTGTAGGAACAATGTATTAAGACTTCATACAGGGTATGTGTCAATCCTGTAGCAGTGACCTATGTTGCATGACCTTTTGTGTGCAGGTTTCAGGCCCAAATGTTGCAACTCCTTGTTTCAGAATGCATGTAATTCCTATATACTAAAAAAAGTGTGGCAAGGCTTTCTAAGACCTATGTCTCATTTAGTTTCCAGTAGTCCAAGGGAGAGAAAATGGTTTGTATATACTTTGGGTTCTAACTTTGGTGAGAGCCAGTGTGGCATAGTGGTTAAGAGCCTGGGACTGGGACTCAGGCGATCTGGGTTCTAGTCCCCGCTCAGCCATGGAGCCAACTGGGTGACTTTGGGCCAGTCACAGACTCTCAGCCCAGCCTACCTCACAGGGTTGTTGTTGTGGGGATAAGATGGAGGAGGAGGTGGATGTAAGCTGCCTTGAGCCCTTTGTAGGAAAAAGGCAGGATATAAATCAAAAATAAATAAAAAATAAAAAAATAAACTTACATTGTGGAAATTGGTTAAGGTTTAATGGCATTAAAACTATCTCTTGAGTTCTGCTAATTAATTTAGGCCAAATATGATATATGCTTTTTTTCTAGGAGAGTCAAATTCTAGTTGATCTGAAGCATGCCCCCAATTCAGACATCTGCTCCCAGTTAGCAGAAGAGAATGCCACAACAAATAAGATAGTAGTAGAATGTGTGTCTTCAGGTAAGACTGCCCTTTATTAAAACTAACTATCTGAACATGAAAGTTTATGACTTACTATGCATTAGAATAAATTGAGTTGTTTCCTGGTAGATGGATAGTAGAAACCCTAGCTCATACCTCAAAACATAGATCTTTTGCTTTAGAGATGCATTTGCAGGAAAAGAGTTTGTTTTTTAATTCTGTATTGGAAGAATCAATAGTTTATAGATTATGAGGGTTTTCTTCTAATTTTGGATATTTAAATGAGGCTTTTTATTTTCTTCTTTCCTCATGAGATACAGATCTGTAGAACTTTTAAAGCGGTGCACAGCTAATCTCCCCTCCCCTCCCCTCTCCTTCCTTCCTTCCTTAGAAAAATAAAGGTAGGATTCCTTGAAACTCTCATATATGTAATATTTATATACATGAAAACTGGAAAATATGGTATAACAGATGCCCTTTCCAGAGACTGGTTATTTTCCAAATTAAGTCTGAAAAGGAAATAGGAGCAGCCCCACAGTCTCTTTACCACATTGGCATGAATGTGCATCCTCTAGGTGGTATTCATTATCTCAAATGTTTTTAAGATACTGAGACCCTAGGACATACCTCTCAAAATGTTGGTTTAAACCACCAAATAAAGAGAATGATGCTGCCAGATGAATGAGCTTCTTACTGCAGTCTCTTTCACAAGTAGAAACTGAAAATATGATAATCTTTCAAAAAATCCAAACTAACGAAAGTCACTTGCAATATACTCACTTTAGGTTTGAAGTTTATTTAGAAACACCTAGGTTTACTTGAATCATGTATTCTAGGTACTTCAGAATATGAGAAGTCAGAAGAGCCAATTCATCTGAAAATCTTCTCACCAAAGACTCCTGAAAAAACAGTGTCAAACTCAAAGCTTCAACAACTACCTGACAAACAGATTGGTTTGTATTTCCTAACTATGACCTCAGTCAGTTTCACGTAGAATTCTTCAAACATGTACTCCATAAATAAGTAGGATTAAACACTTTACATTGAACTCCTATGATCTTTAAGTCATAGCTAGGATTAATGTTTTGAAAAACATTGGCATATTGTGTATATGGAAACACATGTCTGGGAAACTCCAAAACTTTTCAGAAAAATTCATAACTTGGACAACAGAGTGACCTTTGTAGGTATCAAACAGTAACAACAAAACTCCCAATGAATCATACGTATTTCCAAAAACTGTAGTAATCTTAATGTTTTAATGGGCTTAGAAGCAAAGTTTTAAAAAGAAACAGGCTGGTTAATCTTTAAAACATTGGGAGTTAATGAGATCTTCTTGTTAGCAGGGCAGTTTTTTGTTGGGGGGGGAGCATGAACCATGTAGGCAGATAGGTTGTTTGAAATATAATTCATTTTTGATGCATTATGGCACTACTGGGAAATGCGTGAACCTCTAGGTAGTGTTGGAGGTCAATTCCTAGTCCCAGCCAGCATGACCAGTGGTCAGAGATAATGAAATTGTAGTCCAACATCTGGAGGGCTCACATTTCCTACTCCTAGGGTGCCCCATTAACTGATTACCCATCAGTTGGGTAGTGGGGAACAGTTTAGATTGCTCTTTTCCCATTGCTATTAGCAGGGAGACACAGTGATCCTAAGGATTTAAGTTGTAGCTGTTTCACCCAGTAATCCTGATCAATATTTCTGGAGGGAGGTTCAGAAGATGATGTTCATGTCCATATGCAGCTGTGCATGCTGCTGAGGTGTTGCCCACCCCTGGCCTGGAAGCTGGGGAACAAGATTCCTAATTTACCTTCCTGACATGACAAATAGATGTTTGTATTAGTAGTGGTAAAAATAACTGTTTATCTAAAAGCAAAAGAGAGCCTAAATTGGGCTTGGGGGAAAGGGACACCAAGTAAAAACACGTGCTATTTGAGTTATTTGGCATTGGTGTAAGTGGGGAATACATACATGAGAAATCAGTTCAATAAGAATATGGGTTAGCATATTTTTACATCAAACCTTTACTGGAAGCTAGTAGAGTTGTGTGAATAAAAGTACACTCATCTCTTTGCATTGTAACCACAGTTTTTCTTCTGACTGCATTTTCTGAGCTTTCTTCCAAAGCAATTTATGAAATTGCATTGTAGTAAAAGAGCTTAGAAGTTACCAGAGTATGTGTAACTGTGACTAGGCTATTTTGCCTAAAAGGCGCCACAATCTGTACCAGTTGCAACTGTTGAATCTAATGGAACTCACTAGGATGCTGTCAAGGAGTAGGTGTTTTGGGTTGATGATCTTTTGTTCCTTCCAGATCCTAACTTTCTTAAATTTTAGTTTCTAGTCAGTATGTGGGCAGTCCTATTCTTAACTTTTTGTTTTGTGTGCTCTGCTCTCTAGGTGGAGAATTTAAAGCTGAGGTGAATGACGAAATGAATAGTTCAAAGGTGATAAGTGACATTTTTGATGAAGTTCTTCAAGACGATGGGCCTGACATAGAGAAACTTAAAAAAGAGATGAGTATGACCTTAGAAGCTGACATTGAGGATGAACAGGAAGAGTCACTGAATATTTCCTCAATGTCCCTCCTAACACCTTTAACAGAATCTGTTGCTGTTGTAAGTCCACAGGTAGGAACATATTTTAAATAAGGTTCATACTTGTGCTTATGCAGGTTGGTGGGGTCTAAACTCAGAAGAAATACAATATCTCTTGTATATTCCTCTTACAGAATTCCGTTGTTATAGTAAATTTTATTTCAAAAATAAATTGAAATGGTCAATAACCTATGTCTCCTTTCTCTTCATGTTTCAGGTTTTTGCTTCCCCTAGTAAAACAGTAGGAGAGCAAAGCAGTGAAAGTGATGACAGTCCAAAGTCTAGCACGTTACATAGAATATCTGTCTGTAGAACTGAATCTGGAAGCAGCATTGGATCCTTGTCAGAGGAGCGTAACCTCCCATATAGGTAATTAATCCTGGTTAGAGATGCTTAATTGGACTGTAAAAACTATAGCATTGCCAAGGTCTGGATCAAATTTCTTCTTGGATAATGGACATATGGAGAAGGTAGAAGGGCAGTACTATAATGTTTTCTGAAATAATAGTGAAAATAGAGAGGTGGTGGAAATTTAGCCATCATTCAAGAATATGTATGAAGTATATCTATATTGCTCCAGCCTTCTCTGTGAGGAGTCATAAGAGCTGCATCTCAATTCTGGCAAGATTACTAATTTCTTCAAAGGTCATCCTCAGCTTTAAGTTCATCCTTACCTCTGTGTCTCTTGAAATGTATTGTTAGAAATCTGCTCGGCATAATTCTAAAACTGCACTTTTATCCCCAAAGTATTGATGCCTATCGGTCTCAGAGATTTAAAGACACTGATCGTCCTTCAATAAAACAAGTAATTGTTCGTAAAGAAGATGTTTCTTCCAGGCTTGAAGATAAAAGGAATGGACCTTCTGATCAAATTAACATTAAACGCAAATTGCAGGTAGTTTGACTTTTGCCTTTCATATTTAACAAATGCTCATTCTGTCTGTCTGTGTCTGTCAGGATTGTTTTTGAATAGTGGGTTAGGTGTATTTTATGGTTAGGTTTAACTAGGGACAATGTCTGGGCAAATGTTTGAGTAATGGTCAGTGACATTCATAAATATGAAAGGAGGGAATATGCTGTTTTATCCCTTACTTGTGTTCTAGCTTGGATGTTATGTAGTATGTGACTGCACCAGTGCACTGAGCACTTTTAGCTAGTACTTATGACATGGTACTATTACAATTTCTCCATCCCTAACAGTTAAAAAAAACAAAACAAAAAAACCAACTTCAGAGCCCCAAGTACTGCTGTGCTTAAGTGAGGGAGCATTCATCTAGGCTAGGGTTAAACAACCTGGTACCCTACAATAGTTTGGGGCTGCAACTCAGCTCAGCCTGAGCTAGCATAGGTCATGTTCTGGGACTATGGGAGTAGTAATGCAAAACATCTAAAGGGCACTTTGCCTACCTCTAATTTAGATTCATACAAATTCCTAAGTATCAGGAAGGCAACCCCAAATTCCAGCAATTTGCATGCCATCTTAGTCTGTTGTTTAAAAAAAAATCCCAGGCATTTGGGATGCAGTTCTGTGCATGGGTATAAGGCCCACTAATTCAGCAGGACTTTTGAGTAAATATGTATAGAACTGCACTGTCTTGACTAATTTAAGTAATGGTCATTTCAATGGATCTACTCTTAGTGCAAATAACATTGCATATTATTTTTGAGGGTGTGTACTGTTTTCTGCACAACTAATGCATACATGTCCATCATGAAAAACAATTCATGTCATTTTTAAGCACATACCACAGGCTGGTAAGTGCCATCCAAACCAGAAGGGCACCACCTCTTCCACTTCATTTCTAAAGCCCATCCTTTGTGATGGGGAAGATTCATTTTGAGGAACTTATTTAGGAGATGCACTTTGCTGTGTGTGTTTGTGTGTGTTCCCCAAAAAACTGGCAGTGATAGAAATCTAACTTAATACCTTCTAAAGGTCTTGGGTTTTACTAAGCCCACTCATTTCAATACATTTAGGAGCTGAATAATGAAATCAATCTGCAGCAGACTGTCATTCATCAAGCCAGTCAGGCTCTTAACTGTTGCATTGATGAGGAACATGGGAAAGGGTCACAGGAAGAGGCGGAAGCTGAGAGATTACTTCTCATTGCAAGTATGTTTCTTGTTTTGCTTAATGCTAATTTTTTGCATAGATTAGCATTGATAGAGATAACGCTTATAATTTAAATAGCCAAGAGATTTATATTGAATACATAACAAGAAATTTAAGAGAACTTCATGGATACTGAGAGCAAACTGGTGCAAAACAGTATTTTTCTTGTTGGGTATTCCAAAAAAAAAAAAAAAACACATCAGGGAGACTTTGTTGGAAATAAGTGCTGGACAAAATGGATTGGTTCCATTTTGGTTTTGATCCAGCAAGAACATTCTTATTTAAAATAGTATGCATTTTGTGAAAAGTAGCTATGGCTAGTAAACAACCAGTAACTGACGAGAAACTTGTCCATGGAAAGCTGCCTTAATTTTAATTGTGCCATGTTTGAACAGCTGAAAAAAGAACGGCATTATTAGAAGAGCTAAACAGGCTGAAAAAGGAAGGACCTCAGAGCAAGAAGATTAAAGCTGATCCTATGCCTAGTGGAGTTTCTCCTTCCAAAGGATCTGTTACTCTGTCAGGAATGCATCTACCTCTAAAAGCAGACTTTGTATGCAGTACTGCCCAGAAATCAGGTAATGCCTACTACTGTATCTGCATGCATCATAACTCAAGCACAAAGTAGGAGCTGTTATAGTGGCTAAGATACTGAACTTGCCTTGGGCAGACCATACTCTCACAGCCTCTCTTCTGTCCCCTCAATGTAAGTGATAGCAATACTGATTTTACCTTAAAGCAGAGCTCAGAACCTTAGGCCTAGGAATCAAATACAGGCCCTCTTGAAGTTTGACCCTGGGGTGTCTAGGTTCCCTACATGACAGTGCCTTTCCCGTTGCTTCATTTCTGTAAGTACCAAACATTGGTGGCTTTCAACTTTTGCATACTTTTTTCTACTTTCTAAAACCTTGAAATGCTTTTCCTTAATAACTGGCATTAAGAGGTTTAAGCTGAAATATGCTGGTATTTTTGACTCTAGGCCTTTTGCCTTTGGCCCTTCCTACCATTGGAATGCAAATCAAAATTTCTTCAAAATTGATTCAGTTCCCAGGTGAAGCTTTCAGGTTAAATATTTAGGGTTGTAAGGATTGTCTTATAGGGTTGTAAGGATTACAACTAAATTATGCATCTGATATACTTTGAACACTTGAAAGTACTGTTTAGCTATTCTACTCTTGGATAACATGTTAGGTGGATTTTTCATGCTTATACTCAAAATCTAAACATGTGTTATATTTAGGATTAGGCAAGAACTTCCTGCACATCATACTGGCTAGCATCTGGGGTGGGGAGGTCTTCCCTGATAGTGGAAGATACAGCACTCTCACTGAAAATATATGCAGTACACTTGTGTGGAAAATTGTTCCGTTGGCTGACCTGGGCTTCTGACCTTACAGTCCAATTTTGAAGATACTTGTAAATTATTCCATCTTCCTCTGACTTTAACCTTCCTTTGGATACTATGCCCTGTTCTTTTAAAAAGGTAAGCTGAGTTGATCAATGTAATGTCATAAGCTAACTGCAGCAAAAATGCTGAAAAGGCTTTTTGGTCTCTATTTTGCTTTATGAAACTTTTGTAAATGTATGATTATGATAGATGGTTAAACTATTCACAGAAACAGCAAACTACTACTATGTAATCATATTAAAAGCGGGAACAGAAAACATGGTTGCAACGCCATTAGCAAGTACTGCAAATTCCCTGAATGGAGATGCTCTTACTTTTCCAACAACATTTACACTGTAAGTACTTTAGCTACTTCATGTTCATTGTGTGCGCGCACTCTGCATTCGGAGACTTTATGCACCCCTGAAAGAAGTACACAAATGCAACTTATTTTTAAAGGTGTGCAATCCAATGGTTTCCTGACATTGTCTGAGGTACCATGAATCTTCAGAGTCTCAGGATCCTCTGAAACTCAGGCCCCATTGCAGCTGGCATGGAAAAAACTGTGCCAGCTTGCCCCTCCATGAAAGAATAGGAAGCACACCTCTGAGAAGGGGGAAAGGCATGCCAGTGGACAGGGAAGGGAGGAAGCTGGGGTCATTTAGCAATGCCAATTTTTCTTTGTACCCCAGCGTTTTTCCCCTCCCTCTCTCTCTGATGGTTTATCTAGATAGCCAAAAACTCAGAGTGAGCTCTAGCAGTGATGTAGGTCCAGAGGTCCAGTGATGTAGGTTGCCACTGTTGTCTTTTGTTCTGGCCACTGGATGCACGTAAGCCACAAGTTTGGAGGCTTAAGAACTACATTACTAAAAATAGTAGCAACATCATAAAGAACACTGTGAAAATTGGAAGCATTAAAAGGAAGTGTAGATTTATTACATCATACAGATACAATATGCATTATGTCTCCTCCACTCAGTAGGCAAGAAAACTCTGATTTTGTGTTGTATTTTTACTACCCACTGCCACTGTTGTCTGCTCCTCAGTTTGTTTCCTTCATTCAGAACAGAAGCCAGGTACCTCTTTTCTTTTGGTTAGCACAGAAGCTCACAGGAAAAGTGAGTTACTTCCTTTTTTTCTTCTGCCATTTTTACCAACTCTCCCCACAAGCTTTGTGTTCTTCTTCACCAGTTTTCATCCCCTCCCCTGCTATTTCTTCCTTCCCTTCCTTCTCACTGCCTCTCTGATCTCTCCAATGGTTCCAACTATAAATGTTCTTTTGAGCAAAAACATGAAACAAGTTATAATTGTCCTGAATCTACTTTTATAGCCTCAAAGGAAATTCCTCTCACAGAGGAATGAAACAAACACACAGAACCATCGCCATCATTGCTGAATAGTGGAGCTTGTTAATCCTGATTGTTGACATGATGGAGACTTACCTGCCTACATGATGTACCCTTAACATTGGATGGTCATGGTTTAGTACCTTGTAAAGAAACTGAGCTTTGGAACCCACCAAAACATCAGAGCCAATAAAAAGAATTGGATGTGATTATTGTGTCAGCCACCAGATGGCACAAAAAGACAATCTAGATCTGTCCTAGAGTTTTTGTTTTGTTTATTCTTTCCTGATGTTTTGACAACACTGATGCAGAGCTCAATTGTTAAGCTTCTCTGGATTAGGTAAGGGCTTCCCATGGCACACTCTGAACACCCTTCCCCCCATTTCTTACTTTCCTTCATTCTTTTTCCTAAAACACTTTACAAAACGTTCCTTATGTCTCAAGAGGCCTTCAAAAACAAAGATCTAAAAGCACTCATAAACAATATAAACCTTTCCTTTTCTTCCTCCAGTTCATCTTTTTATAAAAGTAGTCTATACTATATGCACACTACTTGTGATTAAGAGAGTGGAGAGATTTAATCATATGTCCAAAACCTTCCAGGGTCTCAATGCCATTCCACCTGAAATCTGAACTGGGGATTTAAGAAGCAGTAAGCCATCATGAAACAGGTCCTGCTAGAACTTCACAACAAGCACTAGAACTTTACATCCATCAGGCCTTGGGCCTATACAAGCCAGCAGAGGCAGACACAAAATATTGACATTATCCATACCTCAATAATAAGTATCCCAACTTTTGATGCCCTCAGTGAATTCATACAGATAGAATTAAAGATCCCACAAGACCTTTTCTTGTTCTTTAAAGAAGCAAAGAATTATATGAGGGATCTTCCACACTTTTAAAAATTCTATTAAGAATTTCAAAACCAAATTACATCACTTATCTACATAGTCACCTTCCTTTGTGATGCATTTTATCCAGCATTGTACCAACGTTTAATGCCATCAGCAAAAAATATATAAAATATAAAAGTGCAGAAATTTTTTGAAGACCTCATATAATTGGTCTTCTGTATTTTTAGAATAATTTCTTTAGATCAAAGGTTTTCTGGCATAGCTTCTGTCCCAAAAAAGGAGGAGATAATAGTGTGCAGTTTTAGATAATGAGTATCTGAAAAAAATCCGGTCCTACCTGACCACTGCAGATTTCCTTGGTTTGCGTACAAATAACAACACTATAAAGAACAGTTCTGCTCTTAAGACTTACTTCAGCTCCATGAAGTTTGACAGAGTTCATGGTCATGTCAGTGGCATGAATTTTCTAGTTGAAGAGAATTCATATCAGTCCCTACACCTGTAACGTCTAGTGTTTTTCCTCCTCCTTAAAAGTATTTAATGTAGGAAGAAAAATAGTAAATCATACAAAGACAGGTATACAAGGGTTGCTGAAGTTTCTACAAGGAGACTTAAACTAAGTCTAACAGTCTGAAAGTAATCTTACTCTCTTCTCTGTACTGTTTAATCTGGACTCTAGACCCCTAAGGTCCCATAAAAGTTTACTTGTGGAAGCATTCCAGTACAGTCCATCTTCGGACCACAGATTTTTTTTCTTGGCACCTAAACACCATCCTTCAGGGCTTACATAAGCCCATTTTAGAGCCTCTCAGATAATGTACTTTTGTACCTCCTTTTCCTCAAAGTGGTTTTTCTCAAAGCCATCAACTGACAGTTTATTCTTCCATCATATTGCCCTAAACTCTTACTACCCTTCTGAGCATTTCTTGTAAAAGCTAGATGTCAGAAAAGCTCTTAAGATCTCCATAAGCAGCCTATTTCTAACTTTCTAGCCTATTGCTCTGATGAAAAGAAATGTCTTAACCATACTACCCCTGATGGATAAAAGCCTGCATTATGCTGACTTAGGATTCTCAACACCTGTGTATATGGGTGTACTTAACTACTCAGTAGCCACTATATTAGCTGTTCTGTCCATAAATGCATTACATGGCAGAGATATCCCATGTGGCCAAACGGTCTTCAGGAAGCACTTCCATGAAGCATCACACAATGCTTCCTCAAAGGCAGTCTATGGACAGAGGGGATGCAGCATGTCCTCATCCTTTTCTTGGATACTATATATTATACACTGGATGTATCTTATGTCAAATGAGAGAACTAAATACTGATAGTTGCTCTGAAGTTTATTTTTTACTGTCATGCAAAGCATTCAATACTGCATCCCTCAGAACAGTTGGTTTCTCTAGTGATACTCTGCACCAACTGGCCAAGTTATCATTGGTCATAACTTTCTTTTTTATTTTCTATCTAACCAGTGAGTTTATTTTTACTGCTAGTTAGGTGACAAAATGTATGGAGGCAGGGAGGCTATTAAGCAATTGTAGGTTATATTATTCCTGCCTTTTGAGTAGGAGAAGGAGACATAATCCACACTGGATGCCTTGACATACTAAACAATGAGGACACTTTACTAGGAGTACTAATAAAACTTTTAGTAAAAATAATAAACATATGGGAGCTTTTTTTTTGAGTGGGTTAAAATATTGTCAATAAATAAACTTTCTCAAAAGAATTGCACTCCTTCCTCCTCCCAAGTTTTTGGACATTTGGAAGGGGCAGCTCATCCACCTTTTTCCAGATGTCCAAAAATATTGCAGTATATCTGAAACAAATATACACTCTTGTCAGAATAGCTGCCGAAATTGCTGGTAACGGGGGGAAGTATACTGAAAGGAGATGGCAACAGGATCTCTCTTTAGTAATATAATCCTCTGGATTTCAAATGTTGGACCCACAATTTATGACACCTTTTTGGGGTCTTTACTCCAGAAAAGAGAATTATTTATTCCCCATACTTCTGTGGGAACTTACTGCTGTGGTTGCTGTGTTTCCCCGACATAAAAAACCCTGAAAAGGCAGCTGAATGGGAGCAAGTGAACAAAGTCACTTAGGGAAGGTGCAAGTTCCACTGATGCCAGCATCCATTTTATCTGTCCTGTTTTGCCACCTCTAAGGATTTATTTTTGAAAACTGTCAAACTGCATTTTTCCTGGAATATATACATAGATTTATTTCATGGCTGGAAAGTACATGGAAGGACAATTTAATGCAAGTTTGCCCTCCTTTTATTTCTCAGCCATGAAAGCTATATGTCTTTCCCAGTGTATGGAGAACTGCTAGTGCAACACAGAACTGAGAGGAGTCTTTTGATGAGGATTCTTATCCCCAGCCCTTTTTGTTCTGCCTTTTTTCCTTTTACCAGTGATCTTGAACCAATGGTTGGCATTTGTGCACAAAGTGGCACACATGCAATCTTACCTTGTCATTTTCTTTCTGTGTTTTCAACTGCACTTTCTACTTTTGACAGATAAAACTTCAAAGTAGGTTTGTGAGGAAGCTCTGCCAAATCAGTCCCTCTAGTGTTTGCAGATTTCATCTTGTGCTCAGCCTTGCCTTAGAAAGTGAGCCAAGACAAGAAGTAGTCTGCAAACGCTTACTGAATGAAGGGTGCACAGCTGGCAACTTTCTTCTGTGTCACCTGCAGCACAGACCATGGCTGCTGCTCATGATGTAGAAGAGCCACACTACTTGTGAAACAGTCATGTGTGGATCAATTCCTGGTGAGCACTGTGTGAATATTGGGCATATGTCTCAGGAACATAGACTCACGGCCATGATAAAACAGACTAGAGTTTGGGGAGCCAAATGCAGAGAGTCTGACAGGTTTTCACCCCCAGAATGGATTCTTCACGCATCCCTAATTACAAGGACATCATCCAGGCAAGGATAGTTACCTTGGGCTGCTATAAGTATACCTTTGTATACTTCTGAAAGATTGATTAAATATTTAAGACTGGGAAGACATTTGTGCACATTTCTGGGACCAGAAAAGAATGACCCCCCAACTGCTCATATTGAAGTTCTGAAGGGAAAAGAAAACCTGGCAGCAGACCTGAAGTAGTAGTAATAGGTGCATGGAGGGTGATAACAGGACAAGTTCTGCTAAAAAAGATACTGGGAGATGGTAGAGAGTCGAAAGAGCTACCACAATAGTCTTTGTTCGAATTATTCCAAATTGTAAAACTTCAGTTGTATTTAATATTGTGTCTCCTTTTTGAAGGCAAGATGTGTCCAGTGACTTTGAGATAAATATTGAAGTTTACAGCTTGGTATGTATCTTTTTCAATACAAATCTTTGTGAGAGAACACTTTGAGAAGCAATAAGTTTCAACATCTTGATTCCTCCACTCTCTCTGTTAGGTACAGAAGAAGGAATTCACAGGCACTGATAAAAGGAAAAAAGCAGCTAAGTCAAAGGTAAAGAGAGTACTAATTATACTTTAGTGATGGCTTGTGCTAAAGGAATCTAATGGAAAGATACGGCAATAACTTTTAGCTTTGACTAAAATATTGTACTTAAATTTATTAGCACTAAATTTATGACTATGCCTTTACTTATTTGTAAGGAAACTTCTATACCTTGAAATCGTTCAGCTGAAAAGCTGCAATTCCATCTTACATGGCATAGGGCAGTGTTGGTTTTAAGACACAAGCCTGCAAATGGTTGTGCTTTTCCATTCTTGCATCTACAAGTTATTTTGCCTCTTTGGCCAAACGTGCTGGTTTTCTTATTCCATTTCCACTTCATACGAATTATATAGCAGTGCTCCATTTCGAACAATATTGCCTGGTAGCAGGTTTGCTTAACACTTGGGACAAAGCTGCCAAATGCTATCCACTTCACAAGAAATCTTCTTTTTACACATAACAAAATATGTAAACACTTTAGTATAGTAGAGTGGGTGAAAAGGGTGAGCTGTCAGGATATGCAGTTGGTAGAACAACTTCTTTAGTTGAGGGATCAACAAAAACCAGTGCTAATATGAATAGAATAGCCATAGAACAGTTTAGTCAAAATGAGACAGGTCTTCTCTTGCAAGATGCGATAGCTCCATTCTAAGGAATTTTGCTATAATCTATTGCAGTGGCCAGACTTGTTCAAGGGAAGAGCCACTTAGGCTAAGTGTTGGATGTTTGAGAGCCACAAGCGAGTGCCCACATGCAACAAGCAGCAAGCGGCAAGCGGGCGCCCATGGGCACTTGTGGTGGTGAGCAGCGTGCCGCAAAATAAAGTTGAGCCTCATGAGGCTCCCGAGCCTCAGTTTGGCCACCCCTGCAATATGGCTTTCGTTTAAAAAAGAGTATATCATGCCTTTAGCATGTAGGGTATGTGTTTAGGTAGTTTATACATTTAAAATCTATTTTGGCAAGCAGTTACACCAATCTACAACTTCCGTTTACACAAAGTAGCTTGAAAGTTTCAAAAAATGCCTGCCACAAGTAGAAAGTTGAGAATTATAGAATATACACAGTATGATTTTGGTAGAGAGGTACCATTTTCAGTGCCTCTGTATAGGTCCACACGACAGAAGAATCTGTTTTGGATTCAGGCAAATCTAATTGAGTTGAGAAACAGCTATCTGCTGACTTTGCTTTAGCACTTAAATAATAAATGACTCTCTTTTATGATGTCTGTTACATTTTAACTACAGAATACATTTGTGCCTTCTCTAATGTCACAGGCTATTACTCCGAAGAGATTACTGACATCCATTACTACTGTAAGTACTAATATCTGAATAATTTCCAAAATACTAACTTGTCATCTCAGAAAGCGTAAACCTGGCTGTCATGAAGGCTATTGCTTCCCCTAGGTGTGATTATGTTTCAAATCCTGACTACTGGTTCTTGCCATACTTTTTTTGCAAAAGTCAAATAACCAGCCTTTCAAATAAAACAAGTGTACTAAAATATTTTTTCAGTAACCTGTTTCCTTATGTGTGTGTGTTTGTGTTTGTTTTATAGAAGAGTAATCTTCTTGCACCAGGTAAATAAAACCTTTAGTTTTGGTACTTTACTACTAACCACCAAATGTTAGGGCCTGGAGGGAATTATTGTTTGTATACATTTTTATTTATTTATGAAAGCATTTCTACCCCACCTTCCCCTGAAAAAAGGGTTCTTAGAGCTGTTTACAAAGAGGACAGTCCTTGCCCATAGGCTTATAATCTCAAGAAGTGACACAGAGGCAGAGTATTGGGATAGGAGTGAAGCAAAGAAAACTGAGGCACTAAATTCTTTGTTGACTGGTTCAGCAGGTCATGGAGCTGAATCTGTACATAGTGGAAGGGCTGCTGCTTTCTCTTCTGTTTAAGTCCTCCTCTGTGACTTTTGGTAACAGTAGGAAGGGGTGCCAAGCTGCTGCTGCTTTTCCCGATGTCTCAGTAGTGACAGCTGGCAGGAGGGGTTCTCTGCTCTACCTGTGTCCAGGCATGATATATGCCTGCCACTGTTTTATGTGTTGGCCTGATGACAAATTGTAAAAAGTGCTACTCTCTCAATTACCATAATGCCCCATGAAACAGTGTATTGTTCTTTCCATTATACAGAAGGCTCATGCATGGAGTATGGGAGGGCAAGTTGCCCAATTAATCCAAGTGACACTTAACAGTCACAGTCAGAACTTTTGTGCAGGGACTTGGTACTGACCCATATCTTATGCAAATACAAAGAATTAAGAAAAACCCTCCTTTGTACACTTTTTTCACCACTGCCATATTCAAATATGAGGAATATTTGTACTTAAACTGTAGTTATCTCAAAGTGAGTCTGAACACATTAGACTTTCTGCGGTCAGTAGTTCTTGCCATTTTCATTTCTTGCTGTTTCATGTATAATATATGGTGCTGTCATCCAATCAGAATAATCCAGTGAGAGTAAAAAAAATCAGCATATGACTTTAATCTCAGTTTAAAAGCAAATCTCTGCTTTTAGATGATGAGGTATAGGTGGAGAACTTAACTGTAGTCCCTCCTGCATGAGAGCAGGGAGGAAGTGCTTCCTCTAAGATAACACCTGAAGTCTACAGTTTCTATTACTTAGGAGTCTTGCATAAGTGGGGATGTGCTTTTAGTTAATTAAAATTATTTTAATTTGTTAGATTAATCAATTAAATGTTTCAACTCTAATAATGTATCTAACATTTTTTTTCAGCCATGGCAAGTCCAGGTGGACCGAATGCTGTACGCACAAGTAACTTTGTTCTTGTTGGTTCACACACAATTTCACTCTCTTCAGTAGGAAATACCAAATTCCTATTGGACAAGGTAACCAAGTTATTCAGGGTTTTTTTTTTTTTTTGCAAGTTACTTCAGGATACATTGGTAGCTTAGTGCAGAGCTGAATATAAGGTACATTTGAAACCTTTTAGATCCAGATTATTTACAGTAGATGGTATAGGATTTCTTACCTGTAGTTGTTGAAATGATAATAACATAATACTCCCCCCTCCACCCTGTATCTTTCCCTAAATTATACTGCTGAAACAAATAATTTTGAACTAATGGTGGATTTTTTGTACAAGAGACTATGAGTGCTACCCAGTGTTGGTTCTTCGAAAAAAAATTTGGGCTCAAAATTTTTCAGTTCTGAGTGTGTATCTTTGCACTGGGCTCCAGCTGGCAGATCTCAGTGTTCTAGTAAAAACAAAGTAGTTTCTATAAGCCTGAAGTTTGCTGTATCCTGGTTTAGTTTTGTCATCTTGGATTGTGAACTTAAAAATGGTATTGTTGGGGATATTCAAAGGGTGTATGAACAGAGTTCATCTCCATATATAATCAAATGGGTAAAAGTATCTGTGCTTCATAACAACTATATGAAGAAGTATTGGGTGCATAATAGTGCATTTATGGTTGCGCTATTAAAAAAAGTAGTAGTTTTGCTTACTACATCTTACATGAAAAGATTCCAAATTAGTTTATTATTCAGTTGTCTTGGTTCAGGAGAAGGCTTTTCAAAGAGAAGAATATACAGTATATATGGATTCTATTATGCTGTACAACGTGCATTCCTCGGAAAGGCAATTGCTGGATTATCAGAAGAATGTTTGCAGTTTATTTAGGTTCCCTTGTCAATTCGTATGTAACTTCCTTGCTTTTAAACAGCACTAATACATTTAGTATATAATAATATAATGGTAGTGCTACTAGTGTCTGGCTAAAACCCAAGAACTTCAATTAGAAAAGCAACTTTCACACGTCAGCTATAAACCAGGAAGTAGGAGCTTCACTTCTAACATGTATTTGCTTAAACTGCACTGGCTGTAAAGCACATCAGACTACTTCTGTAACTTGCTTCTTTTCTCGTAGGAAACTAGCCTGTGTTTAGGTTGGGTATGTTGCTCTGATGTACAGCTTAAATGCTAAATGTACTATCAAAATGCAAATCAGTGGTGTTATGCTGCTGTGCTTAGGTTTTGTTTTGCTTTTTTTGCATTCAGCATTGCCCATTTCTTTTTTTCCTAGATAAATTATGGAGTTAAAGAAAGAGAGCTACTGGGTTGTTTGTTCCAAGATAAGGTTGCTATGTTTCTTTTAAAAACAGTTCCCAATGCATGCTGCTTATGTCTTGTCACTAAACTTTGCTTATGGCCACAATGACAGCTGCTTTAAGGACCACTTTAAAGTTTTCAGACTGGACATTGGAAGACTGTAAGTAATCTTTAGGGAATCTTTTGGATCAAACAGGATTCTGACTTCTAGACACAATGTCCTCTGTTTATTCCATGGCTGTATAAATGGCAGTCAGCTTCAGGGTACAGAAATTACACTGAGGAGGGGTCAGTTTTCAGCATTGCACCCTTAAATATAAATTCCTGCTGGCTCGAAGCCTAAGTTTGACTTTGCCTCTCACAGTGCCTAAAAATAGAAAACAATAAAATTTAGAGAGCCTCTGCATGAAAAACATTGCTTAAACACTGCGCTATGGCCTCTTCTAACTTTCTGCTTACACAGGAAAATAAAAATATTAGGTACTGTACAGTGGGAGGGCTTGCTGTTATCAAAGAGAGACCATCTTCGCTCACTTTTTTTATGCCATGCTTCTGTGTGTCAATCATAATGACCTAAATAACAAGTATAGAAGTTGCCAAATATTCTTGCATTATTCCGGAACCAACTTCCTGATTTAGCTCTTGCTACAAGTGGTGGCTGCAGTCCTTTACTTTAATGCACATGTGTGAATGCTATCTGTTTTATTATCTTTGTAATTGTGAGGGACCTTATGTGTGTGTGCATAAGGAAATCACTCCTCAAGGAAGAGAAGAGAGAGCCTGTTGGGGTGGAGAGTTTTTGGCCCTCTGGATGTTTTGGCCTACAACTCTTATCCTGCCATAATGCTAGTTATGCTGGCTAGGACTGTTAAGACTAGAGGGCCAAACATCTTGAAGACCACAAGCTGCCCAACTTGATCCATGTGCATACATACTTCTGGACAGTATGGCATTATGTTCCACTTATAATAGTCTTGTTAATGGCAACAGATGCCTTCTTTTATCATGAATGATAGGATTTTGAACTTTTGTTGTGAGATAAATGTGAATTTAAAAAAATGGTGGCTACCATTGTTAAATGAAATTATTGAAACTGAAAACAGAGCAAGACATCAATATATAATACTGTAAAGAGTTGGTCCACATTCATAATAGTTTGTTTTTAATTTGCTTTAAAAGCCTCGGAAAGAGAAAAAGGTTGGTTTCTGTGCACTGATCATGGCAAAATTCTTTATGGCATTAAGGATGCCCTATTGTGAAGTGTGCTAGCAGATCTACTTCCTTCTCTGTTATTGACAGTGAACTAGGCATTCAAACCAGAAGTAGTTTAATGTTTGCATATAGAGCAGTTCATCGCTATCTAAAGAGAGTGACTTGAATGAGAGAGGTTATGCTTGCTCATCTTAAGGTGAAGGTGATGCTTTGTCTATTTCAGAAGAGCAGGGCTGTGTTGCATTTAGTATAGCAAGTTCAGCTTGGTCTTGTTGCAATTAAGTTTTATTAACAATAAAAGTGTTTAGCAAATTTGGATTGCAAGTGAACTTGCCAGACCAAAATAAAGTCAATTGTTTGTTTGTTTTAAGAAGGGGTATGAGGTCAGTGTTGGCAGTTTGAAAAAGAGAATAGAATATGGGACCAAAGAACTATTCCAATGGTATTTCTCAAACATATATAGAAGTACTTTTTCTGAATCAGGAATGGTAGTATTCTACGAAACAATGTTTACTAATGTCCCACAGATACTCCTAGCTCAGCCTAAGGCATAAGCTTTGACACCCTTATACTGTGTGGAACCAGCACTACATAATGTTTGCAGAAGAGTTAAGCATTCTTTAAAAGGATGTACGGATTATTCAGGATGAACTCAGATTTGCCATGTTAGGATATACATCAGTTCATAAAAGCAGTGAATGAGTGTGTTGTTTTGCTACTGTGTTTCTAAATATGTGCAGAGCATTTTTCTAAAATTTGCTGGAGTGCCAAACTTTGGAAAACATGTCTTGGTCCTTCAAGTGTGCTGTCTAAATTCCTGGGAAAAGTAGACTTTCTGCTTTGTGCAGTGGTACAAATGCTTAATGTCTTGCTGGAAGCAGGGATGCCCTTTGCTTTTGGATGTTGCTTGGCTTTACCTGAATGTTCAGATAACACAGTTCACCACAACTAGTATTAAAAAAAATGGTAGCCCAAGTACTGGTGGTGTGTATGTGAGTTAAGCTTTGCAGCCTCATACTCCAAGGTGGCTGACAGGTCTCCCACATCAATCATATTTGTGTGAAGGGTTGTGGAGGGATGGTTTGCTGTGCTAGATGTACTTTGGAGTGTGGAGGAAGAGTTAGTACAAGAAGTATATCTAAAACGATTAAAAGATAAGCACAGTTTCCCTCCAGCTGTAAGGCCCAGGTTCCAATGTCTTATTATCATTCCACTGTGCCTGGTACTACATAGGTGGGATCCCTTAATTCTATTACATATGGAGCCCTCGCTGGATAATTCCAGGAGTTGAACTGATGCAACTATTTGTAATAATAAGGCATGTACGAACTTGTTACACTGGTGCCATTTTCAGTTGTTGGCTGGGCTAAAAATTATGTGTGTAGAATGCTTAGTCTGCTTAATAAGGTCATATATTACTGAGCCTTCTTCTCAGTACACCATGCTTATTTTAACAGCCCATGTCAAGCCTTGTGCTGCCAATGTTTTGTCCCACCTCTTCCTAGCTCTCCAGCTTAATAGCAACAACGTTGGACCCAACTCTAGAGAGTCCTGCATCCTGACTCAGAGATTTTTAACCCTCCGACTAAACATATAACCAAAGATCATTGTCTTTCCAAGCAGTTAGAAAATTTTGAATTTTTCTAGAACCTAAGCATTTAAGCCTTCATCTGGAACATGTGTGAAAAAGTTCATAGTAGCTTTGAAATCAATGATAGAAAGAAATTAACATGGATATTGGATATTTATTTATTTATTTATTGGTCTTGCAGCCGATGTGATTTTAGACAGAAGATGATTTTTCAGAAATTTCCATCTGTTTATTCTTTCAGGTTCCTTTTCTATCTCCCCTGGAAGGCCATATATATCTGAAGATTAAATGTCAAATAGATTCTTGTGTGGAGGAAAGAGGCTTTTTGGTGAGATACCACTACATGTGTAGATTTTCAAGCCTTTCTTAATCTAAAAGAAGAGTCTCGATTTGTCCTTGGAAATTTGTCCTGATGCTTAGGGCTTTTTAATTTCTCTTTCCAACAGACATGTGACTAGGTTCTGGCTAGTGAAGCAAGCCTAGACTAATTTCAGAAGTCCTTTAAAAGAAAGATATATGAGCATAGTTCTTAAATCATACTTAACAATATAGCTAAATAGTTACTCCTGAATCCAGCAGATGGCGCTTTGTGCTATAAAAACCACTATGAGTTGCAAGATTGCAATGGCTGTGTTCTCAGAAGTATTGTGCCACACTGATTATATCTTTGAAAAGAATTGTGTGAAAGTTCTAGTACATTTTCTGATATCAATAGGAGACATAAATACTCCAGAAACTTGTTATATTATGATTTTTGTACTTTCATAAGCTGGCCTTCTTTAATAAAAGCAAGCCAAAACAAATGTCAAATATTCTCAGCCACTAAGTGCTGCTTGCTTAAAATCCGGTATATAAGAGAGAGAGAAGGTAAGAATGATTGTATATAGATAGTGGCATTGGGGTGGGCTTTGGTGAATGAAAGCTTGCTGAGCTGTTGGCTGGATAGAGAAAAGGTGCAGCAATAGGTACTTACAGCACTTCTTAGATTGCTTAGTGAGCAGATCCTGAACATGGAATGTTCTAATAAAGCTGTGAGAATTCAATTATAAATAAATGTAGGAATAGTGTTAGTGTTCAAGAAAACGTCCTTCTCTCTCTTCCCCCAGACTATGTTTGAAGATGTTAGTGGGTTTGGGGCTTGGCATCGACGCTGGTGTGCTCTTTCTGGAAACTGTATCTCTTACTGGACTTACCCAGATGATGAAAAAAGAAAGGTAACTACACTGCTAAAAATCCATGTAAAAGCAGATTTGATAAAGCATGGAATGTAGTAGAATCAACTTTAGCCCAGTTCACATTATCCACAGCCAGGGATGATATTCACACTTCTGGAAGGCAGATGTAGAGGCATTCTTCGTTTAGATCTTAGTTGAAAGGATGCAATATGGAGAACTTTACTGAAGGCATCTTTCAACCTATGTGTTCCTTTCTGGAGACACTCTAGGGGGCTGCATTCTGTTGATGGGCAGGGCTAAACGCAAAAGGGGAGGGGGCCGGAAATACCAGCATCTTGCAGCTGAAATCTCTTCCTGCCTTTAGGGATTTCAATCTTAGAATGTGGAAGAAATGAACAAAAGGCAGGAAACCACCATACAATTGCTGGTCGGGGCAGGGGGGAATGTAGCCTTCTAAGAACCCTAGAGAGTAGGATTTAGCATCTGAGCCTATAGTGTACAGCTCTGCTTTACTGTAAGTACAGTAATTGGAGGTGGATCCATATGTTGCTTTTTCTGGGATGGTGGGCAGGAGGACAAGAGCACAACATCAATCCCTTACCCTTACCCTACCTTTATTAGATATTGTATCTATCTATCTATCTAAAGTTTTTTAGACTGTCACAATAGTCACATGACTCTCTGGATAGTTTACAGCAGTTGGTTAAAAAAAAAAAAACCCTTGGTGTTTTAACTATGTGACTTTTTAAATTTCAGCATCCAATGGGCTCAATAAACCTGGCAAACTGCACTAATCATAAGATTGAACCAGCCAACAGAGAATTCTGTGCTCGGCCAAACACTTTTGAGCTAATTACTGTTCGGCCCCAGAGAGAGGATGACAAGGAAACACTAGTTAGTCAATGTAAAGACACACTCTGTGTTACCAAGTAAGCAAATGTGTTATATTTTATCAGTAGCCTAGCATTTCTGTAGGCTTAAAATACTCTGTTTTCTAAAACTTTGAATATATTTTCACTTTGTCTGTTACTTTACATTTTTATCTAGGCAGAAGTTTTTGGGAGTTTTGATATTGCTATTTGTGTAGATCACTTTGTACAGTTAAAAGGATACATGGAGCTGAGGTGGGGGACAGTTTTTGTAATAATGCCCCCATCCCCTTTTTTTCCTCTACAAGAAAATTTGTGGATAAATGCTTAACGTCATTCCTTTTTTGCCATTTGTTTTGTTTAAAGGAACTGGTTATCTGCTGATACTAAAGAGGAGCGTAATCTGTGGATGCAAAAGCTCAACCAGGTTCTTGTTGACCTTCGCATGTGGCAGCCTGATGCATGCTACGTCCCTATTGGAAAGCCTTGAACGGAAAGAAACCTCATCGAGCTTGCTTGCAAAGCCAAATACAAACTGTTGCTCTTTTCATTTGGACTTTATATAAAGTCCTTTGGGATTATTCATTATACTATGCTTTAATATCTGGAAGGGGATATGTTGTATCGGACTCCTTGCTGAATATAGAGTTCTAACTCTTCTAGCATTGAAGTATGATAGCTGTCTTTAAGCTTTTTCACTGTGCTAAATATTTTATATGTAAGACTTCTCAAAATTTGTTATAAAGTTCACTATTAAAATTCCAGTTTCTATTAATTAATACATCAGAGACTGGCTTATTTCATGAAATGAAGAAATTCAGCACAGGAGGAAAAAAAACCCTGGTGAGTTTTATCTATACATGTTATTTTTATCAGGGATGCCTTAGAGTCATTCAATTTTAGTGGTGAACTGAAGCAGGAACTTCAATGCTTTTAGCTGTAAAGGTGTTGATAAAAACCTATTTAGAGATTTAAACACAAGCATTGTCTGGTAATGTTCAACATACTTGGCACTTGCAAATGTCAGTCTAGATTGAGAATTGCATAGGATAGTCATAGATCCTGACAGTCAAATAAGGTTAAAAAGAAACTGGTGCATGATTTGCACATAATATGGTTTACAGATATGATCAGCTATGCAGTATGTTGCACATTTTCCTAGAAAACAATATATGTAGTGTATTCCTGAAACTTTTATTAAAAACTCCTTATCTTCTATTTTCTCTAGTCATATTCATCTTCTCCTTTGAATTTGAAACTCACTGAACTTTGAGCATTAAGAACAATGTGATTTTCCTCTAGCCTCTGTAGAGCTGCTGTATGCAAAATAATACTTGTAAAAGTCCACAGGTTTTTATAATTGCATCTCTCAATTCAGACAGCTTTAGCTGATCTGTAGTATGCAAGAGTGCTCAGTTAAACAGATATACAGCTTCACACATGCTTTGTACAGGGTACTACAATGTTCTTTGCCACCAAATGTATCTTTATCAGTAGTGGGATACGTCCCCTATGCTGCTACGGCTTTGAATACTTAGAAACACTAACAGTGTGTTGTTTCCTTTTTCACTAACTTTGTATTAGTGCTCTCAGTATTTACTTTCTTCAGGTGTTTTAAAACTATAAACAAGAATTTCTCAAATAAAATGCTTTAAATGTATCAAAGGGGTTGTCTGTTATGTTTATTGTCTTACAATACTAAAAAATCATAGCAAATAGGATTTAACAGTCTTTGTCAAGGTGATGATATTGATGTATGACCACTGCATTCTCTAGTTTGGTTGCAGTGATGCAGTTCTACACCAGTATCAGTTTTTTATTGTGTAATTCACTAGGCGTCAATATAATGATACCAGTGCATGAGAAAGTAGACTAAATAAGAAAATGGATTAGCAAATTAGTAAACTTAGTGAACTAAGAAAGTTAATGAGTGCAAGTATAAAATATGTATCAGAAGAAAAGGTATGTCGGATAACAGAGACCTTCTGCGGAGCAAGCTCAACCTCAGCAATATACCAGTCTTGGTTCCATGGGTGTTGTAAGAGAGGCTACTGGGCCCTGGAAGAGGAGAACTATGGCAGTCTTGGACTTGATATAGTTCACTTCCTTCCAATAGGAATTAATTGGGAAGAAAACAATTTGTTTCTTCCCTCCCTGCTGGGCTTTGAATAAGGTGGGCCCACTGTATTCAGATCACCCCCAGCAGGTACTTTGATTGTACTGCTAACAAACACAACATGCAGTTCCAGAATGCTTACCCATTCTTCAGTTGTTTAAAATGATGCAGATGGCTTTTCTTCAATAAACTTGTATGACAAAAAATGGAGCTATCAAATAAGGTGATATATATGCACAGTTTCAAATGTGTCAAGATTAACACTTGTTCAAAATATAAAGGTAGCTTAGAGGTTAAGCCTTACATTATTGCCTTACTTTGGATATTTGAACCACATTTAGAACATTGTGATTCTTTATAAAATGGTAGGTAATAAACTTGATTTTTTTTTTTTTAATTAGAGGAGGTTTTAAAGAAATTTTCTGAAATGATTTGAGGAAATATTATACAGGAATGGCCCAACAATGTCTAATCTCTGGAATCATGAATAAAATTTTGAATAACCCAATGTAACTTCTAACACAATATTGATTGAAATATATGTATAATCTAAATGTGATCATTCAAAATGTCAGTCTTCACCATTTTTGACACAGAATTACTGGAGAAAGTTTATATTCTCTCTCTCTCAAACTTGTATCTCCACTTCTCTCTGGTGTTGTAAATTTCCCATCTATTTGTCATTAAGCTCTTTCAATCTTGAATTAAATCTGTTAGATAAAAATAGCGATGCATGTCACAGACAAAGCCTAGACAAACTGAATGTTATTTTTGGCCTGTTTAAAAGTGCTTTGCTTTATAGGTAAATTTTGGAAGAGATTTGTGTTGCATACTACAACGATAAATGTAATGCCACTTGGTGAAAAGATCAGATGTTACGTGCCATCAAATGATCTCCAACTTACAGCAACTCTGTGTTTTAATTGTCCTCTAAAATGTCCGGTTTGACAGCCTTGCTCAGCTGTGGCTTCCATTTTGAAATTGATCCATGATTGCTCTTCCACTTCTACCTTTGACCTTCCCTAGCATGACTGACTTCAACAAGTCTTGACTTCTCATGATGTGCCCAACAGACAGCAGTTCCAGCTTGATTTGATCTATGGCTCACTTGTTCATCTTTCAGTCAATCCAGGGTATTCACAAAACTCTCCAGCACCATGTTTTGAAAGCATCATTTTTCTTCCTTAACTTTCCTTACTGTCCAGCTTTCCCACCCATACATAGTGATCAGGAATAAAATAGAACGGATGACCTTGGTCTCCAGTGAAATCTTTACATTTTCTAGTTCCTTCATTGCTGCCCTTCCAAATCTCAGTCAAATAAAAATTCCAACAGAATTTTCTTCCATGTGCTTTTTTCTAAGTTGACTTTTTGAAGAAAAATGAAGAATTGGAGAAAATCATGAGTAAATCATGATATCAACAGTTTGAGAACCCTTCTCTTCAAATCATCAATCTTGTATGGATCATTTAATATGGAGGAATCCTCTTTTTAGCTTCTAGCAGATATTTTAGAAGATATCTAATATTTCAGATTACAATTTTATATAGACTCGGATGGCATTCCAGGGGCAGAAGGACAACTCAGATCTGCAAGAGTAGAGAGAAAAAGGACTTTGCTCCAATGCTTCTCCTGTATGGAAATTTCCAGTATTGGAGGCAAAATGACACGGGGTAAAATGTCTGGAAGCCTTGGAACTGGTGCATATAATTTGATTGGGTTGTGTCCATTTCTCTGCTTTACCTCTTTACATTTGTCACTGATCATAGTTTATAGCCCTAATATTTTACATAATATGTACTATATCGATCAGTCTGCAAACCTGTCTAATCATATTGTTTGTTAAAACATAACAGTGAAACTTGCAATTGTTGAGGCTAACAGTGAGGTGAAAGAACTCACAAATTAAAAACAACAGTGAAACTTGCAATTGTTGAGGCTAACAGTGAGGTGAAAGAACTCACAAATTAAAAACAACAGTGAAGGCAGAAAAATAGGAAGACCAAGTAAGTGATGCATTGACTCCATAAAGGCTTGAACTTACAAGAGCTGAGCAGGGCTGTCAAGGACAGGACATTTTGGAGGGTCACGATAAGTCAGAGATGACTTGATGGCACATCAATAAATTGGTCTAGTGAATTTGCAGTTTACTTCTGTGGAAATGTGGTCTTTGATGGAGAAATGGTTGCCATGTCTGAGTGGTGATATCAGTGCCCTCCTTGAGTATTGAAGACTCTTCCAATCTCCTTGTTGAATGGATTTTCTTTTTGAAGAACATGAGGCCAATCATGGAGTAACTTCTGCCAGATGATTTTTGCCGCAAGTGCAGAAGCAATCTAGAGGAAGTTGAAACAAAAGGAGAGAGATGTCACTTTCCATTTAGAAATTCCTTCACATGTTAAAGATTGGCACACTCAGCTGCTGATTGAAGGCACAGAAATCTGGCCAGTAAAATAAAGCATTTGCACTAATAACATGGCCATGTAATTAAATTTTTGATAGTCCCTTGTTTTGCCACTGATATTTCAGTAGTTATGACATTCATGGTTAAATATGACTGGTTTTCGGCTTTTCTGTTGTGCTGTTTACTTAGGCTGGTTTTGCTCGGGGAAACAGGCGAGACATTAAATTTTGGTGCTTTCAGAGTGTTAAAAACAGTCTGAAATGTAAATTGATGCTTGCCTAGTACACTTAATAGACTCTTACCAAATTAATATGTTTGCTTTTGGGCCACAATTCTATGCCTTAATTCTTGCAATGATGTAAATATTAGAATCTGCAACTAAGAATTCTGTGACTAAAATAAGCAAAAACAAAGCTAATTCATATCAGTGACCTAATGAAACATCACTCGTCAGTTTTCAGAGCTCCTAGATTTGTGGTGCAATTTTATACCTGTCTATTCAAAAGTAGGCTCCAATCTGTTCAGTAGAGCTGTTTCAGGCACATGCATAAGACTGCAGCCTAAATATATTAAGCTACAGGAGATTTTCATGCACAAAGAGAAGGTCAAAGCTGGGAACAAAGTGTACATACATGTATTTTCATGTGTGAAAATTGCTGGAGTGTCAATCATGTCACAACTGCATTGATGCGGCAGTTACAATATGACGTGATTTACAAGCAGGTGTAATCTTAGCAAATCTATTTATGTGACTTGACAATAAAGGTTGTTATTTCTTAGATGTTATTTATTGCTTGAGCAGCAGGAAAGTCATGTTAGCACACAGTCTTATGGGGATGTCCCTGACTCCCCTATCTCAGAGGATTATGGGCATCATGCAGACTGGGAGGAGGAGAAGGGCAGTGTTGTGCAAACCAGCTGGACAGCTGACTGGCTGTCTTAACACATGAAATGCCAGCAGTCAATCTTTGCTTTCTAGTAGTGAACAAATGTAGCAGTTTGTGTAGGTCAAAAAGTAAAGTAGATGCTTGCCAACATCTTAAAGCATCACAATTGTGATTTCCCCAAAGACACATTGGTCTTCCCCCACCTGGGGGAATGACCCTCAAGCAATGTTCTGCTCATATACAGCAATTATCAGCTCCAGCCATCTGGCCAGTGATGAAGGCTAACGGAAGCTGTTGTCCAAAGCATCTGGTTGGCACCAGGATTAACTATATAACCACTTGTGTGGCAACTCAGACATCCCAGTAAGATCTATTAATTATAAAATAATTACCATTACAGTTTAGATCCCAATTTAATAACACTTGAGCTCTTGGACCCAGAAGGACTGACATTGATGCCTAACATAAGCACTGCTGATTTGAATGGGTCTACTCCCAAGTATGACTAAATCTGAATCCAACCCTATTTTCTTTCTTACAAAAATCATTTTTTTCCTTCTCAAGTCAAGCTGAAATTTTGCCAACTTCATTCTTTCTACTACAAAACTGCCTGTATGACTTATTAAATTCATGTTCAGTACTCTGAGTTAGGTTTCTTTTCAGCTCATTCTTTTAAAATATGTAAATCCACATGGATTTTTCCAGCTTTGGGGTTTTTCTGACAAACACAGTTTGTCATTTGGAGTGAAAGGGTCTAATGACCCTCAAGCAATGTTCTGCTCATATACAGCAATTATAATTCTGTAGAATAAACTCAGACTGGTCCTGTTTGGCAGCCTCTGTTGCTCTAGAGCTTTTGAAGCACAGAATTATTGTGTTTTATAAATTTGTGTTGAAATGCATGGCCATGTCATATGTACAAAACAACCACTCAAAGCATTGCCCTTGAAACTATGCAATTTCCCCAAGTAACTTACTCTGCATGAGAGTTGATCATACAGGTACGGGGCAGGGGGAATAAGGATTGTCCCCCCCCCCCCACAACTCTAGTTAAAACATACAGATGTGGAATTGCATAGTCTTCCATCTACGTCTAAGCTTGCAGGAGAAATTCATTAAGGAATAACTCAAGAATGGAATTTCTGGGCATATTTAGATTGCAGTAGCTTTAAATCCTTAGATGTGAAGTGCTTCTGAAATTTCCACTTGACTTCAAATAGCTCCAGTGTGCAAGTCATTTATTCTGACACAATTCCCATTTTCTGCTAGTGCAGTGGCTTCCACTTGGTGAAATCCTATCCATGGCATCTGAATGCAGGAATCACATGTAGTGCCAGTACGTGATTCCTTCCCAACCTAGTTGCTGTTTGGTCTAGCAGAGCAGGGTGGACAGATCAGATGGAAAGAAAATTATACAATCAGCTCCATCCGTGCTTTTCCTGTATTCAAATATTTAACACAGTGCATGGGAACATTCCACAGGGATGGGGTTTCTAGAGGAAAATATAAATATTATCAGCATCACTTTCAAGCTCCACTGAAGTCAGCTGACAAATGATGGAATAAAGTTAATTTATTTTTATCATTGTAGTCCAAATAGTTCCTGTAACACACTTGAAAAAGGAACTATTACATGAAGTGGATGGCTAGTTAATCACCTGATCTGCTGACAGAACAGCCACCCCATAACCAGCTTATGGTGCATTTATTACACTAACTTATATTTGTTTAATATTAATTGCAGGAGATATTTAACTGAATTATTCTCATCAATCAATAATTACTGGGGTTTGTGAGGAAGCAATGACAATTATAAACTGGCAAAACTGGTTAAGAACATATATGGAAATGAAACAAAACTCAATAAGAAAAAATGTGCTACAGAATTCATTTGTTATATTATGGATAGACCAAGATTGCTATAAGGTTGGAGTCATAGAACAGATTCATGGAGATGACTGGATTGGATCCAAGATGCCTTCCATGAACAGAAGTACTCAGCCAACTTGAATGTAGCACCCCATGCTGAAAAATGTTAGCAGGCCAAATTCAGCTGCTCTAAAGCACCTTCTTTTTGCCATGGAGTAGCTAACTGCTGCATTTTGCCTGCTTCTGGACACAAATCTCTGTCAGCTGTTTCCCACTCTTCCAGCCCTTCTCATCCCCTTATCTCCTTGAAGTTTTAGAACCCCAATTTGCCTAGTCCTAGCTTCCACAACTCCCCAAGAACCATATTCCAGCCAATTTAGTTCCAGATTAACCACATATGTCCGTGGCCCTGTCTTCTATGCAGAGTGACCTTCAGTTCAAACACTAAGCAGAGTTTGCATTGTTGAGGCCTGTGTCCATTTGGTTTCTAACTTTATATAGGCAATATGCCAAGGATTATTTACTATTTATGAGCTAATTTATTTTCCATTGGCATACCTATAGTACCTGTGCTCAGCTACCTCATTCCCAACATTAGATTTATTTTGTAAGAAATAAACCATGCACCACTGGGAGCTATGACTTGGTTCATGTGTGTTTGTGTATGCATACCATTGGAACAAATCTGCCAAGACATGCTACTGCTAAAGTCAAAATACACGGTTTTGTTTTTGCACACATCCTGAGAGGATATCTATTAATGCCCTTTGTTTGCAGTGAAGAACCACAGTAATGCCTCATGCATGAGTATATGGTCTCTTGGACATTTGGATTTTTCTCTTTTTGCCTCTTTTATCCCCTATTCCCACTCATCTCCCCACCCCTGTCTTTTACCTGATTAGGATGAAAACCATCAACAGGTTCTATTAGCTGCCAGGGCTCTCCTCCGAATTTCTGCCACATCTCAACTACTGTAAACCAGATAATTACAGAAGATTATGCACCACATGTATAAACATAACCTCCACTTCGCACAGCATCACAGGCAGTATTTTTAACTGATGACTGTTACACATGAAGATTATGATGATTTATGTAACACTGTTGGAGCAAATACTATATCCAATCCTCTTTCCTTCCAGGCAGTATTTAAGCCTTTCCAAGATATTTATGCAGGGGAAACTCTTTGAACATAAATGCTAGCAGAACAATTTTCATGCAGCTCCAAGCATAAATAAGGCTGAAGAGAGACAAAGTTTTTAAAATGCTAAACTTAACATTGTTTTAGCACTTCATTTTTGTTGGCTTTTCCTCAACACCAAAATTGAAGGTCAACAGTCAGAAATGGACAGCTGCAGCTCTGTGTGTGTTTGGCTTGAAGTGTTTTGGATGCAATTTTTCATTACATTGCAGTTGCTGCAAAAAACACCCTTCTGGAAATATACATCACATTAGAAGTTAAAATAAAGATCTGGTATAAATTAGACATTTGTTGTTGTTGTTAGTTGCAAATTTGTGTCCGGCCCATCGCGACCCCATGGACAACATTCCTCCAGGCCTTCCTGACCTCCACCATCCCCCGGATTCCACTTAAGCTCCCATCAACTGCTTCAGTGACTCCATCCAGCCACCTCATCCTCTGCCATTCCCTTCTTTTGCCATCTATTGTTCCCAGCATTAGGCTCTTCTCCAGGGAGTCCTTCCTTCTCATTAGGTGGCCAAGGTATTTGAGTTTCATCTTCAGTTTCTGGCCTTCTAAAGAGCAGTCAGGGTTGATTTCCTCTAGGACTGACTGGTTTGATTGCCTTGCAGTCCATTACAGTAGAAAAAAAACTCCCAAGTTCTTCCTATACAGGGCACTGACCTCCCCTTCTAGATAGGATGTTACCACCACCTTGATGACTCCAAACTCTGAACAGATAACTCCAGCAGCAATTTCAAATAAATGCAGAGGATAAGATTGAACTTTATGGTGTATGCAGTGAGTAGAGAAGCAGTCCCCTTACGCTACCCTATGGTACCCTTTTATCAAATAGCAGTGAAACCAACTATCCAAGCGTGTCTACTGTCCAAATTCTGCTGAGAGATCCAGAATAATAAGCACAAGACCATTTCTCCTATTCAACTCTAGATGAAAGCCATTAGCCAGGAGTGCTAAAGTAATTTTACCTGCAATATGTGTTAGAAGCCTAAACTAGTACAGGTCCAGAAAATCAGCAGGGATGGGAAAATAGGCACATTTGGCATAAGGTGGAGATATATTTGTTCTGTGAGCATTTACTTTTAGGATCTTCTCTTTTCTTGCATTTTGTATTTTCTCTTCTCTTGCCTCACCCTTCAGTTGATTCCCCTCTTTCTCCTCCAGTGTATGTATATATGTATACTGGAGATTGCAGCCTCCACGCCTCAGTCTGTGCATTGGGTGAATGAGTTCAGAGGCTTATGCACATCTGAAGTGGAAGGCAGTGGATTTCACCCTGCATAAATATACTATAATACTCTGTAGGGTAGCCTAGATACCAATAAAATTGGTATCATAACTCTCCAATTCTAAATGTTGGAATTTCATTCAAAGCACATACAAATTTAAAAGTAAAGATGCAGACTGGAAAGAGTTCAGAGGAGGCCAACAAGGATGGTCCAGGGACTGGAAACAAAGCCCTATGAGGATAGATTGAAAGAACAGGGCATGTTTGGCCTCAAGAAGCAATCTGCAAGTACTTGATAGGCTGTCACAAAGAGGAAGGCCAGGATCTCTTCTCAATCATTCCAGAGTGCAAGACAAAGAATAATAGGGTCATGTTACAGGAAGCTAGATTCTGGCTAGATATCAGGAAACATTTCCTGAGTGTTAAGGTGGTATGACAAGGGAACCATTGGAACCATTACCTACGGAGGTTGTGGCTTTCCCATACTGGAGGGATTCAGGATGCAACTGGGCAGGCATCTGGGAGGGATGGTTTAACTTGGAGTCCTGCACTGAGCAGCGGCTTGGACCCAATGGTTTTCTGGCCCCTTCCAACTCTACTATTCTATAATTCTTTTAAATCACCACTGCTGTTAAATGTTTCATACTCTGAGACTCCAAAAAGGTTTGGAGCAGACTTTAGTAAAAAGAAATGTGAGAAATAGGTCAGTGATGAGCACAGAAGGAGCTTAAAAGGGGAGCTTGACAACTGACATTTCTACCAAGTGGAAGCCTTTAATTGCAAACATGCTTATGGGGCTGTGAAAAACACTGCCAAATGCTGTCTTTTGTCATGACTGACTTTTATTTACCAATGTGGGAAAGTAATGCATATTGATCCCCCTCCAAAATGTGATTTAATGTATTTACTACTTCAGGGTAATTTGGTTCATCAGCAATAGGTTAATGGCCCTGATGAAATATTAAGAGTGTATGCAGAATTGTTTGGATTTAAGTGACTGCTCCCTTAATAATTTATTGTACATAAAGAAAAAATGATTGCATAACTAAGTAAAAGCAAAGTTAAGTAACTCAGGTCAGTAAGTCTCAAAGCACTTATGCCCTGATTTGAGATCCACATGTGGTGGAAACCTTACATGTGCCATTCCCTTGCTGGTTAGCAGCAGCAGTGAAGCCTTCAGTCTCACTAAGCGACCTTGGGCCAGTCTCTAACATTCAGCCTAATCTATTTCATAGGACTGAAGGGAGAAAATGATGAGGGGAGAGGAGAAGCATGTTTGAGCTCCTTGGGCCCCTTGAGCTCCTTGGAGGAATGGCGGGGTACAAATGCAGCTACAAATAACAAGCAAACAGATTGGTCTTCTTAACCAGCAAAATCAACCCTCCCTCTAAAGAATAGCAGGGTCATCTTCTTGACTTCATTCTGAGTTCAGATTGATTCCAAGCCCACTGCAGAGTCATAAGTGAGTCCAGTTTCAGAAGCGACAGGGCTGGTGTGATCAACACAACTTATCTTTCCAGAATTAGCAAACCCAACAGAAGTTGCCACAATCCACTCAGTGCTTTCAGCAGTCACTTTGGCAGCAAACATGGCAGCAGCGGTAACCAGACCACCATTCCTGGAGCTGATGAGGCCACAGCGTGACTGCTAAAACAAGAGTGCGCAATTTGTGGCCCAAGGATCACCTCTAGCCCTCTCTGCCTCCTGGTGCAGGCTTCACTGCCCATGGCCGCTGCTGCACCAACATTCATGAGGGCAAAAAAGCTGCTACAGCAGAAGTCCTATTGTGGCTGCGTGTGGCCTGTTTTCAAGCTAAATTTGCCCCCTGCAGTGTTCTAGAGAAGTTTACCACTGAAAATAGTGACAACCTGGCAACAGAAATCACTCATCAGCTGTGTTTGACTTCTGGGCCTGGCTGTTCCTGAGGCATGTACACTCCTCCCTTCTTCCATAATGGCAGCCTTCCTCCTCACTGGGTTCCGGCTCATTTTCTGAGACTGGAGCCAAGGGCAACAGCCCCTGCTGCACCTGCTTCTGCCGCCTCCCCCCACCAGTCACTGTAGCACTGCTGCCTTTGTCCAACTTGGATTAATGTTGGCCTAGGTAGAAAAGTCTGGTGCGGCCTCCGAGATCCAGGCTGATCTGAGAGGGAAGAAGCACTCATCACTGCCAAGCTGGAAAGCTGACTTGTGGAGGCCAGCTATGGCCATCTCTACATACCACCCTGTGCAACACATGAGCAGACGTGTACAGTCGCACCTGCCTTGTGGTGAAGGTGCAAATGCACACCCCAATCCACTTTTTGGGCGAAATACTTCATTTGTGCATGCATGGCTATGGGTGGGCAGGTTGTGGCTTGATCCTTCAGAAGCACCTGGGATTGGAGCAGGTGACTGATCTTGTGGCAGCTCCTAATCCGTGGTAAAAAGATTGCCTGAATTATCCTCCCACAAACTTCTCATTTGCACTTGGGCTGCACTGAGGACACTCTGCATACAACCCCTGAAACAGGAGAAATGCAGGTGGCCACCCTGCATACACTTTTGTGAACCTCAGATGAGTTATGCCTGATCAGACCACGGGTCCAACCAGTGCGGTGTTCTCGTCACAAAGTGGTCAGCCGGCTGCCTGCATGGACCCACAAGCAGGGCACAAATACAACAGTGTACCTCTGGTTGGGTTCTCCAGCAACCGGTGTGCATAGGCATGCTGCCTCGGATACTGCAGTGGCCATGCAGCTACCAGAGCTAATAGCCACAGAGCGATTTCTCCTCCATGGATGTACCTAATTCCCTTTTAAAGCCATCTGAATTGAGGGTCATCATTCCATCCTGTGGGAATGAATTCCACAGTTTAACTATGTGCTGTGTGAAGAAGGGCTTCCTTTGATCCCACTCTGAATTGTTTTGTGTTTTGTGAATGGGAGGAAAATTTCTCCATATCCACTTTCTTTAGAACATGCACCATTTGTGCATGTTGGAACCTAACCTCACAGAACTCATCAGTGCCATCGATCCTACCAAGGGCAGGGTGCCAAAACTGCACCAACAAAACCAGGCTTAAGCTCCCTCCATGATTGTACTGACTGCCATGGCTATTGGCTAGACTTGTTTTTTAAAGACATGGCTGTTGAAGGTCAAATAGAGTATCCAGTGGTATCCAGAATATATTTACTTCCACATTTCTTCCACATTTCTTGCCTCCCAAATCTTGCACATATCCTTGAGTAACATCAGCAATGGCATATCCTTTCAGCAGACAGCATCACCCCTCCTTTAAAGGATGCCTATTGTGGGAACGGCTTATATGGCTCATATATACTTACTTTCTTTCAGTGGGTAATCCAAGTATAAGAGATCAAAATTAGCATATTTCTCGGAAGTTGCTATTTCTTTCAGGATGCTGGAAAGCTGCAAGGCCCTCTGTGGGGAGAAACATAAAAAAAGTCTGTGCTTATTATTTTTATTGTTATAAGTTCCTGCTCTGTCTACCAAGAGTTTAGAGCAGCTCTCAATAATAATATAAACAATCCATTTGTGTGTGAACTTTGTACTGCTTTAGTTTCTGTGCAGGAAAAGAAATGTATTTTTTAAAGATGCCATTTATATTCCAAGTCACAAAATGGAAGCTCTCCTTCAGCAAACAATTGGCCTTGTTTACATAAGCTTGACTAACAATGTTAGAAAGAGAGCAATATGGTACATCATACAGCAGCATTTCCCTGCAAGCGTTGGCTTCTCTAAACAGACTGGGAAAAACTAATAATTCAGTGCCTGTTTTCGCCCATGGGTTCAGGGACAAAACTCTTGGGGTGACAGTGGCCAAAACCTGAGCGAAATGATCCTCAAGAGCCACTTTTTCAAAATTAAATTCTATTAGAGGTGATCTGGATGGTCAGGGAAGGTATGTCATCCTTTCCATGACTGCATTGTTTTAGAAGGTATGTGAAGGGAGAGCACCTGTTTCCAAGCACCTGCATGACAAAACTCCCCTGTATATGGAAAGCTAAGTTAGAAGCTTAATTTATTTATTGGATTGCTGACTCCCGACATTAGCCATATGGCTCCCTGGGTAGGTTACAACAATAAAACCATATAATACTATATATATATATAGTATATATATATATGCCCGCCCGCCCCTTGAGATCAGCAGGAGAGGCCCTTCTCCGGGAACCCTCCGTGAAGAAAATTAGGAGGGTAAGTACTCGGAGGAGGGCTTTCTCTGCGGTGGTGCCCAATCTATGGAATGCACTCCCCAGAGAGGTCCGCCTGGTGCCGTCGTTATTCGTTTTTCGGTGCCAGACGAAGACCTTTTTATTCAAACGTTATTTTAATTGTTAATATTATTTATTTTATTCTTTGGCCAGGGTGACTTAATTTATACTGTTAAATTATATTGTTTTATATGATGTTATTTATTTATGTTTGTGAGCCGCCCCGAGGCTTTGGCGAATGGGGCAGCATAGAGGTTCCCTAAATAAATAAATAATAATAAATAAAAGCACAGATCACATGGCAACAAAACATTTAAACAAGTAAATAATTATAAATGCACCCACTTAAAAGAACTAGTAATTAAATAAAAGGCATACCCCATTGTTAAAATGCCAATAAACACAGGTTAACTATTAAAATAATGTCAAAATAAAAATGTCTTTGCCTGGTACCAAAAAGCCTTCTTGACGATGCATACAGAGGTCCTTTCAAACCTGGTCATGCACAACATGCTATAACCTCTTTCAGCCTGAGGACTAAATTCCATTTGAGACGTGTGTGTGTTTGCCCGCACGCTGCATTCCAATGTCGGTCCAAAACTTCTAAAACACTGACATCTTCTAGCATAAAGCTCTGAGGGGCAGTAACTAAGCCTTAGGAGAGGCATTTCAACCTTCTGGAATGGAAGGGGGAACTGTGAAAAAGCCAGGAAACCACCAAAGGGTTAGTGGTTGGGGAAAGGGATGTGGGAATTCCCAGTGAGGGAATCCCAGAAGGTTGAACTGGAACTCCCATCAGGGTAGATTCGCTCCCAAGGCCTGCACTTCTGTGCCCTTGCACTGCAGCTTGTGTTCCTTTGAAGACTGGATTGGGATCTTGCTCCAGAAAAGAACAAGGAATTGCAGCCTAATAACATAGGGCAAATTGTCATACCATGTGTATACATACAAGGCTTTAAAATAGACAAAAAAATCTTGAAGCCAATCTGAGAATCTTGAGTTGAAGTAGAAAAAACTAGGCAGTTCAGGAAACCCAATCTCTTTAGCATCATAGCAGCAGCAGCAGCAGCAGCAGCAGCAGCAACAACAACATACCTCTGTGGTCAAGTCCCTGAGTGTGCCATTTGAAGACATCCAGCCATTGCATGGATTCACCTGTGGAAAGTGCCATTTTAACCATTGGATGTTAGTGTGTGAAAACGGACAACAGAGAACAGCCCCAGTTATCTGACAACACTTAGGTAATAAGAAGTTTGAACAAACAGAAGAGCTCTTTCCTTAACATTATACTTTCAGACTTGGTCAGGAATCATCAAGCACATAGGGACAATCCATATACGTAACTGAAATTCAGGAAACAGCTATTCTGAATAGTTACACCATAGATAGACATTTGAATTGATTTCTGACAATCAATACATTGCACATTTGTTAGTACTGAAAGCAGGGGTGCTACAAGTATTTTCGTTCTTCAGACTAAACATTCAATGGTGTTCTCTTTCCTTCCCCCCAGAGTACTTTGGGGGCCATCTCTCCAGGCTTCTCCTCTCCTGCCTGGTCCTCAGACGTTTGGATCACAACAGATTTGCTGATAATATTTTGGAGAACAAGATGCTCAAGAACAGCAAGATAAGACAGGGGGGAAAAAAACACCTGCTTCCATTTGCTATTACTTCAAAAGGGATGTGCTCTTAAAAAACAAAAGAAAACAACCACCTTGTGTTAAGACTAATTCCAATTAAAAGCTTTCTGTTTATCTCACAGTTTTTCTTAAGCTGTTACAAATATTTGCACATACAATTAGCTTCAGTTATTGGATACCTTTCCTTTCTAAAGAAACATTCAAGTCATATGAACTTTTACACTACCAAGATGTTAATCCAGCTAAATATGTCACCTTTATCATTTTTTTCTGCTTAAAATATAGTGGCACGGGACACCTGAACAACTCACCTGAAGACAGCTCAGAAATGAATAGAGTTGCTCATATGTAACATCTTTGTTTAATTGACCTGGAAAACAAAATCTTTTCAAACTTGACGGCATTGACACTACCATGTTCCTTACTGGGAACCCCCTAGGAAACTGCTTGATAAGGACTTTGTACTCTTGGTATCCAGGATTCCAGGGATATTCAGGACACATACCCAGCCCTCCAACAATGGCCCTTGAGCTACCTCCTTGACCACACAATATTTGTGGGGCTATTTTGATTGCTGGCAAACGTATACTGTAAACCTCATAAAGCCTGTACATAGGCAGCATTGAGAAAAATAGGGATAGGGATTGGCAATGAATAGACATTTTTCCCTGTTTGGACAGATCATTTTGGATCCAGCATCTGAAATAGCCCATGACAAGACCTGTTTGGTCTGCCCACCAGACAAACTCTGCACATAACCTGGCATTTGTTTATTTGCCAAGCTTACTCCAACAGTGTAAGTAAGAGGGGCAAATGCTTTTCTGTTCACAACAATTCTGTGAAGGAAGGCAGAACTATGAACCCTTAACAGCTAGGTGAGAATTTAAACCACACTTTCTTTGGTTCTCTTATGCTACTTTGAAGCTGCTGTCAAAAGAAACTCCTCTGAACTGATTCACACAGCACAATACACGGAGGCTGTGCCCTAAAGAGTAGGTCACACCATCCTGTGCTCATGAGCGTGACCTACTCAGAAAACCTCAGCTATTGGGCAGCATAGAAATGGAATCACTGATCCCCAATCACAGATTTTGCATATATAAAGCAGAAAAACAGTTTCCTCAAGTGCTGAATCATTTTGCAGAGGAAGCAACTATCCAAACAAAAAGTTCCAAAGCTCTTTTAACATGCAGATATGCCCTTAGTGGCTGCAGATTCTCCTGTTTACTTAAAAGTCTACTTTTAAGAAGACTTTTTGCTATTTGCTTTTAAAGAGACTCATTGCTATTTCTTTACTTTTTCACCTACAAACCAAAGATTTCAGCCCGATTGTGATGGAAGCCAAGGAAACACAGCCATGACTTCATGTTTCCATGACAGCATCTGTCCCAGACTCAAAGTCCAGGTGGCTTTCTTTTATCCTGCATATAGATACCTTCACCGCCCCCCCCCCCCGCCTTATTCTCAGTCGATTGAACTAGCAAGAGAACTGAGTCATATAATAGTCAGTTCAAATCCCAAGGGTGAGTGACTGATGCTTTACCCATTAACAAGGCTTTCACTCTCCAAAACAAATTTAGCCATTTCACATCAAGGAGGAAGATTAAAGGTGACTCTGTACAATCATGGCTTTAACTTTTTACATCTCAGATAGGCTGTCTTTAAAGTGGAAATAATACCTTCTGTCATAGAGGGAAAAATATATTGCTTCTGTATAGGTGAGCTAAATTCAAATACTGTTCAATACACAACAGATTTGCCATAACAAGCTGTATGTCAGGCAATAATGTTCTTTGATCATTTGTCTGGGGAGTTTTTTCCTGCTTCATCCTCAGATAAAGCAATTCCTTAATCAGAACATTGACTGTAGTAACTTAGATGCAATCCTATGCATATGTATCTAGTGGAAAGTCTCACTGGAGTTGATGAGGCTTACTTCTGAGTAGGCATGTAGTTCATTATCTATTTTTATGAAGAGACCCTATTAGGACTAACTTGTATTCTGTAAAATGTTCATCACACTTGCTCAGGAACTTGTGAGTTGTAGCCAGCTCTACTTAGGGCAGGTCCATTAAAACAATCCGGACTTAATTTAGGCTAACATTAGATACAGCCCAATGGATGAAACCCACTGATTAGGTTCACACAACATGGCAACCCATTGTGTGTCACTACCCATGGTGGGTTGTTATGCCATCCAAGCCTATACTGCTTCCCAGAGAGCAACTTGTTTGGAGATAATGAGCCACCTTGACAAACCATGGCTTGTTCTAGGGTTGTTCGACCCATGATGGGTTGCCATGTCATCTGAACCCAAAGAAACAAATTCAGAATGGATTACAAGATCAGCTAGAAAGCTGCTTGACAAGAGCATCAGCAGCAAAGAGGAACTGTGCTCCTCTTTGCAGTTGTGTTTATACCACTGCCAGAGGATGGTGAGTGACAAGCCCTGTAGTGAAACACAACAACACTTTGCAATGACTGTCCTTGGCTTGCTACCTTTTTAAACATTTTTTGCCCACTCCGGAATATGTGAAAATACCTTAATTTTTAAAAAGTGTATCTTTTACAGTGGTACAGTTGTTACAGTTTACACAGCACACTGCTATGGCTGTCAGAAATATATGCAGTCTTGCCTGATCAATGGCCTTCAGGTTTCAGTTGTCAAATGGTAACAGCTTGAGAATGTGAGACTACCAGAGAGCCAGTGTGGGGTAGTAGCTAGACCTTTGGACTGGGGACTTGGGAGATATGGGCTCACATGGGTCAGGGAGAATCTCTGCTGGAGAGCAAACTGCTGTCTGTCCAGCAGATCTGTTTAAGAAACTAGTCTGTGTCCCAAATACCTGGGAACAGACCCTGAATAACTTTAGACTGAACTCAGGATAGTAGTGTGCCATTGAAAGGTAACTCAGGGAACAAACAGAGATGAGATCAGACTTTTCCAACTGAGAAAGCAGAATAAAATGACAGTCTAATCATTAACTATGAGACTGGAATTGCAAGACTGGCATCAGAGAGCTATACTGAAAAGCCCAGTGCCCTTGTCAATGGCAAGCATCTCTCCTTCACACCAAATAGGAAATGGAAGTTGGCATATTTACCAAGAGGATGGTATCTCTTGTGTAAGTTATCCCATAGGAAGCGGCCATCTACCAAGCCAATTAAAATCACATGGCTTCCCTTTGGAAGGTGATTATCTAGATAATCCAGAGTCTTTTTAACATTGGAGTGCATCTGCTCAGGCTGTGTCATCTTCTCCAGTGTGTCAGGGCTCCTATGAAAGAAAAAGGAAACAACGCAGGGCTTATGTATTCATGTATTTATTTTTACCTAATTTCTATACCACCAATAATATGGAACAGCCATATTAAACAATGCAAACACTCTTCTGTTCATTAATAGAGAAGGGTGAACCTGTGGTAAATCAGGCCTCCATGGCTTGTGAGGCAGTAGCTGGGTTTTAGCAATCCCAGGTGTTCTGGCAAACCAGGAGATACATGATTAGTGGGTTATTTGCAATTGCAGGCCAACAATCTGAGAACACCTGAGTTAGAAGGTTAACTGGCTCTCTTCTAATGCTGTGATTCTACTTAAGGGCTTGCAGAAGAACCTAGTGCTGTATGGGCCTAATTGTGGCCTACCCACAAAACTGGAATGATTCCTTGATGAGGGGTAATGATTTTGGAAAATGGGAAAGTTAATTATTGAGAAGTACTTCTATTCACACATGCACACTCTTTCACAGCAGGCAGCAGAAATACTTAGACAAGGAGATATATTTTTTTCTGAACTATGGGGCACTTTGGCAGTGAAGCCTCTGTAATGGCTGATTTACCATTACTGGAGTTTAATCTCTTTCTATCATTCCTTTCACTTGTCCCTCATTTCAAAGCACAGATTGCCTCTGGCCCCAATCAGTCAGCTCTTGTTTCCTTCCCGTTATCAGGCTTTGATGCCACAGATAAAATACAGCATTGGGAAAAGAAAGACGTAGAAATGATCAGTTTTAGAAAAAACAGCAATTCTAACCTTTCTGCTTTTATTCCCTCTTCAGAAACACACATAAGACCCCTTTGTGCATTCATTTATTTTTTTATGTACCTTTTAAAAAAATATTGTTTCTCTGTCCTACTTTTATGCCTTAGTAGGCTGTGAGATATGTACCATCTGTCTATATTTTTGTACATCCTCCTCATTTGGACACTGCAATTTGGGTTCTACTGGGAAAGTACAAGAGCTGCCAATTTCATTATCTGTGCCACTTACAAATGCCTGCATTTCTCAAGCTCTCATTTGCCATACTGGCAAGAAATACTTGGATTTTTCACTGTGATTTGGCTGAGGTGTCATTCTGCAATGTGTAGAACTGCAGCTCTTACCTTTGTTCAAACAGAGAACTGAATTAGACCAAGAGGCTTCATTATTTATGTAGAATGGTTCTAAATTCCAGTTGATGGAATTTCAATGGTATAATGAAATAGTTTCAATGGTTTAATGAAATACTTAGCACCTTTAGCTATTTTTAAACCACCAAACAATCATTAAAAAAAATAACAGGGAAGAATGTCTTCAGTGTGATGCTTCTGCTTCACTACAGTAATTTAGCATTAACTCTTTGAAAATGAAGGAATGGTTTGAAGCCCACAAAACCACATCTCCACTGGTTAGAGCGAACAATAGAAATATTGGTCTTTTGCAACCTTTAGACAGCTGGCAAAGCTTTAAAAGGAGCTAAATATGAAGGTGGATTTAAGTCAATGTGCTGTATATATTATGGTAGACTTTCAGAAATTAAATATTTCATTCCATACATACACTAACTCTCCATCCAGTACAGTTCTTCCAAGGGATTGATCTCAGTGTCTTTTGTGAAGGAATGAGCAACATTTTCCGCTGAGAACAAAGCCAAATTAAACATGGGCACAAATGAAAGTTCCTTCACCAAATGACATACATTGACTAGGTTCAGACAACATGATAACTTATCATGGCTTATAAGCTTGTCATCTGAATAAGGACGGTTTCTGTGGGGTGGTTTATAAGGTGCTTGTGACTCATTGTAGGGTTTAAATAGCTTAATGAGTCTCAACCCAGATGACATGCTAAGTCACAGCCATGCTTAAAAGTAAAGAAGCCCATTGGCTAGAGTGCCACCAAAGCATTGCCACGCTGGCCCAGGGGCTCCAGCTGATGACAGAAAACAATCCTGCTCCACCTTTGGCATCAGCAGGAACTTGGAGAAGCCACCAGGTTCCAGAATGTGCGGCTTGTCCTAGCCCAGTCAGGCAAACCAGCTGCTTAGCCTTGCTTCCTTGCAAGGAAACGAGGCCAAGCATCTGGCTCCTGCAGCAGGGGCAGGCAGGAGCGGGTCCCCTGCCCCCTTCCCCCTTCTCCCCAGCAGGACCTAGCAAAGGGCTTGGGCAGAGGCTTGACCAAAATCCAGGCAGGGAAAGAAGGAAATGGGGCAGGAGGTGTCTTTTCCCATTGTGTCTTTCTTTTCAGCTGGGCACTGGGAAGGCACATGCAGCAGACACTCCCCTGCACCCCTTGGTGGTATGGCACCTGCAGGCACCACACCATTCAAAAGTGGGGTAAGGGTGGACTGTGGGCCGGAGCAGCACAGTCAGCCGGGCCTCCTTCCAGGGAGATGCAGCTGAGCATGCCTCTTGCACCATGGCTGGACAGTGGGAAGGGGCATGGGCAACCCCACACCGCTCAGCTGTGGTGCGCTGCAGCCAAGAAGCAGGTTGCCTTGCACTGGGTTCCTGAGCCGAGCAGGAAGCAGCATTTCTTGTGTCAGTCCCACTCCAGGTTTGCCACCCTGGGTTCCTGCCATTGCCTGAAGAGCAGGATTGTCTCTGAGCAATCCTGCTCTCTTCTGTGCTTCTGCAGGGAAACTGCAGGAGGACTGGAGGGGAAGAGCAGGGAGGAAGAGGGACACAGTCACCAGCTGTGCCTGGTCATCTGCCAGGCATAGGGGAATTTTACCCACAGTGCACAGCTAACATCCCCAGGGGGGTATTAATGTGCCATGTGAACCGGTCCATTCTCTTACTGAAGCAAAGGCAGGGGATTGTTACATGATTCATGCATAAGGTCCTAAAGCTGCAACTCTAATACTCAGTTTAACAAAATCCAGCAAGTTAATGCAGCATATTGCAAGGACGCTATGAAATGATAATACAAACAAAAATATCTGCTCTGCAAACTTATATTTGGTTTGCACCAGTTTAGCTGCTGTGACTTCTCCTCTGCACAGGAATTTTGGAAATGTACTTTAGCCATGATATTGAGAATCTTCTCATCTAGTCCTCCTTAAGGTCCTCTGGGAAGAGAGAATGTCTGTTCAATTATTAGTTTAAGCCAGTGATGTGGATATGCTCTTCGTTAACGTTACTGTTTCTTGAAACCTTACCCATTGCAGACATCATTCCCAATCATGGCAAATATAACTATTGCAGGCTTGTCAAACTGTTGACTTCTTGCCAAACTAAAAAGGAATTATAAAAGTCTAAGTGTTAAAATCCACACATACCATGAATTCTATCCCCCTCTCTCTATAAATATTGCTGTACACTATGTTCCTATTGCATAGAACGGATAGATGAAAAATACTTCTGCGGATATTTACAGCCATTACATGCAGATTTAAGTTCTGGGTGCCAGTCACTAGCATCAAAGACACTTGCCTTAGGGATCGCAAAATGTGTTTGCTTATCACAGCAGTTCCTTCCCATAGTTAGGCTGTATATGGAAAGCAGCATTCCTTTGACTTTCCCAACAGAGTTAAGCAGAAGGGCTCTCAGAAATCATCAGTGGTGGCAGCCACCAGTTTGAGTGGCTTTAAAAAAGAATCGGAATAATCTTTATGGAGGATAAGTCCTCCAGCAACTCTTTGTCATAATTGCCTTACTGCATCTACCTGGTGGTTGTTGGAAACAGGACGTGGGATTAGATTGATCTTTAATCTGATCCCATGGGGCTTTGCGTTCCTATTTCCAAATCCCCCCACAAAAAAATAGGTATTATTAAGACCAAGAACTTGTTTAGCATATAACTTCGATAGTAACTCCTGCATCTATGGGGCTTCTCATCTATTGCAGCACTTGTCCGCTTTAAAGGAGCTGTTTGTGGTGCTGAAGCCCATCCCAACATAGGTTCACCACTATGGAGCACCTTGGACACCTCCTGTAAGGCTGAAAAGAAAAGCTGCAATGGATGAGGAGCCCTGTGGATATGGGCCCACCCTCCGTCCCCATTTATAACACCAACCTTTAGCACACAAAGTCTGGAAATGAATGAATGAAAGGAAAAGGGAAGTAGCAATCCAAAATAGACTATAGGTCTGTTTGCAGATTGAAGAGAGAGGTGGGGTGTTTAGACTACAGAGGAAAGCAAAAAGTCCATGAAAATAAAACAGGGCATCACCATTGGCCTTCAGCCAGTAAGTTGTATGCATAGATCAAAGATATGCACACTGATGGGACAGACATGGAGAGCCATAAGTGGAATCACATTGCCTGAGTCAGTCAAGGCTCCCGAAAAAACAGGGAAAGACAAACAAGACTAATACAACCATTGCAGACATTACGTTAGAGATGTGCATTGCCATTCCTCCCCCCACCCTTACCAGCGTGTTCAACATATTCTATCAGTCAATTAAAACAGATCACAAAGATTCAGTTTTAATGGCAGATGATGTGTAGGGAAGATAGTAGAGAGACTAGAAAGGGTGTTACAGTTTTCATCAAGAACTTGGGGTGGGGAATATCCCAACTGAACATTTAGGGCACAGTCGTATTCCTGATAGACTGAGTCTAGACAGTCATAGGATATTCTAGAGCCCCAGCTCTGACCTCAGAAACAAGGTCTCGAAATTCAGCACAACTTCTCTCCACCCTTTCAGCCAGTTAATGACAGAATTGTTATGCCTGCAACTTCAAGACTACAAGAGTGGCTTTGGAGACAGACTTTTGGGATGGGGAGAGGAGGTGACATGATTTGCCAGTATATGAAGTATCTTCCTTCTCTTCTGCCACAAGACAAAACAGATGGCTGAAATTGGCCATCCAAGTGTTTTAGAGGGTAAGAGAAGTGCAGAGACAACCTTACTTTCTGCACTCCTTCCACCCTCCATAGGATGCCTATATTCCTCTGAGTCTGGAGAAGTGTAAACAGCCTCAATGGATTGGAGATAGGAGGTAACAACAGTGATGACGACATGCTGCATTCTTCTACAACTGACTATTTCAATTATGAATCAAAGTATGCAAATCCCCTGTAAGAGAGTTACCTTTCTGCAAGATCTTGTATGTTTCCTGAAGCAGCACCTAGAAAATGGAAGACATGGATTTAGAAGAATGTAACATAATGAACTCATAGGCTACAGTCTATAACATACCACCACAGTTAAGTTCCAATAAAATAAGTGATAGGTTAATAATCATTAACTCATACCTCACCAATTTCAATGGGACTTAAGCACAACTATTTTTTCTGGCTTGAGGATAACATATTTATGTTGGATGTATAATAGCAAAGGTGTACTTAATGTAGAGAAAGCTGCCTTACAGCACTGGCACGGATGCAGCATTCTGCATCTGAAATGTAGAGAGGTAGGAAATGTAATACCTGAGCTGGAAAGCAGAAAGAGTCCCTGGTGTTAGACTTAACAACAACAACAGCAACAACAACGACCTAGCTCTCAGAATATATAGTAATTCAGGTTTTGGCAAATAGACTATTAACATATCTTTGCCCTCCTGCGTTAAGTTAGCAACCACTATATAATGCCACATTCATATTTCTATACCATGAAATAGCTGAAGCTTTCTGGGCAGTTATTGCTGACTCATAATTCAATGTAATTCACATTCAATTACTATGCACAGATACCACATGGGTAAAGGATGGGCTTAGGGACTTCTAAATTAAGGTTCATGTGGGAGCTACAAAGAAGCCCCTTCCCCAGTATATCAAACAGACCTCATATAATTTTCCAGTGGTAGTGCTTTCAAGCTGTAACTCAGAGATGCCTCCCTCTGCCTTAAATCTGATAGAGAGCCAAATATGAGGCAGCTGCAGCGTCTCCTTCCTGTTTCTGTCCTAGTCCTTTTACCCACCAGCTCTGCCCCTATTGCTGTGCAGCAAAACTGAAGCCCCAGTGATTTGAGCAGGCAGAAAAGGAAGGGCAGACCAAAACACCTGGGCAATTCAGGTGAAAGAAGCTTTGGATTCTCAGTTTGGCCATGGCCTGAACGGAATTCCTTTGTTGAAACCCATAAGATACTCCAAGTATCATGAAGATCCCAGAGTTCATTTTGCCTTGGCTGTCTGCAGCAAGTTATTTTGCATAAAAACAAAGGAAACTATTGGCTCTTCAGCATAACGGAAATCAAATATTGGGGTGTTTGTCCCACAATGCCTTGGAGATGTGTCCTTGTGGCCTCATGGAAAGCTAGTTAGGGATGAACAGAGGCTCCGTGGGGAGCATAATATGCAGGCATGAAAAAGAATACTGCGAGATTTGCATGCACTAGCTGTTAGGCTGTTGAACTGGCTTTACCCTGTTGCTTAATCAACCATTTGCTCCCCAAAGCCGTAAAGAAAGTATAGAATTTAATGATGCAAGTGAAAGAAATTTTCACTTGCACCAATCCAGGTTTCCTTCAGTGCACCCAGGTGAACTATGATTCCCCCAGTGAGCGAAGTTTAAAATAACATTTTCCCTCTTCTAATGGTACTCAGCACTGACATGAAATATCTAGTTTCCTAATGTTCAATGGGCCAGAGCAGTCATTAATGGACACTGAACACAAGCTGTATGGATCCAAGATAGAACACATCAGTGCAGAATAGTACAAAAGAATAGATGAGAAAATACAATGTTGAAGGGCAGTGGATTCAGGAAGAGGGTCCCTATCAGTCATATATGAGGGGAATGTAGGCTGCATCAAACGTGAAAGAGTTCCTGGAAGTTTTGCGATGGAAGATCCCTTGTACTGAAAGGCACTGTGCCATTGTTCCCACTTTTCATCCAAGTACCTGCACCCCCTGCCAACTCTCAGGGCAATGATGGTATTAGGCCTTTTCTGGAAGCCTCACCCCGCCCCTATGTATCTCTGAGCACCCCGAATGCATCTGTGTCTTGGTTCAACCAGTCATCCAAGCATAGCCTGTGGTGAGAGAGGGGGCCAGGCATCCTAAGGGTACGGCAGCCTGGTAATTCTTGGAGCCCGTACCATATGCACTGGGGGCATGAAGTCTTTCATGAGGAGATTTGTTGCCTGCAGTATAAACCTCATTTCCTGAATACAGAAGTGCATGAATTAAAGCCTGTCCCAGATGGTGTATCTATATTTGGGAAAGTGAGAAGGATATTCAAAATCTTTATGCTGCCAGAGAAGACCCTGGTGGGTGAAATACACTCACCAAACTGTGGGTTGGATCCAGGAACTGCTTACTGTCACTGGAAGGCTGTCATGGAAAGGAGGGGGTGGGTAAGGAAATCTGCTTTACCAGCCCAGTTGCCCATGCCTAAATCAGGATCTACCCCTGCATTTTTTCATTTTTAATTATAAAGTTTTATGGTGTCATGTCACTTTATTGTGAGCATTCAGTGGGTTTGTGTGCACTATGCCCAGTGATGTCTCTGATACTGATGCTAAGCCGTTTGTTATTAAGAAGGCTTTCATGTTTAGAGTATTTCTCCTTTCTTTTATACATTTGTACATTTTTGCAAGTGAGGAATTTCTTGATTCCTTTGTTTCGGCGGGAGGCTATCATCATCATACTATTATTATTTGCTTTAGGAGGTTCTTTTATAACCCATCAGACCACAGGTCCATTTGGCTCATCATTGCTGACATTGACTGACAGTGGCTTTCCAAGATTGTAGGTGGGGGGGGGTCTCCTTTTCCAGCCCTTTCTGGAGCTGCTGGGGACAGAACTATTTGCATGGGAAGCATGTGTGCTGATACTGACCAGTGCTGCTTCCCCATAAAGAGAAGCCGCACAATCTGTGTGCTTCTACTCCATCTGCATTCTGCGTAATTTCTAGCCCTGCAGTGCCACAGCTTCACACATCACAAATGGATGAGAAATGAGACCAAATTACCATTTTTAGAAAGGTTCTGGTAATCTCTATGGTTGCAGCGGTTTCTTCTGAGTAACTCTAGGTAGATTGACTCTGTCCATCCACTGAAACAAAGACAACGAACTCTGGTTAGTCAATTCACAAAGGAAGTAGCTAAGAAACATGATATAACAGACTTGATGTCCTCCTAGATCAACCCCTATTTTGAGAGAGGACCTTTGATATCATGTATTTCTTCTATTTGTATTTTATCTTATTTGTATGATTTTAGCCTCATAATAACCTTGTGAGATAGGTTGGAGAGATAATGACTTGCTAAAGGTTCACAGGAGTGTTTCACAGCTTTTCACACCCAAGGATAATTTCTGTTACTGTTCCTTTAGGAGAGGTTGCAGTTTCTTACATAAGTGGGGGAAAGAGTTTATTGAGATGGCTCTGTTCAGCCTGCTGTACACCAGGGAGAAAGAAGCCTTGGACCATCTGCAGTGCTTAATGCTTCTGTGTTATCACCTGCAGAGGACAAATTCAGTCAGCCCTCACAGCAGCAAGGGAAGAGATCCATTGAAACAACTAGACTAATGGCTCAGAGGTTATTGAGTGGGGTGAGTGTCAATTTGTTTGCAGGTGTTAGTTGAGCCCCAAAGGAAGAAGAGCTGAGAAGAGTTCCAAAGCCTCTCACTTCCAAGGGTAAAAAAGACTCCTGAAGTCTGAAAAGGATGCCGAGCCAGTATGTTGAGTATTTCATTTTATTATTTAACTGAGGGGGGAAACCTCTGAATTAATCCAGCCAGCAGCAGAAAGAAGAGTTCCATAGAAGGGCAAAAGCTGATGGCCTGGACAAGGCTAGCACCTAATAAGGACCAACCTCCTCCTCTCCCCAGTGCACTGGCTTGGTGAAGAAGCCACCTCCAGCTCTCATTCCCCTCGCACCACCCTCCTCCTGTTCCTCCAGAACTTCGTGTGGCTGCTAGTGGTGTGGGCACTCCAAGGCTATCCAAGGCCATCTCACCTCACAAGGTCCCATTTGCTTACAAAGCAAGGCATTGTGGGCATGGTGGTCCCTGCACTGCTTTTGCTTTGCATTGGTGGCAAATGCTGCTTAAAGACTAAACAGTATCAAACCATTAATTTGCTACCCCTGCAGCAAACCCACAGCCCAGGTTTGTGAAGATCAACATTACCTTGCCTCTGCATCACTCTGGCTTTCAGCACATCACCCACAATGCACCAGAGGTAGGAACCAAGAGCCAAAAAGCTACATGACTGAGATGTAGTTGATCTGAGGTTGCTTACACTGACTAGTGAAAGCCAAGAAATTGGATTTCTTTGTTCAACCCTACCTTTAGACACAATTAATTAGGAGGCAAGGTAATCATTAGGTAATGGATATTGGCAGACACTCTAATCTAGAGCAGAGGTGGGCAAAGGCTAGAACAGGATTACTGGTGATTTGCAGTAGATCTGCAAGGGTTCTGACTCCCCTTTGAGTTACAATAGCAACAATTTAAACACTCCTCTCCTCATATACACCCACACAGTTAAATGTTGCTGAAAAAGACAGTTGGGGGGAAACCAGAAGGGGGATATTTGTGTGATGGGTAAGCTTGGTTCTGGCACTGATCCACAATTCTTAGGCTGAGAATGTGTTCAAAAGCACCCTGATCCTTAGTTCACCTACACAATAGTTCTTAGCATATACCTATCCTCCTGAGCACTATTTCACACCTAACTCTGATTGCTGGATTTGAGAGTTCTAGTAAAAAATGAAGTAGAACCTGCAAGTCTGAAGTCTGTCTGCTCTTGATTCAGCAGGACTAGATGGTAGTCAAGCCTAGATTTCTCCCAGAAACTGTGAATAAGCAGTTAGTGGCTATAGATGCACAAGGGACTATTTTAGGGGCCTGATTTTTTTAGAGACTAATATTTTAAATATGACATATGTGCTAATATCTATCTAAATAAAGGATCAAAGGGTACAGAAAGAAACAGTTTGCAGGACACATTTTCCAAGAAATAGGAAAGCTTAGAGACACTGGCTTTATTCAGTTGACAGAGTGTACCAAGATAATTTCTCCAAGTTACTGGAGATGTAACTAGAAATGTAACTGCCAGTTTCAGCTTTTTTTGGTGCACTTTGCTCTCCTTGGCAGGGGCAGCAGTGCTTCTCCTGCCTGCTGCCTCTGTTCATTTCCTGCATGTTTCCAGGGAGGAACAAATGAAAACAACTTAAATATATCACTGGTGGTGGTGGTGGTATGCCTCCAAAAGTGAGGGTATATTGTATACTGTATATTACTGTTGGTAATGACCTATAAAGCCCTAAACGGCTTGGGTCCTGGTTACCTGAAGGAGCGCTTACATCCATATTTGCCCAGTCGCCCCCTGAGATCGGCGGGAGAGGCCCTTCTCCGGGAGCCCTCCGTGAGAGAAATTAGGAGGGTGGCTACTCGGAGAAGGGCTTTCTCAGCGGTGGCGCATAAGTTATGGAATGCGCTCCCCAGAGAGGTCCGCCTGGCGCCATCGTTATTTGTTTTTCGGCGCCAGGCTAAGACCTTTTTATTTAAGCAACATTTTAAATGCTAAATACAATTGAATTTTATCTGGCCAGGGCGGCTTATTTTATAATGTGTGTTTTAATTAAGATTATTTTATATGGATATTTTAACTTATTGTTTTATCTATGTTGTAAGCCGCCCCGAGGCTTCGGCAAATGGGGCGGCATAAAAATGTTTTAATAAATTAATAAATAAATAAATATACCCTGCTAAGCCATTGAAAGTGCAGATGGGAACACCACCACCTCTCTTCTTTCTGTTAAAGTTGGCTCTTAAGACTTGAGGAGGTATGTGAGACTCAACTCAAAAATTTCTTGCAGTGACCTGAGACTCAACTTGGACTTGAAAGTAAAAACTTGAGACTTGACTTGAGGCTTGGAGTAAAAGACTTGTACATATCACTAGTAACTGCGACTGTGTCAAGACATTATGACAGGCATATAGTAAAAGCTTTGGATCACTAAGGAGCTTAGATCATCCTTTAAATAGTTCTTTCTTTCTGACAGCCTCAGTTCTTAGCTACATTAGGCAACTACTTTTCCTTAGATGATACGACATCTAGCTCCAAATATTTTCCAATCAAAACCTCCTTTAAAATGAAGAACTAATAACAGTGTTACTTATAAGATCCAAAAGGGGAAATGGGCAAATGGAATTACAGAAATAGTCAAAATGCCCAGGAATCAGGACGTCAAGGAATGTTAACAGACGTGCCTTGGAAATCACAAGGAAATATTTAAGGGATTGTTGTATCAAGGAAACATCATCTCCAAACATTTCTTTGTCATTCTAGACAAGTGGGCAGATGTGGGAATAGAAAGAATAACAGAGATTAAAAATAGAGGCTACTTCAGAAGAGTTGAAATTGGAAAATATACTCAGCAACTAAATGAAACAAAGTAATTAAGTTGGGGGCTGAATTATCAAGGTAATTACACTGGGGGAAAAACCATCTGGATGAAGCACCACTAATTAAAGCCTCTGCATTTTGTTTTAGGCAGGGTTAGAATCAACACGTGGGGCTATGGGATGGTTCTTACATGCATTTGTTGCTTGATTTCCCTTTCATTCAGTTAACCAAATAGCAAGTTCAAGAATCCAGATCATGTCCCAGGCTGGCAGGGAAAGGGAACCATTAATACTTTGCTCCCCTCTGTGGTCCTAATCCTGATCAGCCTTGCCTCTGGTGCCTGCTATTTACTCTTTTCAAAAAAACCAAACCAAACCAAACCAAACCAAACCAAACCAAACCAAACCCTTCACTGAAACGCCAGTTATGTGACTGGTGTCACATCTAGTTCAGCCCTCAGTGATAGGCAGTCAAAACTATGAACTTCTTTTCTCAAAAGACATTGTGTTTGGAGTATGCTGAGATACACTGGATATTCCATCTGCTGTGTTTGTCTGGTGGTGGCTTGATCTCAGTCAAGAATTGCATCACAACATTTAGAGAAGTGCAATGAATGAATGGTTCAGGAGTTTTACTTTGAGATAGTTCACTTCAAAATGTGGACCAAACAACACGTGCCCTTGCCAAACATCCCTAGTTAGCAACTTACTTCTTTCAGAAGTGGAGGACCATCATCTTTAGGAACCCTCAGAGGAGACAATCTCAAGGTTGAAGTACCGCTATTGGAGCAGTACTTCTTCCCCCAAATCCATCCCTGAAGTTTCAGGTGCTGCTGCTTACCCGACTGTGGAGTTGAGAAATCCAGTGACTTCTGAAAACTGTGGCCAATCAAGTTCATCACTTACTACCTCCAGAAGGTTGGAAAATGTTTTCTAAAAAGGAGGTGAACAAATCAGGGTGGTTTCCCTTTTGCACACTAGAGGTTTGTAATTAATGTGATTGCTATTATCAGTGAGTCTGAAAAGAATGAAGGGAGGTTTAAGCAGTTTAAAATATAGTTAATAACCTTAATCAAATTAAATACAGTGAATTATCACTAATTACAAAGCAGGCATTGATGTAACTAAATGTATGCACTTGGGGGATGGGACAAGCTGCAAAGCTCTTTTCTTTATTCCTGGAGATCAGGTGGGTTTTGAGCAGAATACGACTGCTTTGATTTGGAGCCATCCTATGCTCTGTGCCAGGATAGGCATCCTGGGGTCCTCCAGATGTTTTGGATTATGGCTCACTGGACATTTCCCATACTAGTTTGAGCAGGTGGGAGTTGTGTAAAACATCTGGAGGGCACCAGCCTGTATATCCCTACCCTTTGCCATTCCATGAGCACGCAAACAATCACGTGCTTCCTCACGTCTTTCAGTTTCATGAGGAGAACCATGTGCTTCTTCGTGTCTTTTAGTTTTACCAGAACTGGAAGCCTGCTATGGGGGCTGGGAAGAAAGCTCTCTACTGCCCCAAAGGAGCGGATGGCTTAGTGACAGAAGCAAATGTTTGTGAGAATGCTTTATCCTGGAAGAGGAGGCTTTTCTGCCATTCTTAAAATATTTGAGATGCTGTGAGGTAAACTCCAGCTCAGAGGTAGCCCCAGGATATGGCTGGTGATGGTGAAAGGTCCATAATTTTGCAACTTTGTTGAAGCAAAACAAGCTAAACGTACAACCCTATGCATGTTTAGACAGAAAGAAAGACCTCCAACTCCCAGCAGGAGCACCTGGCCTGTCTAAAGATGTACCTGATTGCACCCTAGGTTTGGTCAGTATCGGGGAAGTCTATGTACTCTGTCCTAAGTTCTATAATGGAAAAAATTGTAGGTAATAAATATCATAAGTTAATATTAGTTTTAATTAGTATGGATTAAATAATAATAATTACCCTGTCCCAGTGCCATGTCTTGATATTTAAAGCAGATTTCAGGGTTGAGAACACAGGAGCCCTGGGACAGCAATCATTTCTTTTCCTCTGAGTGGGGAAAAGGCGCCATTGCACCAGCACTGCTGAGAGGCCCTCCTTGCAAAGGCTCCTCCCTGCACAACTGTTGGCACTTGCAGCCATTTCAGTAGGCTGTACCTGCAGGAGTTGAGATGGGCAGCTGAAGGACTACATCATTTCTGCCCACTTCCATATCTACCCTTTCTTATGGGTGTGCCATATCTTTTTAGATTGTGAGTCTGCAGGCAGGCAATATTATTTAAATGATCATTGGTAAACTACTCCAGGAGTAATTTGGGCTCATTTTTATCCTTTTTGGCCAAAACAAACAAACAAACCCAAAAACCAAAAAACAAAATCAATACTTAAGTAATAAGTGCTGCAGATTAATTATTATTAGAAGAAGGGAGGGTCTCCAGATCTGAGTTCAGAGCACAGAAGCAGGTTTAAACTCTGGAACCTAAGCAATATTTGGCACATAAGGTATTTGCATTCCTTGAAAAACATTGGTGGAAAAACTGGGAGAGGCGACCATCTAAGATTTATGAAACAAATGTTGACCAATCTAAAATTGTCTATTGTCTGTTGTTGTCATCATTCACATCATCATTAGTATTGTTAGCATATTAATCAGGAATGATAATCCCAATTGTCACTGCTTCTGATGTACTGTGTTCATCAGTGTCATTCCTGTAATATTTTCCCCTATAAAGCACTTACAAAGAAAAGCAATTGCTAATCAAGAATATTTAAATCAGCTGAGCTCTCCAATGGGCAAATTAAAACTACAAACAATGCTGATGGTAATTTGCATGCTGCCCAGAACAGTATAATTATTGATATGGAGCATTTGCTTTCAAAGTGCAAATTCCCCTCCCAGCATCCTCTCAGAGGACTTCAATATGCCAGCAAGCCCCTTGGGAATGCTAATGAGGCGCTATGGTTAAAATCCCTGGTGCCTAGCAGACGATCAGGTGCAGCAGAGGCTGTGTGCCTCCTCCCCCATCTAGTCCTCCTGCAGGATCCCAGGGGACTTAGCTGGAGCCCTGAGATATCCCCCGAGCTACAGCAAGCCGGTTAGTTCTGGCTGCAGCTTGACTGTTCAGAAAGGTGCCTCTGTGTTAACCCACTGAGAAAGAGTTAAAAGCCCCGTATGCCCCGGATCTGAACAAGGGATCCTGCTCTGGCAACTTAGGAAAGAAAAAGCTTGCATCCTAGGGCAGGGGTAGGCAACTTCTGTGTCTGTGTGTGCGGGGGGAGCATTGTCCCAGAAAACCCAACATCTGCTACTTCTGGTATGCCATGCTTTAGAGCAAAATTGCTGCTTTTTTGTGTTCATTACTGCATCACCTAATTCTAACAAAACAAAACAAAAAAATCAGTGGCAAGGCAGCAGATGATCTGACAGTGGCTTTGAACTATGTGCAAGATGTTGGTGGAAGGTGGGGGAAAGGAAACTTTCTTTCTGTTCATTTTCATAAGTTCCTTATGATTCAAAGCTTGATGTGTAGCAATCTGCTAATTAAAATTATTGCCTTGAAATTCATCCATCTGAGCCAAGATTCTTTGTTTTAGATTAAAGTAGATAAAATTTTGGAAACAAAATCAAATCTTTAATATAAAAAGTTGAACTCGGATCCCAAAGTTATGATTAATTTTGTGACAGACACATTTGTGCAACAGGCAACATTTGCCTTGGGAAAGAAAGTTATGATCATGTCTTCAGAACCAGTTCTGCACCATTCAATTGATTTCAGTACCAGCAACTCCCCCAAAGGGATTATACTGAAGGATTAAGTCAGGACTGTGCAATTTTTGGCCCTGCAACCCCCAGGAATTTCTGCCCAAAGGACCACATTTAGCTTCCTTAGTCACTATGGAGTGCCAAAAGGGTCAAGTTTCACTTCTAAGCAAGCTGAACTTTTGATTTTGTGGGTGTTCTAGCCTTTCCCCATACCCCATTTTTAATTTATTTAATCTTTTCAATTTTAATGCATTAATTATTTAATTCTTTGGCAGCAGGGCAGCCACTGCAAATGGGGTAATGTCCCCTATCATTGCACAGTTGCCCACATCTGGACTGAGCCCTAAGCTTCTATAATGGATTTACAGAGAAGCTGTGGGTTGGAAGTCCTAAACTACAGGAAGAATGGCCACTAAAAGCCAGTCCATTTTCTCCGAGTAGCTGTTGCTATTACCATTCATCTGAACTATTTCCTCTCCCTTCCTCCTCCGATGAGCTTAATTGCAGAAGAAATCTTTTGGTTTCTCAAATCACAGTGTCCTGCAAAATTCAACCAAAAATCATTCCTTAAGGCAGGGAAACGCACAGTCCACAGGCTGCACAGGGTTTCTGCCATCCCTTCACCCCATTAAATATAAAGTGGCATTCCTCAATGGCTATGAAGTATTAAAAACATCAATTTAGCTCATGGAGAAACTAAATCAGACTTTTAGTACTAGAGTGCTATAGAGATGTCTGTTGCCAAATGACATTACTAATTATTTTTAAAGGGCTTAAAAAGTGTTTTCTCAGTACAACTTCATGTGGGGAAGAGGTTGATGTTTGTGGTCAAAAGTGGCTCCAAGGCTTCCCATATTTTCCCGTCCCTGGTTTAGGGGTTGCCCCCAAACCAACATTTCCGTTTGTCCTCTGCCTTTATTGCTGGGGGCTCTCTGTCAAATACTCATCCCTTTCATCCTTACCTGTCATAATGATGAGCACTGCAGCAGCAATAATAAATTATAACCTCATTGTAGTCAGCACAGCAGAAAATGAGTACATGAGAGAATATCACACGCTTATAGTATCCATTCATTTCACAGAGTCTCTTTAAAATAATTATTTCGGATCTCTTGGTTTCTAGATTTATTCTCAATATATTAAAAAAGGCACATAGTGGTTTCTTTTTCAATGGGCTGCAATGTTTCCCATTGAAAAAACCCCCAGCATTTCTGTACCTGTTCTTACTGGACACACTTTAACAGAGAAGAAGGTAAACCAACAGGCAGCCAACTCGTGCCAGAACAATGACCAACTGAAATGACATACCACTGACATTTGCGATGCTGTCAACCATTCAGGAGGGATGTGAAAATGAGCCCCAGCTGAATCTCCCAGGATAATAACTCCTTTGGACTCCGTGCCTAAAGAAGGCATTTCATTAATAATAATGTTAAAACTCTCATTAACTTTTCTCACACTGCAAAGCTGTACATTGCACAAAGCATGGCCACATTAAGAAAACCCATGCCACAGATTCAGTTCAAAGAGAGCAATTAAAATAATGAATTGGCCATTTGTGCTAATTTCTAAACCTGGTACAAGATTTTCAACTTCCTCTGCACTATAAATAACACAGGAGAAATGGATGCATCAATCAGTTTTATAAAAAGTGCACACTAAATTAGACCAATTTCTGTTAGGCTTTTTTTAAGGCTTAGATTGGTACTTTAATGTGGACTCTGCTGGGAGCAACATAAATTTTTACTATCTGCAATGGATTCAATAAATTTAAAACATTTAGTGAAATCAGAGTATTGAAAGCGTACCTCTCAATAGAGTCTATTAGGGCAAAATTATAAGTTTCTCATAATGCAAGCTGCTGCTTTGCACCCAGTCTTTGAAAATGGATGTTGCTTGATGATATCTTACAAGAAATAACAATGCAGATGGCTTTTGAACCACTACTTATCAATGGCTACATAACACTATATCACCAGATTAAACAATAAAGACAAGATGGGTAATGATCTTGGCTTTTGAAATCCTTACGGAAATCAGAAATGAATGTATTTTACTGTCCACACTTACCTACTGTTTGCTAGCACTTATTGAACATTGGAGGCACAAAACAGACCCTGGGGAATGTCTATGTTAGTTTGATTCAGGGTTAATTTTAGACATGCCTACTGCCATGATTGGGGTCCATTGTGCTGACGAAGGAGTGTGAGGCTTTCAAGCTCTACAATGGCCTAATTCAAACACTGCCCAGGTGGCATAATGGCCTTTGCAGAAACATGGCCTCCTTCTTGGTGCCCTCCATGGATCAATCATGTACTATTCTGTGCACAGGATTACATCCAGTGGTGTTGTTCCACCAGTGGAAAAGAACCGCTGGCAGAAGAGATTTCCTCCTCCACCACCCCCAATCTAATTCAAAGGGTTAAGAGACCTTCTGGAACAGATTGGATGCATGCTGCGAGGCGAGGACAGGATGGGGAAGTCGCATTACATGAACATAAGTCCATCACGTATGGGTTGGTTCACACCTGAAGTGTGCAGAAGGTAGGAGTAGAAGTCAGAGATGGCCTTATATTAAGAAGGAATACTGAGAGCCAGTGTGGTGTAGTGGTTAAGAGCGTGGGACTGGGACTCAGGCGATCTGGGTTCTAGTCCCTGCTCAGCCATGGGGCCAACTGGGGGACTTTGGGCCAGTCACAGACTCTCAGCCCAACCTACCTCACAGGATTGTTGTTGTGGGGATAAGATGGAGGAGGAGAGATGATGCTTTGAGCCCTTTGTCGGAAAAAGGCAGGATATAAATCGCAATATAAATAAATAAATAAATAAATAAATATGCAATCATGTCAAGTCTTTCCACAGAACTTTGCTTCTCTTGCTGGTTAGCTTACATTACCAACTCTGTTACCCTCAGCTAGTTCTGCCAGGTCTTTGTTTTGTGATGGTTGCATGGCTTTTACACCACCAGGACAGAGCTCTGTCCTCAATATTTAAGTTCCAGGAGACAAGTACACACGCATTATGGATGACTCGCATCACATTGGTCATGTGGATATGTCCCATGCCAAAAGCCTGGTTCTATCCAAAGCATGCCCTTTCTTCCTGAAAACCTCCATTATGCGGTCTGCTTTAGTCACCAAATTTTCTGTTGTCAGTTTTCAGACTCATTCACAGTTCTCTGTGAATGACCCAATGAGACAATTCCCAAAGTTAAAGGTAATTTAGTAGCTGAACAGCATCCTGTGCATGAATCTAGTTTCAACCACTTTTAGGAGCACAGGCTGATGCAGACTGGCCACTGCTGATTCTACATTTGGAAAATTAACGAATTTGAATATCCATCGATGTACTGAAAAACTGGAGTTGGACCAGTTGCTTGCCTGGTTTCTGGTGGAGTGCGCTAAGCTTGCCTTAGCATTGCTATTGACAGACACATTTGTCTCCATTCTGAAAGCTGAGTTAGTTGCCAAGCTTCCCACAGTTGAGTGGTCTGTCTGCCTTTGGTGTGTGTGTGTGGGGGGCGGGTGTGTGTGTAAACTTGGCTTCTGTGTTTATGTGATTATAAGCACACTGCTTCCTTAGAAAGCTTAAATTGGATTCCTTTTTGTCATACAAACGTACTTAGGGGAGGTAGGCTTGTGACACCAAACACATTAGCCAATTGACAATGTGTTGCACTACTGCTTTCTGTTGCTTGCACAAATAACTTTGTTTTTCTAAGCTTGGCCTTGGAAAAGAATCAGCACCCCTGGCAACATGATGCTTGGGGGGACACTTGGCCAGGGACACTTGACCCTTGTCTTTCAGTATGTTTGCAGAGACCCTTTGCTCTTTCATAAAGCACTACAGAGAACTATATAATTTTAATGATTCTGGCCAACTGTAACCAGACATTTATAAAATAAAATCACTACAAATTTTTCTCAGCTATATTTTTAGAATGAAAGAAATTACCATTACAGAATTTCTGCTCATACGGGATACCATCTTTTGGATCAACACCCTGACAGTGAAAAAGAGAAAATTAATTTGGGATCTGAAAATATACAGCCATTCTTCTTTTCCAGGAAAATATACTAATTACTTTCTGAATATCCATGTTCTCTTTTAGGAATTGTGTCAGAAACACAATATCCTTGAAATGCAGGCATCTTGCAACAATTGTCTTGATGGCCCTTTATGCCTTATCATTCTACAGCATGATAAAGACCTTGACAGAATCATCAGCTCTTTCTTACTGGCAGTAACAGCCTTAAGGCAGAATATGTATTTTTGGCCCTGCCCCCTTTGCCATCAGGCCTGCCCATCACTGGAATGTGGTCCTCAAGGGCTTCTCTGAAATGGAATTTGGCTTTCATGCTGAAAGAAGTCCAACACACATATTCCACATTCATAAATGGGGTCTTCCAGTTTTGAACAAATTGACTCTGTGTGGTTTATATAAGCAACCAAATTAAATTCCCAATTATAAAATAAGGAATGTCTCACAATAAATGCCATTTCTGAGTTCCTAAGAGTTTACTTATGTGCACTCAAGGAGTAGCGAATGCTCAGTTAGATTTTGGACTCATGTTCTGTTTTCAAACCATTTTTGAAATCCTTCTGTTTTTGTAAGTGGTCTGCCATGTGCCATGGAGAACTGTTGTTTTGGAATGCAAGCAGAAATTTCTTTGGAATCCATTGCATTATTCTTCATTTTCTAGCCTCTGTCTTCTTGTGGACACGAGGTCAGGCATTTCCCTCCTTAAGATGATCAGGCAAAACAACCCTGAAAGGAGGATGACCCATTGTCCTGAGACACCTGGAAATTATGTCATCTATAGCACATTGCAGACACAGTCATGTAACTCACATTTTACTCAGAGAAACAATACTCAAGGCCACCCAGAAGCCATCAACCCCCATTCCAACAATTAGCATAAGCTTGAGAAATTCATCTTTCCCATAAACCACATGTTCATAGAGAAATGGTATAAATATCAGGGCTTTAGAAAGGACTCACTCTCTTTTCTTTCTCCCCTGCAAGAGTTCTGGATACACAAACTCCAGTGCGGCAGGACAAGTACTTGAACCCCTCTCTTTCTGTTAGATTCTCTCTCTCTGTTAGGTAAGAAGCTCTTTTTGTTTTTAGAAATATAGAGTAAGATTTAATGTAATGGAAGTATTTGTTGGGATGTAACATAATGGAAGCATTTGTTGTCTGGACCACATGAGGTTAGAGCTCGTGCCTGGCTGTATACTGCTGATGAATAAACCATCCTTTTCCTTTCTAAATGCTGTGTATGCTTGTGTGAATACAAAACCAGGGCTTGCTTGCTCTGGCTGTGTGTGTTAAACCCCAGCAAAAAGGTCCCAATCCTTTTGAGGCAACTGGAGGGCATGTGCCTCCTTTTGAGGTGTATTGCTCCCCAAGATTACATGGCATAACAGTTTGTACCCTCATCTTGTGGTTATTCATTTTATGAGTGCTTCTGTCATACATTGTGTTCAATACCCTGGAAACATGTATGAAATCAGGGTCAACACAAGACTTTTGTCACTATCCAAGAGAAGCAAAAGAGGATGTTCTTAGAGGGACTTCCCTGTGTGATCGTTTTTGTGGTAGGATTGGCCCACAGTTATGTTTCTCATGGTTTTATCAGTCTTAACCTGGGAACATCCATTTTTTCAAGAACCCATGAAGCAAACAGGCTCATTCCAAAACAGGGAAAGAAGACCAAGGGAGAGAAGCGGTATGATACAACATTCAACAACTCACCCATATGCCGTTACAGTTAGAATCTTTCTCTGTATCCCAGTTATGAGGGCTAAAATAGAAAAGAAATACAAGAGAATTATAGGAATCAAGCAAATTTGTTGTTCATTTGCTGTTTGTTCTTTTATGACCCTATATCTTTGCTCTACCCAAAATATACAAATGAAGGATCCTCCCAGATTGTAGGAAGTGTCAATGATGCAATGCATCCTGCCCTATTTCCAAGTAGACCTTGGGATCAAACCACACATTCTCTTAATTACGTAGCATGCAGCTGAGGCTTAAAAAAACAATAACTCAAGAATAAGTGCACAGCATCCTGATGCAGTTCAGGGATACCAGTCTTCGATAGGTCTTTATTTTTATGAGGACTAAGGAGAGGGGGGCAGCTTAGACCTTATCGCACAAATTCTTTAAGGTGCAGAGATCTGAGGGTTAGGTTAAACACTCTAGCTATTGATCTCCTTTGTGCAGATATGGTACAATATTGGTAGATATAACACCAATTTCTATCAGAATGAAGAAGGCTGTTTTCTTTTATTCAGAAAGGCTGCTCAATGTGCTTGACTTCCCTTTGGCTAAACGTTGCTATTTTATTTATTTATTTATTTATTTATTTATTAGAACATTTCTATGCCGCCCCTTGCCGAAGCCTCGGGGTGGCTTACAACACAATAAAATACAATAAAATACAAAAATAACAATATAAAATTAAAATTAACAATATAAAATGAATAAAACATATAAAATATAAAAGAAGTCGCCCTGGCCAGATAAATAAGCAAATATTGTTAACAATTAAAATGACGTTTAGAAGAGAAGAGCAGGGGCAACTGGACTTTTTTGAAAGACTGGCCCATTGTTCCGTCTGATCGATTTCCTTTCATTTAAGTGGCTCCACAGCCACACTTCTGCAGAGGTGTAATATGTGCCAATGACATCATCATGCTTGAGCCCTGCCTGGCATGGCATGGCATTGTTGTTGTTGTTAGTCACGAAGTCGTGTCCGACCATCGCGACCCCATGGACAACACTCCTCCAGGCCTTCCTGTCCTCCACCATCCCCCGGAGTCCACTCTAGCTTACACCAACTGCCTCAGTGACTCCATCCAGCCACCTCATCCTCTGCCGTCCCCTTCTTCTTTTTCCATCTATTGTTCCCAGCATTAGGCTCTTCTCCAGGGAGTCCTTCCTTCTCATTAGGTGGCCAAAGTATTTGAGTTTCATCTTCAGGATCTGGCCTTCTAAAGAGCAGTCAGGGTTGATCTCCTCTAGGACTGACCGGTTTGATCGCCTAGCGGTCCAAGGGACTCGCAGGAGTCTCCTCCAGCACCACAATTCAAAGGCCTCAATTCTTCGGCGCTCAGCCTTCCTTATGGTCCAGCTTTCACAGCCATACATTGCAACTGGGAAAACCATAGCCTTGACTGTACGCATTTTTGTTGGCGGGGTGATGTCCCTGCTTTTTAGTATGCTGTCTAGATTTGCCATAGCTTTCCTCCCCAGGAGCCAAGCGTTTTAATTTCTTGGCTGCAGTCACGATCTGAGGTGATCTTGGAGCCCAGGAAAATAAAATCTGTCACTACCTCCATGCCTTCCCCATCTATTTGCCAGGAAGTGATAGGACTGGATGCCATGGTCTTGATTTTCTTAATGTTGAGTTAAGCATTGCATTAGGCATCGAGTAATTTTCAACCTGTTCAGCTGCTTGAGGTTTGCAAATGAGGGTGGTCCCAAATCAGGAAAGAAATCAATACCTCAGGACAGAACCAGCAGAAACCCTTTATGCTTTATGAAAGATGAAACAGTCAGATGCTGAAATAACTGAAGGCTCATACTGATAATTAGCATCAAAGAGATCAAATATGGTTGCAGAGAAGATGATCAAGCTAACACGATTCGACAGACAGAACATCACTAGCACCCAGAAACATACAGAACATGGTTGAGACAAAAGGGAAGGCTCATTTCAGATTTTTGATACAAGACAGAACCCTGAGCAAAAAGCAAATAGATTAGAGTCTGACCTTGGGTCAGACAACTGGTGTATCTAACACAGTAAGGTCAACACTGACTAGCAGTAGCTGTTTGTTTGTTTGTTTCCCAGCCCTAGCTAAAGATGCCAGGGACTGCACATGGAAACTTCTGCATGCAGAGCAGGTGTTCTTGAAAGGCTCCTGGTGCTGATGCATGGATCTTACAGAAATTCCTCTGTGAGCCACTGAACAATGCAAACCATTTGGAATTCTTCCCCACCTCCCTATTGGGATAACCCGAGTTGCACTGTAATATTCAAGGTGTTTAGGATTTCTCAGAACAATTTTGTTTTAAAAGGAATGGTTGCTCTACAAAACAAAGGAAATCATCCAAATTACCGTCTACCCGGATACACAGAGGCTTCTTGGTCATCACAGTCTCTGCCTCTCCAGTGATAACCTCTCAAGGTCTAGGAAAGCATAGATAGGAATTGCACTGTTACTTTTTCCCCTCTTCCTAGGCACCAAATATTTAAAATAAAAACTAGCTAAGATGGAGGGGGGAAAGGCTGGTAAATCTATAGAAAAATGCATCACTCATTCTAATACAGAAATAAGACACTCTAGCAATTTTAATATTTTTAGATGGCTTTGCTTCACCTTTTATTAATAATTCAGCAAACATGACACCCTGTGACAGAACAATTTTCTACTCTGGGCAATATACCCTCATGGCCAAATCTCCGGAAAGGATATAAAAAAGGATTATTTTCCTTCAACATAAATGGAAACAGTATTTCATTGTTTATAAGGAACACTTGTCACTGTACCATTCTTGCTGTGCAGGGTCCGGGGGTGTTTCTCATAAGGGATGCTTATGAGAATCATGTTGCTACCATATGGCTTTACTTACTGGGAAAACGCTAAATTTATCTCCATCCATATCTTCATAAGGTAACTTACGTCGGATAAAACTAGAAAGGAAAACAAAACGCAGCAGACAAGTGATTCTTCTTTGTGTAAAAAATGCTATAAAGAGTTAAGTTCAGCTTAACATTCCTGCATTATTTCTAAGTCTATGCTTAAGGGCTGGCCCCTCTATTGTGAACTATTTGTTCTAAAATGGAAAGAGCTCATTTCTTTGAGCGACAAGTTACCAGGTCACAACAGTCATGGTGGATGCCAAGACGTCTTTTACATGGACCTGGAAAGAGGATGGATAAGTATCTCCTCCACAGATCCTGTATTTGAAGGGCTGTCATTGCCAGATTTGAAGCAACCTTTTTAGGAAGGGCAGCCCAATTTAAAGATAAACAACATAAGAATGGTTGCTCACTGACCATAAGCACCTGAGCAGAGTAAAACAGAATAAAACAGCCAAGCATGCAGGTCATCTGGTCACAGTCTTCCCATTATGGTGAGAAACACTGCATTTCTATTTGAATAATAATGATCAGTTCCAAATTTGCAACATGAAAATCAGTATATACATATTTTATGCTCATCTGTATTGTCCTTTGCCCAGTCTTTTGGTCATTCCCAGATTGCCCTCCTGCCCCAGTCTGGCCTGGTTTGTTTGGGGATCAGCCTTTATCTACGTGTTTGCTTTTCAGGGCCAAACCAGGCAGGACCTATAAAAATTCTTAAGAAAAATAAGATTTAAAACTAAAAAAGTCTTTGCACTACCTCATAATTCTGCTGCACCCGCCACCCCTGACATTGACTGAGAAATGCGCTGGCCCCAGGGAGCAGAAGAAAGGGGAGCGGTTGCCACACCTACATCAGTGGAATGGAGATGAGGCGGCCTCTGTGCTTTCGTAGCCAGCCAGCACACAGGATGGCCACCAAAGGGCATTGCTTGTTTGGCACCTGTTTGATATAGGTTTGGGCTTTAGATTTTCTACTGGGCTTATTGTAGGCCTATTGTTGATTTTTTAGTGTTGCTTTTATATTGCTCTACTATTTAATTTTTATATTAGTGTATTGTTTTATTGTGTATCTTGTAACTGAATATGTGCACTGCCCAGAGAGCCAATTGGGTTATAGGGTGGTATAAAAATGCAATAATAATAATTTCAAATAATGATCACCTGAAACAACAACAACAAATCATGGCTCAGCAAAATGGCTGACTGAGAAGAAATCATGGCTCAAAAAACCATGGCTCACAAAGAATCTGTTGCTTTGCTGCCATCTTGGCCTACTGCCTGAAACACCTCTTCCCTACACTTGTCCCTGATTCTTTCCCACATTTGTTTCAGCCTTACCCTACTTTTGGATCCTACTATGCTTTGCTAAGCTTGTCGTTACGTGGATGATTGGGGTTTTTTTTAAGCCTCTGTGTGTGTGTGTGTGTGTGTGTGTGTGTGTGTGAGAGAGAGAGAGAGAGAGAGAGAGAGAGAGAGAGAGAGAGAGAGAGAGCGCGCGCGCGCGCGCGAGAGCGAGCGCACAGCAGAGCAGAGCAGAGCAGAGCACCGCACAGTTTGGAACTGTGGAACTCTGTTCCCACCAAATTACCAACTGAAAACAATTCCCCTTCTGCCATGTATTTCCTTAACATCTTGACTGTCCTATAGCTTCTCTTTAGCTCTCTGGGCAGTATACAATGTAATGGGAGGAAAGCTCTCATTCTCACGACTGCCAATAGCTGGTGCTCTCGCACCCTGCAGAATATCATCTATGGTGGCTATGAGGAAAGCAGCTTCTGAGCAAGGGTCTTGGGATGGAAAATATAGGTCATAGGTATGAATGTGTGGTTCAAATAAAAACATAATATTATGATCAAAATGACACACCAAAAGGTGGGAAATAGCTATCTATTTCTCCTGAAATCCATTTAATTGTACTGGAGTACCTAAGGCTGGTATTCTGTGCTCACTTACTTGGGAGGAAGATCCAATGAACTCAGGGGAACATACTTTGTGTTCTACCCAGTCTGTAGGCCTTTATCAAAAGTTGTTGTTACAATGCCATTATCTCTGACTGTCAAAATTTAGGCTACATTAAATGATTCCCTAGATTTTGAATCTATCCTAATTTTGAGTGGTTGAAAAAAAACGCATGGTTTTTATAAAGGCATCTCCATTTTGACTTAAAGTACCCTTTTAATCAATGGTTGAACTATTTCCTTCCATTATAAACCTGATCCATCCTTTCATTATCACAAATGCCTGTTCTTCTATTTTATACTTGGTTGATTTTCACTTTTGGGCCCAGGAATCTAGTATTACCAATGACATGATGTAAATCTGTAACTGATGGCATGATCCTTACCTAAAATGGGATTTCAATTTGGGTTTTCTTTTGTCCATTAACTTTCCTCCTCATGCTGCTAATATCAAGAATGGGAGGGGGGAATCTACATTAGAGCTTGTTTCATTTGTGACAGAACAGTCACGGTATTTATGCAAAAAGCATCTATCACAGTTGGAGCACATGCTCATGATTATAGTGTATTTGAAAATGTGAGCTTGTGCCACACACAAATGCAATTACAGGAGAAGTCAGAAGAGTTGGAAGGGGGAGGTAAGCAGAGAAATGGCCCTCTAAGGTTCATTTGTTTTTGTGTTTGTTTGGTTTTTTTTTTCAAGCTCAATTAACTAAATGAAGCTATGAGCAAACAAGAGATCAAAATATTTTAAAAAGAAAAAAGTGACATCTCCTCCCACCTCCTCACAAAAAAATATGGAAAAGGAAAAGGGGTAGTGCTGCTTTGTCCTGTCCTTCCAACCTGCAGAGCATAAAATGAGTGAGATGAGCATGCCCCCTTCCCCTCCAACCAAAAGCAAGCAAGCGCAGTCCCCTCCCAGGTGGATTTTCTTACAAGTTCCATTGCAGTCAGTATTGTGAGTAAGGGCACTGCAGAAAATCTGATTTACATCTCAATAGACATGCAGTCCAGCTAGTTGTTTCTTGAGTGAGAGGACAAAGGAGCTTGAAAAGACACTGCAACTTTTACTTTTTCAAAGGAAGGGGAGAGGAGAAGGTATTTGCAGGTCAGAGAGAAAGAGAAGTCCTCTAGGTGCAGCAAGGGAGACAGGAAAGCAAGTGAAGGACTTCTGGCATGGACTCCTTTTCCTACCCACACCACAGCCCACTAGCTCACTGAAACAACTCCTCCTTGCACCAGGACAGTACCACAAGTTTAGCACACACTGATGCATATAAACTGTAATATTAAAAAAGCCACGTTAGGGCAAGTCTGAAGAAATTCAGGACACATTGACAGAAATAGTGTAACGAAGATGGGTTGGAGTGAGAGCCATGTGCCACATCAGTAAGTCAGGCATTACGATGCTGATAAAAATGCCTAGTGGAGGCTGTCCCCAAGACTCATAAACATCACAAGGAGCCATAAAAGAATGCATTATTAGGATTTTTAAAGTCTGTGATGCCAGGTTCTCAGAGGAATTATAATCAATATTTTCTATCAATCCAGTGTTCCTTTTCCTTCATATAAGGTACCCATTAATTTTCTTTATGTTGCAGGGTAATTGTTGCAGCCATCCTTGATGAATAGATCTAAACTGTTTTGTCATAGCTGGCATTAACATGTTTGATATATTTAGAGACACTAAGGACAGCAAGAAATATGACATTACACTAATGCAGGTACATTAGAGCAACAATTTCAAGAAGCGTCAGCCCATAAATCTATAACCTGAGTGTAAGGGCTGTCAAAGCATTTCTAGCTCATATAGGAGATGGTGGAACTGGGTCACAAAGCCAACAGTGGCTACATGATTTAAAATCACATTACTATCAGGATGTGGAGAACAAATGGCATTTCCATTTGTGTTTGCTCTAAGGGCGCTCACAGTGACTTCCTCTGGTACTAATGCAATGAAGCAGAAGAGATTCCCATTCCTAGATAATGGAAGAGGGCAGAGTTTCCTTGCTACAGGCAGAAAGCTATGCTGTTGAAGGAGTGCCCTTAAAATGTTGGAAGATATATGCCAGGATGCCAGAACATACGAATACCCAATATTCATGAAAACAAATGAGCACAGGAACAACCAGGAGAGAATTCACATGTATACAAAATGCCACAAGCATGAAGGCAAGGCCTGTGTTTATGACAGTACCTATCCAATAATGGGCAAGTTATCTCCATCCAATCACCACCCCTATTACTAGACACTGAGGATACAAGCAGGATGCTTCTATATGAGAGCCAGTGTAGTGTAGTGGTTAAGAGCATGGGACTGGGACTGGGACTCAGGCGATCCGGGTTCAAGTCCCCACTCGGCCATGGAGCCAGCTGGGTGACTTTGGGCCAGTCACACACTCTCAGCCCAACCTACCTCACAGGGTTGTTGCTGTGGGGATAAGATGGAGGAGGAGAATGATGTAAGCTGCCTTTTGTAGGAAAAAGGCAGGAAACAAATCAAAAAATGAATGAAATGAATGAATATGGAAGGGCCCTGATGTTAGAAGACAATGTGTAGTGTTTTTCCCTTAACTGATTTTCCACTGTAAGAAAATAGATGGGTGAAATGGTGGGAAAACCTGGGAAAGTTACAAGTAGCAGACAACATCTGGACATCCCACCCCACCAATAGACAAGGCAGGATGATAAAAGCCTCACCCAGAAGCCCTCAGACAGGCTAATTGACTCGGAAAGAAACCCACTTAATCCATAATCAGAAAACAAGTGGAACAGCTTCTTGATAATCAGGGTGAGGATCAGTCTATTTATTGCACTGATTTTTTAAGCATTTGCTTAAATCTCTCTGATTAAAACGTAAGACTATTTTTTATTATGCCCATACATCCTAAACAGGAACTAATGGTGCAGCCCTGCACATGCCTATTCTGCAGGAGTGCTCACAAGGAAGCGGGCACAGGAATGTAGCCTGACCTGCATAGAGGGACAGCTCACTGCTCATGGGTTTCAGAAAAGGCACTGAACCAAGCCACTACTTAAGAAACTTGGGATAAAGACCAAGACACAGAACAGATCCTGCAAAGGTAATAGTAACACTTCCTGTTTGAAGACCTCTCACAAATGTATGCCACTTCAGCAGATGGCTGTGGCAGGGGAAATCCTGAGAAAGTTATTTGCGCATACACAATACCACATATATGATGCATCTTCAGCGCTGTTCAAGCTTCTGTTTGCATGTGTGAGGGTTATAAGTTTGCACTGTATCAGGTTTGTGCAGTACAAACTCACCCTACCCCTTACATCTATGGGTGCACTGGCCTCGCTCCTTGGTTCAGACCTTGCCGTGTTGAACTGGCAAGGTCTAAATAGGAGCACTACTCTCATCTGCTTGAATGTGAGCGTAAGTCCTTACCTGGTTGGGAACTTTGATAAAACAGGGTTCTGCTTCTGTTCAATCAAACACAAGCACAGCTCCATTCAGTCCTTGTTGATGAACCAGGTTGTGCTTTGATTTGATGGGTAAATATGATTCTTCTTCATCTACACTTGGACAGGAGCAGCACCAAACACCAAAGAAACCAAGGCACAGGAGCAGTAACTTCGGTGGTCAGTAAAAAGTTCTGCTGGCCGCAGAAGATGCTGCACCTGCAGTTGGTGCTGCAGTGGGGCTTGGACTGGCCAGGGACACCCTAAGAAGTTTGCCCTCTGATGCAGAGTAACAAATGCCACCTCCTTCCCCAAATCAAGGAATAAAATACTGAAGATGGGTCATGTTATTTGTCATCTCAGACAGAAAATACCGCAAACACGTTGACCCACTCCCCAGCAGCAAAAGTTCAGAAATAATTAATCAAATAAGCAATTATTTGTAATCATTCATTTCCTTCATAATCAGCTTCTTGAGGTGGCTGCTTCATTCTATCCAGCTATGTAGAAGCCCTAGAAGATGTCCTAGAAGGGGGGAAAGAGATGAAATGTGGGGGAGATGAGGAAAAGGGAATAGGGTTCTTTGCCTTACTGCCTGCCTGGTGAAATTACTGGGCATTAAGCTTCTCTTAAAAAGAAAAGATCCAACATGCATAGTGTACATCCTACAGAATATATCACTTTCTACAGTAGAAGAAAACATAACGTAATTTAAAGATTTTAAATACACACACGAGCACAAACACAGACCTTTCAATTTTCTTACACAGGGTCTTCAGAAAAGGAAATGAACATATGCTTGGTAACCTTCGTACAGTTTCCTAAGAGGGGAAAAAAAGATTATTGTCTCAGTCAGATTATTTATCTCCTTCCCAACACAAACATTAAAAGCTGCCTTAATGATAGGTGTTACATCATAAAGACTGAATTTTCAGCATGACAAAAAGCATGCTCACAGACTGTGAAACACCATGACATTATTTCAACAAGATTTCTACAAAGGAGGGAAAATATTATTTTCCCAACTGAAGAAATGCACTCAGTATAAGTTTTCAAATAAAGTTTTCAATATAAAAAGAAGTGGTTTAATAAACAGTGTGGATTTCACCAAGCATGTGAAAAGAATTAATTATTACTGACTTGGATATAGAAATCAGGTACTATCCTCCCAGTATGATGTTGTTTGCTTGGTTTGTGTACGTCCAATAATTTGCCACATATCATTCGATCAGTTATCAGATTAACATATGCCACGTAAACTCAATTTTCTGAGCAGCTGATGCTTTGGGGGCCATTCTGAGAAGCTTCAGGCTAAAGCTGAATTATTTATTGTATCAGAAAATTAACAGTCCTTGCTACATTTCACCAAGGTGGAACATAGTTGTGAGAACAAGGAAGTACAGAAGCACAATGAAGACGATCACTTTGCATTAGGATTCCTTGTGCAAAATGAAACACGTACATTTGCCCTGACAATCTGTGATAGTGGGAACACCACAGCTGTATGACTGGGAGCTCCTGAGAACACACTGAGACAACCCGACTCAAAGGAAGCAAAGGAACCAGAACTGGCTTACATATTCTTTTTTCATGGGCACAACACTTCAAAAGGTATGCATGGTTGGACACTTTCTGAGGACCCATATCCTATCAGGGGCCCATAACCAGAAAGGACTCACTGACAACTCCCCTCCCGCACCCCACTTGTTCTTTCTTTTCACCATTTCAGTCTGCTTCTGCATAAGATTGTTGCTCTGACCAAAGACAGCAGAGAAGGCGGCGGCAGTAAGGAGGTGGGGGGAAGTGAGACCATTCCACTAGTCCTGCAGATATTCTTTTTATTCCTCTTCCCCCCCCCCCACACCCTTTTCCTTGCACCTCATGTCTTTTTAGATTCCAAGCTTGCATGGAAAGGCTATGTTCTTTTAATGATTATTGATAAGTCACTCCAGTGTCATGGAGTGTAGAACTTCTTGAGGCATATGTCATGACTAAAGAGTTTGTAACATTTTCAAAAGCAGGTATGTGTGATTTTGAAAAAAGTTGTACAACACAAATAAGATGGTACACCAACCTCCTTGCTCATATAATCCCTACCCAAAGGAATGGATTTTAAAAGCCAATTTGGGAATTTTTGGCAGCCTAGCATTTGAGTTGCTGGTTAAAACTTTAGCTTTTCAACTTGAGACTGAATCATGGCATTCTGCACCATGAACATCCTTTGAGGTATACACAGCTCAGCTAGGAAGGCAAGCCAATTTGGAAAGAAGCAGCTCTTAAATAAATAAAAAGCACAGCATTTCTTCCACTCACTGACATATTTATGTCTAAATTTATCTGTAAGTAGCATTAAAAACTATCCATTCCCTTTTTGGTTTATAATTTTTAAGTAGCTTTACTTTAGAATTGCATTAACATCAAACACTTCACAATTCTGACACTCCCCCGCCACCACGGCTTGCCTTCTCCCAGAAACATCTGCCCATTCACTGTGATCTTCATCTGAGCCTCCCACTCGTAGAGGTAAAGCAATCAGAAAGAGAGAGAGTCTTTTCAGCAGTGGTAGCTCTTCTGTGGTATGTCTTCCTGGGGGGTATTTGACAACCAAAAATAGCCCAACGCCAGCTTTTAATACCCTTTCAAAGTGGCTTTGACATTTTTACTGATTAAATTGAGGCTTTTTTTTCCTCTGGCTGATGTTTCATATTATTATTGTTTCAGACTGAGGATGCATTAGCAAGGATGCATTGTCTCTCTCTCTCTCTCCACACACACACACATCCTGAGAATTGCCAGTAGCCTTGAAGGCGTGAGGTAGAATTTTTAGACAATACTGTCAAGCAAAGTAACTGAACAAATAGCACTACAACAGAAAACTTCTAGCCCACCTGTGATTGTACAGTGGACCTCTTTGTGTTTGGCCAAGATGTGTTCAGCCAACCTTTAACGTTCTCCATAGAGGTCAACATAAAACTGAAACCTGCTTTCTCTGGTTCTCATCCAACCCTCTATCTACTATACTTTCCTGGCTCAACACACATAACCCTGTTAAAGGATGGAAGAGCACCATTTTCATCAGTCTGAAAGGCTTTGTATCTGCCATAAGTGCCACCTTAGACAACAGAGTTTCTCTTTTGAAAGTCCAGGTAAACAATGGCTGGGTTCACACAGCATGGCAATCCACATTCAAGGCTGAATATGGGTTAAGCATGGGTTGCTGTTGAACCATGGGCTGAATCAAGGGTTATTGCATTGTGTGAATCCAGCTGTAGTAACAAATAATGATTTGATCACCACGAACAACACAGAGTTCAGAGCTCAGCAACAGCCCAACAACAAAGGAATCCATGTTCCTTTCATGGGTTGTTCATAGGAAAACAGGGTTTGCCAGTGTGGCTTGGGTCACACAACCCATGTTTCAACAACCCATGGTTAAATGATAACCTATACTCTATCCATACTCATCCTTGAGTGTGGGTGGTGGAGTTGTACAAACCCAGGCAATTATTCTGCAGTATAGAGGTGACAGGAGTCTCAAAAGGCAAGGTATAGGGAAGCCAAATAACATCATCCCAGTGAACCTGCAGAAGAAATAACTTCAGTCCCCCAACACAATACTTAATCACACACCTTACTACACCTTATCCATTGATGCCATATGAACATATGATGCTGGGATATAATGAGCCAGAGCACTGGTCCATCAAGCTCAGTATTGTCTTCACTGACTGGCAGCAACTTCCTAGGGTCTCACAGGGCTCCTCCAGCCTTATTTGAGATGCCAGGGACTGAACTTGAGTGTTTGTATGCTGAGAAAGTGCTCTACCCTGCCCCATGGGCTTTCAGCATAGTGAGACTGTGTAACAGGCACCTTAAAGACTTCCTTCTTCCACATGTTCCTCCACACATGATCTAGTCATTATCTGACACTACTTCAGATCTCCTGCTGTCATGAAGCTAGGCAGGCAGGCACAGGGTCTAGGAGTAGGCTTCCCCAACATGGTGTCCGCCAGATGTTTTGGATTTTTATTCCCATGGCTTCCAAACAGTATGCTTAATGATTAGGAATGCTGGGAGTTGTAGTCCAAACCACCTGGCAGGTACTAGGTTGAGGAGGAGTTGATCTAGAGCAGGGGTCCGCTCTAGATCTTTTCCACCAGGGGGCCAGTTGAAAGGTGCCGGTGGTGAGCGCAAGCCGGAAAGGTGGTGCCGGCGGTGCGCGCAGGTCGGCATGTGCTGAGGCGGGGGCAGGATGTGTGACGAGGGGAGATGAGGCGCAGGCGTGGGCAGGCACACACTGCAAGGCGAGTGCATGAGACAGCGGCTTGCACGCTTGGAGATCATTTCCTCCGAGTGAGCAAACTGCCGCCTCCCAGCGTGTGGGACGAGGTGGGCGGTGGCGGGCGTGCGCCCGCGTGTGCACGTGGCAGGTCCAAATGGGTATGGCAGCCAGATCTGACCCCCGGGCCATAGTTTGAGGACCCATGACCTAGAGCCTTCTCAGAGGCTGCAAACCATGTGTGGAATACTGTGCCAAAAGAGGTTAAAATATAACAGCCCTTGAGTGTTTTTAGCCCTTATGCCAAACTGTTCCTTTAAAAATAAAATTTTGTTGTTGGTGGTTTATTGGATTTTTAATGATAGTTTAAAATATTGTTCATCTTTGTTTACTTGTCACTTTGCATTTGCTTTTAGAGAAATAGGCAGGATATGGACTTTTAAAATAAATTTAAATAGTTAAATATTCCTCTTATGATAGATGTTTATACTGACATTGTGGCTACTGAAGAATAATTAGCACTACCATGGAATAATAGTGCCATCTGTAAAGACATGAAGGTATGGATATGTAAGTTCCACTCAAGTACCAATGTCTCTCTTCCCCTCCAAGCAATCTGTTGCAATACAGCAGGTAATAATTAATTAACAGAACAGATAATGTGCATGTTCCTTCTTCTGCTTTGACATCTGAGTTGAAAATGCTTATTTACAGTGTAGCATTTATTGCCTTGGCATCACAAATCAGCATTAACCCAGAGGCTAATTAGAAACCTCAATTTGCACTTCTGTGCACAGCTTCACAGCAATAACTTGGGAGAAAAACAATATAATTCCTTTGCAAACAGCAAAAACATTTGCACTCATTTTCATTCCCAGAGAAAATTGGAAGCAACCTATATAGCTCAGCTGAAACATAAATATGAAAAAATGTCTAGCAGAAGGGAAAAGAATTGGCTTTCTTTCTTTGCTGTTGGATAAAAAAAGATCAGTACGCATGGACTTCCAAAAGCTTACTCCAATGCAACATTTTTTTTGTCTAACATTTCAGCTTTCAAGAACCTGGTGAATGCCTACATGTAGAAATGTAGTCAGGAATTTGGATACATAGGAAACATATACCAGTGGTCCACCTAACCCAGTATAATTGATCAGTCTTCTCCAACACCCAGAGAACCATTTTGGCTATATCTAATAGAAATTTAAATTTAATAAATTTAAATAGAAATCAAATAAATAAATAATGAACATAGTGTTCGCCAGATGTTTTGGTCCTCGACTGCCATCAGCACCGGACAACACAGCTGCTAGTCAAGCATCCTGGCTGACACATAACATAAATTCAGAATTGCATGAACACTCACTGAAAATAAATTGATCAGGTTCTTCAGTCAGTCTAAAAACTAGGCTACAGTGAGGAGCTGCTATTGATCTTCTTCCAAGGGGCAGGAGGTTTAGGGGTTTTAGGTGTAATGCTATCCTGGAAAGCAACTTCTCACAGCTAAAGTAAGGCAGATAAGAAAAAAAGCAGCCATTGCTTGCTAATGATAACAACCTGTGACTGACCATCACTAACTGAGTATTTTTCAGCAGAATTCCTGCTTCCTACTCAGTCCTCTGACACATATTTTTGCCTTTGACCCCTCTCCCCCCGCCACCTCTATCTCTTTGGCACTGTTGGTACTGATTTTCTTCTTAATTGCTGTCTTTTTCTTTATAAAGCAGAAAAATTCATTTTGCTTAATGTTCATTTGAGAACATTTTTGATTACCACTAATGATCTAAGCTTCAGAATTAACCATTCTAAGTGCAATCATGATGAACAATTCCACTGAGGCACTTCCTTACCAGGATCTTAGTTCCAGCCAGTCTTTCTGATTTCTTTATAGCCATATTTAAGCCCACCTAGAACAGGACAAATAAAAGACATTGCATAATTTTGTATATTGTTTCTAGCTTTCTGGGTATTGCTGTGGCATGAAATAAAGAACGCACCTCCTCAATGCATCATCAATTATCTTCATTATCAATTATATGATTACCTTCAATGACATTCCATTTGTAAGTGCAATTTATTCACATTTCCCCAAATTTTGCAAAGAAAGCCTCCCATCAAAAAATGTAGACAAGAATCAGATATTAGTGAAAATAATTCAAAAAGTCATTATGTTAGGAAAACTAGCTTGCAGAATTACTTGTACCTGTTTGGAAAAAATGTACAAAAATAATTCATTAGGACTAAAGCACACAAAAATGCGTATGGATTTTCATGCCAGCTTAAGAAACAAAAAAACTCATCAAGGTTCCAAATGACCTGCCTGAATTTTAGATTAGAGAACTTGACGGCAAAGCAAACTTGATATCAGAAAAAAATGAGAAACTGGAATTAACTGAACCTTCCATTGCTATTCAAAACTGAAACCATTTTTAAGAGTTGGATGTGCTTCTTTTCTGAATAACAGTCAAGACCCAAAAGATAAGGCAAGTGTAACAGGATTTTCTTTTACTCTTTCTCTTTGAACAGCAGACCTCTATGCTGTATCATTACTGTATCATTACACCACCCATTCCAAGAGCAATTTGACATGCGGCATGAGAGAACACCACTGCTTGAGAAATACAATGTGCAAAATGAGTTGCATGATTCTTATTTATTTATTTAGGAGACTTCTATGCCGCCCCATTCGCCGAAGCCTCGGGGCGGCTCACGACCATAAATAAACTTCAAAATAGAATAATATAAATTAACAATATAAATTAAGTTGCCCTGGCCAAAGAATAAAATGAATAAATAATATTAACAATTAAAATAACATTTGAATAGAAAGGTCTTCGTCTGGCGCCGAAAAACAAATGATGGCGCCAGGTGGACCTCTCTGGGGAGCACATTCCATAGATTGGGCGCCACCGCAGAGAAAGCCCTCCTCCGAGTACTCACCCTCCTAATTTCCTTCATGGAGGGTTCCCAGAGAAGGGCCTCTCCCGCAGATCTCAAGGGGCAGGCGGGCATATATGGACGCAAGCGCTCCTTCAGGTAACCAGGACCCAAGCCGTCTTTGATTCTTTGGATGTTGGCCAGGAAGTGAGGGGTGTAGTCAACTTAGGCCAGTCTTCCCCAACCTGCTGGCCTTCAGAGGCATTTGGGCCACAACTCCCAGAATTTCCATCCAGGGCCATTGACTAGGAATTCTGGGTATTACCATCCAAATATGTCTGGAAGACCCAAGGTTGGGGAAGGCTGGCTTAGCCTCCTTAACTAATGTCTGAACTGTTTATTGTGTTTTTATTTATCATTTAAAAACATTAAACTAAAATAACTAATAGGAGACAGCAGATTAAAAAGAAACTCTAAAGAGCAGGAAATCCAGAAAAACATGTCTAAATCCAGTGTGGTGTAGTGATTGAAGTGTAGGTGTAGTGGTTTAATTGAGACTCAAGAAATCTAGAGTCTAGTTCCCACTTGGCCAAAGTCACTGGATGGGTTTGGGCCAATCAGTGACTGTCAGCCTAACCTACATCACAGGGTTGTTGTGAGAACAAAATGGAGGGCACGAGGACCATGCAAACCACTCTAAGTTCCTTGCAAGAGGAAAAAGGGTGGGACATAAATGTAAAGGAATTAATCAACCCTCCAACAGAGCAATGGGCTACTAGAACAAGAGTTTCCCATCTACATTCAGAAACATTGTTGAATCAAAACAGTTCTGGGCAGAGAATTGCATTAGTTAGTCAGCAACAGAGAAGATCATACTATGAATTTTGGCCAACTGAATTTCAGATGTAAGAAACTTGGTGTGATGGCTCGCATGACTAGAATTCAGCAATTTAATTTGTGTGTGTGTGTGTGTGTGTGCATGCACACACACAGAAATACAGAAAGAATAACTTAGTAGCCCCATCAAGAATATCTGGATTAAAATACATGGAGCAAAGAATAAAATGAGCATGTTGGTTGGAATCTACTACATATCACTGAGCCAGGAAGGAGATGAGAATAAAACTTTCGGAAATCATATTGCCAATGTTTCCAAGAGGCATGCTATACTACTACTGGGGGACTTTAAATTTCCCATCATCTGTTGGAAGATAAAGTCTTCCTCTTCTAGTAAGTAGAGGAATGGACAAAATTTTTTGTTATCCTTGATTTTAGGAAAGCCAATGTTAATAAACTCAGAACAGTGATACATATGGGCCCATGGCAAGTGAATCTAATGAGAAAAGAAGTCCAAGTTGAGCAGGGATTTTTAAAAAAGGAAATTCTAACGGTGTAATTGCAAACAATTCCAACAAGAAAAGAAAAGGTAGAAGACAGCAGAAGACGACAATGTGGCTTCACAAAAAGCTTGGAAATGACATGAAATCAAAAAGGACACATGTACGTAGGAAATGGAAAGAAGGCCAGGCTACAAAGGAAGAGTCCAGGCAGGTAGCATGGAATTGCATGGATAGGGTTAGGAAGGTTAAAGCTGAGAATGAGCTGAGGTTAGAGAAGATGCTAAAAACCACAACAAAAGCCTTCTTCAAATACATGCATAGTTAAAGACAGAGGGAAGAAACAAGGATGACCAAATGATAACAGATGACAGAAAAGGCAGAAGTTCTTAATTCCTACATTGGTTTGGTCCCAAAAGAGCTCTATGTCCTCCCTGTCAAAGGAGAGGAACATGCCAAAGGGACAGGATAGCAGCTTAAGATTGATAGGCAAGTGGTCAAGGAACACCTCAGTACTCTGAACGAGCTAAAATCTTCAGGGTCTGAACTATTTCCTAGAATAATAATGGAACTGACAGAGGAACTCTCAGAATCACTGTCTATTATCTTTGAGAAGTCAAGCAGAATGAATGAAGTACCAGATGACTGGTGGAAGGTTAATGTTCTTCCTATCTTGAAAAAGGGAGAGGAGGAAGAATCTGGGAACTATAGACCAGTCAGTCAGTCTAACATCAATCCTTGGGGAATAAGCAGATTATAAAGCGGTCAATCTGCAAAACCCTTGGAAAGAATGCAGTGATTACTAGAAGCCAACATGAATTTGTCAAGAAGGAATCCTGTCATAGTAATCTGATTTCATTTTTCATCAGGTATCCTCCCCAGTAGGCTGTGGGAATGCTGTGAACATTATATATTGTGCCTTTAGCAAAGCTTTTGACAAAGTTCCCCATGATATCCTGATTAGCTACATCAATCCACACTTGGATACAGAATCAGACTCAAACAGCGCATATCAATGGCATCTTCTCAAACTGGGGAGAAATAAGAAGTGGGGTACCACAAGGTTATGTGCTGGACTCATTGCTCTTCAACATTTTCCTTAATGATTTGGATGAGGTGATGCAGGGAATGCTTATCAGATTTGTAGAGGACACAGAAATGAGTAGAATAGCTAACATCCTGATATTGATAGGTTGGTGTACTGGTCTAGGAAAAAAACTGAATGAAATTTAATAGGGACAGATGATATAAGAAGCCAAATTCATAATTACAAGATGGAGGAATCTGGAGTCTGATATCCTATCTTGGAGCACATTTCCATGCCTGGAGCTTGAGCTCTTGTTGAGTAGCCATTGAAAACTATGGAAATAAACTGGAAGTCAGTGAAACTGCTATAGAGCCACATGTCCCAAATAAGCAACCACCTAAAGTTTCTGTACGGTCTTCAAAGGCCATCCAAGTCCAAATCCCCATGCCCCTGGAATTCACTTTAGGCAAAAAACTATTCCTAAGCCAAACTACGTGTAATACCTGAATGTGGAGAAGGAAATATGTGTGTGTTTTCTTGCGCTTCTAGTTTTGGCTGATCGTGATGATGATGATACATTTATATCCCACCTTTTTTCTTCTTGCAAGAAACTCAAGAGATGAAGGTAGGGTGAAAATGGGTCTATCAGGGATGGAACCTGCCAAGCCTGGACCAAGGGCAAACAAACTGCTCTTGTCCTGGCTTTGCCTTTTCAAATATTAATACCAATTACTAGAACACAGTTTTACTGATCAGACCAGTAAAACAATGGTTGGTAGATGATCCTATTTTTCTATGGCTTTTGTAATAATTTAATGGAAGTGCATGGGATAGCTGCTTCCCTGTGGATACAGTCTCTCTTCCAAATGTCCCACTGTTTGATACTAAACTAGGAGGTGAAACCAGCAGTTCCTCCCTGCACCGCACCCCCTGCATGGAAGCAATATCCTCAGTGGAAAAGACAATATCTGTCCCAGCCACTAATGATCAGGACTGCACTCACTGGATCTGCCCCAGTATAGGATATTATTTATTTATTTTATTTGTTGCAGGCAATTATATCCCGTCCTATCGCCAAGCACTCAGGATGGCTTACAGAATATTAAAGCACAAGTTACGTGGCAAGCCAATTGGATTCCACTGGGACCAACAGCAGGCCTCCAGGTTCATGCCGGCAGCTCTACTGTCCTGAACTGTGCCCAGGGAGATCCTGGAATCTCATTTTGAAGCAAATGTTACTTATTTATATTCAGTCAGTTTTCTCCGGCAACTTATTGCTCTTCAGTCACTGGTACCTGAAAATGCTTTTTGCATTACTCTTTTTAAATGCTCACAAACAGTTTGGACCCAGAGGCTGTTTTCAACACAAGGCATGTCTTTTTCTGTTCTATGGCTGAGCCGTGGTGGTACTTTCTTGGGGCAGCTGCAGGGATATGCATATCAGAGAGCTGTGATAAGAAAAGGAAATGACATGCTGTGTCAACAGGTTTACTTCTTCAAGAAATGATAGAAGTAAATGGCTCCTTGGTGCCAATACAGATTATTTCCTTGCTTTCCACTAATTCCTGCACTTTTACAATGGTTATTTAATATTTATTAGAATTGAGTTTCAACAACCTTTGTTCACTTGCCAAAGAAAATGTATCCTGTACATGTAACCATGCAT